ATGGTCCCAGACAATAGAATCAACTCTTTTTAAGTGGAGATTTGCGCCTCTGACTGCCATTAATTATGTGCATTATTGTTAAAATTTGGAGAGGGGAAGAACAGATTTACCCTTGATGGCTGTGTGGTTTGTAAGCGTTTGTTTTAATATACTGGTATGCTTCAAAGACCTCAAAAGTTCTCCATTTTGATTTGCAAGCTCCATTTGTCACCTAAACGCATTTCTCCCTACTTGCGATATTTTAGAAAATTATTCATTTTTATGTTTGTCTGACGAAATGCCATTTCTTTCTTACCTAGAGTGGATTTTACAAAGTATCCCATCTTTCACCAAGTGGAATTTTATGAAGCAAACATGGAAAGTGGGGATTGTTTGTTCATTCCTTTCAAATGGTGGGTAATTTGTTAGAAGTTGTTTAATATAACACTGTTCGATACGAACGCTTTACCTTGCCTTCCCCCCTATCTCTTGTTGGGTAACATCCTTTTCAGCATCTTCCAGTTGTTAGATACTATCCTCTGCAGTTTGGCACCATCGTTGTTAGTATCATTCAATAATGAGCTACCATCCTATACTGTATCATTTTCTGTATGCTTTAGGTACCATCAAGTGACGTCCACCGGCAACAATCTTGCCGTGAACATCTGGTGGAAGCATTGCGAACTTCTTTCACGCCCAAAATTGTGGAAAGATTGCAGGCTCAAATACTTCACTTGACAAATTTTATTTTTCTTCGCTGGCTAAAAATGGCGATGATAGTGGCGGCGATAGTGCTGATGAAGAGGAAGGTGGCGAATATTCATTATTGTAAGTGACTCGATGCGGACATAATTATTTCCCTCACAACACTCTTCTCTCGAAGGCATCAGCTAGACTGCAATTTAGCGAACACCAAAGGCGCTTGCGTGCGGTTCGCGGGCTTGTATATTTATTTGGCAAGAAAGTACTGGTTGTTTGCTTGGTTGTTAGAACAACATTAAAAAGTTTAAAGTATAGTTTTAGTTAAACGGTGGTATTTTGGAGGACGGAATTACTACCACTTTATAGATTTCTTTTCGAATGCCATTTTTACAGTAGGAATAAAGGTTAGAGGAAAAACCACTGTTTGTTGCCCGAGCCAGCTGTATTCTTTGAGCAGCGTATAGGTGTCCGCTTAAATGCAGTAGCTTTTACTCGAACCATTCCCTACCCTTCCTTTAACAACATCGAAGGTATTTTGGTCACATTGTTACTCGAACCATTCCCTACCCTTCTCGAAGGTCACTCGCATTGTTACTCGAACCATTCCCTACCTTCCTTTAACAACATCGAAGGTATTTTGGTCACAGTTGTACTCGCCATTCCTATTTTTGAAAGGGTATATAATAGACTCGTCCACGATTTCTTACTTAAAGTGTTCGACACAAAATTTTATCACACAGTTTGCCGATTGCATTGCAAAGACCATTTGAAATGTCTTTCTGCTATACATTGTATAAGTTTTCCACTTTCTAGAGACATTTAACATTTAACATTTTCGCAATGCAGACACCATCAATGGGACGTCAGGCTCCATAACTAGCTTCAGGAAATAGTACTTTTCATCGACATCTTGCAGTAATAACTAAATTTTTCATGCCTATACACTTCAACCTCTACACAAGTCAGTGGTTTTGGAAGCTTTGTGAAGTTGTGTTTTCACTGTTGCCAGTTTACAAGCCCCGTATGTAACCACTTACAACAGTTCATCTAATTATAAAACTGCTTTATATTAGTTAGATTTATTTGATTCAGAGAGAAAGATCTTTACTTTGATTTGAAAATTTGGTACATGTTTAAAACCGTGCATTCAATAATACATATCGCACCAGCCCCCCCCCCCCTCCCAGTCTATGTTAGCGATGTTTTAGGACTTCTAGCAAAGGTTTTAATTTGGTCAAATTGTTCAATGTTTGTGGCAGTTTAAATTCAGCAAAAACGCCCTTTTTCATTGACATTGAGGAACTCGTCCATGCAAAATATACATGCCACTTGCCTTGGATGACGTCAGCATGTAACTCGACCCAGTGTTCCTGCCACGACTAACTTTAAGGCCCACTTTAAATCGCAATTGCAAGAGGACAATTTTACCAAGTTAATTAAAATTTATCACCTGTATGTTAGAGTTGTTACTAGTATGCATCTGTATTTAAAATATTCTTTTTGCCAATCGACAGCATTAAACTAGAGGATTATTTGAACGAAAAGCGCCTTGTCATTCGAAGGTTTCACCAAATTTCTGCAAGATGTAAGGAGACATTATTTTTATACCGTAATGTATACATATAAGTACACGTCGGTACACATTAGTATAACGAAGTACACAATCATGAGGCTATCTTTGTACATTTTCAAGACGTATCGTTTATGTTCCTCTTTTGCAAAGCTTTTTATCGTAAATCGTGACTTAAAAATGTTCTACGTAATGAAAAGACCGGAAATGGAAAAATTACTGATGAAAAATCATGTGAAAAATGAAGTTTTTAAACCTTAACTTTTTACTATCTACAGGTTGTGTCAACAAAACTCTACCTCTTTGAACTCGGCCGATGTTTATAATTTGCATGATTTAGCAATAATTGATCTCCAAAGACCTGCGAACGCAGTTGAAAAGAACAGTACGTACTTATATTGCGGCAAATTTCAAGCATGAAATTCCTTTCAATAACGTCTACGCCTCTCTGGGGATCATTGAATCATGCAAACGCTAAGCAAGTAAATGGTTTGAACCCGGGAGTATCGTCCAGGTTGGTAGAGTTCTGAGAAGGACTCTTGGTGGTGTTGTTGACTGACGCTCTGAAAACCTTAGCAGTAGTCATCGACTCTGTCAAGTTTTCTCTGAAGATGACTACCGTTAAGGTTGTCGAAACGTCAGTCAACATCAACACCAACACTCCTCACGATTCTAAAAACCTGGACGATCCATATGGCCAGATAGTTTTGTTGACATTTATATTCGTTTAGATATTTATTGTCTTGAAAGCAGCCATTTGTGTTATCCAGTACATTTATCGATATATTTGCGTATTTTTATTCTTGTTTTTAATTCTTTTAAATCTGATTTCCAGCGTTAGCTCAAATTTTAGAAGTATAAAGACTAAAAAGTTTTAGCCTAGTCGGTTTATCCAACTTGTGACGTCACATTGCATTTGTGGCGGCAAAAGTTAATGGTATAAAACGCTGCTATGATAGTTTTAACCGAATGTTCTCTGGAAACTGGAGAGTTTTTAAAACATTGTGCCGCCTCCGTTATGCAATATATGACGTCACAAGTTACGTAAATTGGAATGAACAAAAACTACAATACCTCGAGAATGAAAAGAGACATGAATAAACTGTTTTAGAAATCACACCGTCTTTATAAAAGTTTTGTTCAATGGAAACACGATTTAACCAATAAAACTTACGTTTTCGTAGGCACTTTAACAAGCATGTACTTTGACGTGCCCGTGTTTAGAATTACGATTCAAATTACACGCGATAATAGTTGTATTTGTTTCGTCGACAGAGCATCCAGGCCGAAGAAGACGCTCAGTTTGGACGAACTATTGGAATATATGGGACATGTAAATTACAGTGTGTAGATTGTGCATTTTCAGAAACAAAAAAAACTATTTTCTGTGTTTTCACGGGAAGCGCACAACCGAGGAGTCTTTGGGAACCCGAGCTGATCGGTGAAAGCTCTGAACTGCTGCACATGCTCGAGTTCTCATAAACGTCTCTAAAGTTTTTATTCCTTCAGTATCCTTTTAATTGTTGATTAGTGTTTTAATTGATTTGTGACTAGACATTTTACATTTTTGATTATTTTATTTAGCTAGTGAATCTTGCGCATCTGCCCCTGTATTTTGACGCGTTTTCAAAGTAACGAGTTGTTATGAGACTATGACGTCGCAGAACTCCGCTGTTCCCAATTACACAAAATCCGTTACTATACCACCAGCAGCTGCTGAAACTTCAAATATGGGAACAGGTCTGGGGCTTAAAGTTTGCCTCATAGCAATCAACAATAACAGTAACAACAGTTAAATTTTCGTAACAGGTATTTCAAATGGCTGATTCAACGCAAAGATGGCGATCTGCGAATACTGATTTACGTAAACTTGTACAACAAGGTACAAATTTTATGGTTATATTTATTGCTATTTGTGTAATCAGTTCAAACGTTTCTCGACAGTTGTAATTGGTTGGTCTAGCGCATCTCCTTCTTAGTAACAGTTTGTAACAACAGTTGAATATTCTGTAAGACTAGTGCAGAACTCCGTTACAACTGTGCAAAAGTCTTTAACCGTAGTCCGAAAATCCGTTACTACAGTCCAAAAGCCCTTAAAAAAGTGCAGAAATCCTTTGCAACTTTGCAAATATCTGTAATAAGAGTGCATAAATCCTTTTACAACGTTTCAAATGTCTGTAACAACAGTTGAAACTTCTCTGCGAACGCGATTAAAATATGCGAACGCGATTAAATTCTCAGACCGTTTTTGTTCTCATATAAACATTAAACACCACAAAAGCTGGCAGACGCACGCTGTAATTATTTTAAACCTGCGAATTTTCCTTTCATTTTTAAATTCAATATGCTGGTTTTAAATCATACATGACGTCATATTTTCTCTGTTCAAAATGATTTTGTTAGAATTTTCGCGAATTCGAAAACGGTATTTCCGAACTGGAAAGTGTGTTGGCTGAATACAATGACCCAATGCCCGATCCTCCCGGTGAAGAGGCAAAACAAGACAACACTCGTGACGAGCTATGATTGTGAGTCCAAACGTTAGTAGCAGGGCTTTTTGAAACACAGGTTTGTAGCCTGCGAACAGGCAATTACCATCAGAAATGATTGGGTGATTAAAATTTGCTAGTATTTCGAAGGTTTCCTGCTTTCGATGAGACTGTTACTAACGCTCTTCTTATGCAATTTTTTAACGGACTGTCATTAGTTGTAATTTATTTCATTAGCGTACGATGAAAAGTTCGCAAATGAGATCATAGTATTTATTTTAATTTACCGTCCACGTTGTCGTTTGTCATGAGTAAAAACTTTTCAATGTTGTTAGACTTTAATACGCGATGCTTGCATCTAGTTTGATATACAAACAATCATCAACGACATATTTTCCTTTCTCTAACTGACCATGCGCGATGAAGTCGTCAAACCCGACGATTACCGAACGTTCGCCGAGCTCTGGACGAGCCTTCACGTTTCCCCATCTCGTCTGATGTCGTTGACTGTACGCTTGCGGACGATATGTTCTTTCTCATTGTCTGATTGGTCGAGCAATGAAAACGTGTACGTCGGTCGTATTGGCCAGCTGAGTATGTTGTCATGATCACCAGACATGACGCGAGCATACACTGATATCCAGTTTCCATAGCTTTACCGCGGCCATTTAGATACACCCATATAGACAGCTTGTACCCAAGCATTCCAGTGTAGAATGGCTCACTGATAATTGGATCTTCCATACAGCCTACTTTGGTTTTTTCAAGTTGGTTTCGAACGTCTCTGATTGGCAAAATGTACTCTGCTGTACAGTTTCTCTTCGGTAATATGCTTACTTCTGATTTGTTAATAGTTTGTATTTGATTTCTTATTTCTTTGGAAACCGTTGATATTGCTTACGTTGCTCTTTGATCTCGTTCTTCATGAATCGTGTTGTTCTTTCACGCGATTGGTTCGCTTCATCATGTTCCTTGACCAAGCACTCAGGTCGTTAACGGTATCAGTGAGTTGCTGGATGAGTATACTCTGACGGTGTTGTTCGTCTTCTTGATTCTTCAGCCGGTCTTTTTGATCCTTTGCCACTTCGCTAACTAATTTCAGATGTTCCAAGACACAGGATTTCATGTGTTCTTCTACAATCATTTTTGAACCCTGTCAAATTATTCCATAGGTTAGTGTTCATGTGATTTATGTGGCAACCTAAAACGCTAAATTGTCTACAGCAATCCTACAATATACTCAGCAATCCTACATTGTTTACAGAAGTCCTACATTGTTGGCAGCAATCATACATTGTACACAGAAATCCTACATTATCTGCAGCAATTCTACATTGTACACAGCAGTTCTACATTGTACACAGCAATCCTACATTGTTCACAGCAATCATACATGGTACACGGCAATACAGGTACTGTTGTTGGTGTTTCATGCACTTACCGAAAATTTGCATCCGAAACGTTGATATTCGCATTGCTCAATTGAGTACGTCTCCTGTAAGGAAAAGTGTTTAAATTGTAGATCATCTTTAGCCTGTCAGCTTCTTTCTTTTAAATTCAACCAGGTTGATTCGGAAAATTTTTTACACGTGGGTGGCAACCATTCTCCGAACTTAAGAGAGGTTTTCGCCATGTTGATTGAAATTGGATTGTAAACAAGAAAAATCTTAATAACATAACGGGCGTGACGTACCATGCAAACCAGTTATTGGTTCTTGTCTTTTCGAATGAAGTTATTGAAATATTTACCTTGGAAGCTTCAGGATTTTGATGTGAACTTGGATAATCAGGAACGACATGTTGACATGCCTAAATACATATTTTTTTCAAGTTAACAAAGTCTTAAGATTTGTTTGTACTATCATTTATCAAGGTGCATAATATTTCATCGTGCTGTGCTTGTGCTTGGCCTCACGTCCCGCTAAATCCTACTGAGCTCCCATTGTAAAGTTCCCAGTAAACCTTACGGTGCTCCCTCTACCAATGTCAAACTAAATTATTTCAGCTATTCCGCCATACAAAATACTTGGATAGCTTTCCTAGGACACTAAATTCACCGTTTATCCCAGCGAATATCGCTATTTGTCTTATCCCAAATTGTTTATTCGTCAAAGTTATTATTTATGAAATCACTATTTATGACATTTCACGCTATCTTATGACTCAATCTATCGTCACAATTCATTGAATTCACATGAATTAGTTTATCCAAACCACATAAGGCTATTACTTAATGCTAATATTTTATTATCAAATTAAAAACTACAGAATTCACCAGTCCTCCGATGTGCATACCACACAAAGTCTGACATCGCTCTACTTTTATGTTCTCTATGCTGTGTTTACATGTGATTACAAGGCGGCCATGTTGGTAAGTGATTTCAAAATTGTACGTTGCTAAAGTAAACAAATTTTTTCAATATGTGCATGGGTTCTTCTACCAACATGGCGATTAATCACTTTGAAACACTTCATAGGATTTGTTTTCCATAAAGGCGAGGTCGCTCATTAACATAAATTTTAGATTTTGAAAATTTCCTCAACAGCACAATAAAAGCTTTGCAAAGCTTGCTAGCAGAATATTTAAAAACATAGAATGCATACCCTTCAAGTTTATGGTCAGTTAATCAGTATTCAACTGGCGCAGTTGATGTTTACGGAAAATAAATGGGGTTTTTTTTTACAAGTTTTCGTTCTTCGATATGTTTATTAGTTTGGTAATGTATAAAATCTAAATAATAATGGCGTAGGCTGTCTACTCGCGCATACTTTTTCTGTTATTCCCTACCGCTATAAATACTATGAAAACAATCGATTTATAAATGATAAACTATTAAAATGGTCTGAATTTAGCTTACAAAGCACGACAAAAACTTGTGGTATGGCAACGCCATTACAACATTAATAAACTAATGCAATTTGTAAAATGTGGAGAAAAATGCAAGTTTTTATTTTGCGTTGTAAATTTTCTTTATCTCAAGATCGGTCACGTTTTAGTTGTCAACACTTTGCACCGCTTGGCTTGCATAAAGAAACACCAGGCCAGACCAGGCTCCAACTGTATTTTCCGCCCATATTTAATCAGCTGCATTAATGTTAGTGAAATTTCGCTCCGAAACGGTCGCTTTGGGGTCTAACTTAAATCGTCGTTTTGAAAGATGGTAGATTTCAGCTTCTATTTTTTTTAGTTTTGTCGGGAACGATGAAAACTAATTTTATTTTTGACCGTAATAAACCGTCTGGGATAATATGTTGGATAATACACATTGCTGGAGAAATGTGCGCGACAAACGATAAACAGTAGTTTTGTGACACAATTCCATATTTTCCCTTTCGTTGTCAGGTTTTCAAGCGACTGTTTTGGTTTCAGTGTAAATTTCTAGCTGTGTGTAAAGCCATACCTTTTTTTTGTCAAGTTCTCGTAGCGAAACTTCCAAAAACCTTCGAATCACGTTTAAGTCTTGGTTTGAAAAATTTGCGTCCATTTCGAGTGCCCAATATGAGAAGTGCCTTTCGTATTTAGCGCTTTCTTTCACGCGTATTAGTAATGTAATGCGCGATATTTTGTAGTTAAATTTATGTCACGTTATATACGCGTTAATCACTCGTGATTTTTGTCTATCATTTTCATTGCTCAGAGGTTATTGGCTATTGCGAAGATATCCTGCGCGAAACTTGCGTGTATTGTGGATACGCGCGCGATTTCTTTTAGAAACTTTTTGAAACTATGGTGAAATTGACAGTTACGTGTTTAATTTGGAATGCATTATATTTCCGCTTTTTTCAGATCGATTCATGCCAACCTAATAATGATATCAAAATTATAAAGCCTCCCATGAATTAAGAGCGACGGACTTAAACATTTCGTGTACGTTTTCCCGCCACATTTTGTGCAGCATTATTAGATGTTTATCATACATGCATGAGAACGGCTCTTTATCCACATAAACTACTACCAATACCTGATAAAAAACTCTTTTATTATCAACGAAACTGCCATTGTTATCACGAGACGCCTTCAAATTTCTTTCCACATGTGCTGGTGCCATATGCTCCAAATCTTTCAAATTCAGATTATTTTTTCTGTCATCAGCTACATCTTCCGAATGAGCGATCTGTTTCAAAGTACTGACATCTCGTACCTGTTTGGAAGCGATAAGCCCTGGATTATTTGAAATGCGTAATTTTATTACTCCTAGAATTGTCAACACCTTGCGACTAATGAAATTACATGCCTCGTTTCGCTTGCCATAGTTAAAGATTTCTTCCTCGGCAATCTTATCACTTGATTCTCCATCACACAATTTATGATAACCATTTCCGCCAAGAATTGTTACGAAATTAAATTTATCCATTACTTGGTCGTTCGACGATGAAAAATTTTGAGTATCTTTGATACAGCGCGCATTTGAAACAAATTCATGTTTTATTTGCCCCCAGGGTAAATTTAAATCCGATTCACATGCCACATTGATCTTAAATCGACTTTCTTCATCACTTTGTGGACTTTTACTTTTTCGTACGCATGATGAGTTTGCGTGGATCTCGTTGTCTCTCATTGTAATTCTTTTCAATTGCGCTGTCTTTACGACTCCATGACAAATGATCGCTAGTTCAGTTGTTCCTTCTCCGCGCAAATGTTCAATACATTCTTCGTCTTCTCTTGTTTCATGTGTTTTCGCAAATACGTCCGATGTCATTTTCTTCGGTATTTTATTGCTGTTTCGCTTGTTATGAAATCCTTTCTTCCTGAAAAACTTATTTCGTAAGAAATTCTTTTTTGAATTCTTGTTTACCCCTTTAGACTCCTCATCCCAAGAATAATCACTTGATCCTGATGTTTGACAACTTGTGTCCGATTGTTCATCGAAACCACACTTTGTCCCCTTGCATACGGTCTTGATATCCATTTTCATCCTAGACGGTCCCTTTCGAACATACTCGGACACCGAAGACCTAACTTCATCTTCTGAATCACTACTGTCTGTGCTCGACATATTGCTGTCGTAGACTCGAGAATAGTACGGGTGCCTCCGATCGTTCGACCACGATTCGTCATCCGAACTATCTGCGCTTAACTCGTCCACTTCACAAAGCCAAATACGGTAAAGCTCATCCATTCGCATCCGAGATGCGATGGAATCCTTCATATCGTTTTCTGCATCACTTTTACGCTTTTTCCCATTTCTTTTTTCACGAAAACCTCCCACGCGGGCACGCGTATTGCTTTGAAAAGGCTTCGTCAGCATTTGTTTCCAACACATGCGCCATCCACCTTGCGCTATCTCTGTACGTTTTCGTCTACCTAAGCATCCCGGTTGATTCCGATCCAATAACGACAGTCGAACATCGGCAGCAGTCGGACTGTTAGAACAAACGTCATTCTGTCGTGATCTGGTTGTGGAAGCCATCATTGCAACAGTTGCCATGCTTAAAAATTTGAAAGCAAATTAGCAACACTATACAATATATTCAATTGGTAGACTATACAGTACAAGTACGGTTCAACAACGTTATTGCATTATACGTGTATATGAATGAAACTAGAATCGTGGTTTGAAAAATCATTGTGGTTCATGTAGTCGTGAAGATCAGTTGATGGAACATTAACGAGAGTGATTTTCTTGTTACTGTACCTGAGTTCATCACATCAACGTGATGTTATTATCTATTATGATAAGATATGAAAAAAACTAAAACTGTATTTGAAACATCATCATAGTCCACAGTTGGTCTTGTAGTTCAGTTGGTAGAACACTGTAGACTATGATTATCTTGTTACTGTACCTGAGTACATTACAACAACGTGATGTTATTATCTATTATAATAAGATATGGAAAAAAACTAAAACTGTATTTTGAAACATCATCATAGTCCACAGTTGGTCTTGTAGTTCAGTTGGTAGAACATTGTAGACTATGATTATCTTGTTACTGTACCTGAGTACATCACAACAACGTGATGTTATTATCTATTATAATAAGATATGAAAAAAACTAAAACTGTATTTGAAACATCATCATAGTCCACAGTTGGTCTTGTAGTTCAGTTGGTAGAACACTGTAGACTATGATTATCTTGTTACTGTACCTGAGTACATTACAACAACGTGATGTTGTTATCTATTATAATAAGATATGGAAAAAAACTAAAACTGTATTTTGAAACATCATCATAGTCCACAGTTGGTCTTGTAGTTCAGTTGGTAGAACATTGTAGACTATGATTATTTTGTTACTGTACCTGAGTACATCACAACAACCTGATGTTATTATCTATGATATTAACATATGATAGAAACTAGAACTATGTTTTGAAATGTCATCATAGTCTATAGTTAGTTTTATAGTTAAGTTTGCGGTTGAAGTGGAACATTGATAATTATGATAAATTTAGAAAAAGTGCGTGATCCGATATCAGGGTTATGCATAATTGCAGTCAAACGTTCACTGATATAAAATTTTATTAAACAAGCATTCTTTTTTTTCTTTTATAAACCGTCGAAGGCTGTAGACAAACAGCCCAAAGCTTGTTTGATAAAATTTTATATCAGTGAACGTTTGACTGCATAATGATGAAATTGTTACCAATGAAACATGATTCACATGAATATCATTTACATTTTTTTTGTTAAAATATCGACCACGATTTTAAAAAATGTAAAGATTATCGACTTAGTCAATCCTCTGCCTTATGAGAAGATCAATTTGGTGTCGTGCATACATTTCTTTTAGATATATAAGTAGAAATCCGAATTAAACAATCATGTTTATTGATCAAACTTAAAGCTCTTCTCTAACATATTTTGAAAATCTAAAATGGTCCTATACGTCATCAGTAGCGCAGAGACTGGCACTACGAATAACTCTTATCTTCTTACATTGCGTGTGAAACATTTCCCTTTTGAGTATTTTTCAGCATTTTGGTCGGCAGGTACTTGTATCAATTCTCTTAGCGGACTAGCTCACTTCCTTCCATGTAATAAACTTGTCGGAACAAATTTTGTTTGATATCATTTTTCTCAATGGTGAAAAACAACCCGCACAGTTAATGCTGTTTAAAAAATAGGAAATTGCTTCTGTACAATAATACCCACACTCGGGCTCTGTCGTCATGCATTTGCTCCCGCATCTTTTATACGTGCGTTGCTGACGTAACAAACATCGGGGTTTCAAAGCAAATTGTTGATTTCTAAGGTCTGACGTCTTGGTGTTGTGTAAAAATTTTTAACGCGAAGAAGCGTTGTTGACCAACTCAATTTATTTTTAGATCAATGATGTAGTTTATAGTAAATCTCATTCAAAAGCATACAAAATTTAAGGCATGTGGGGGACATATTTCATACGTGGCTAGCTTCTGAGCCTACCATCTTTCTCTCAGCTGATGCAGGTCTACGTGAGATAATCTCAGTCATACATCGCTATGTATTGTTTTCCGCCAATAATTCACTAATGAAAAACACAAGGCATTCCTTAATGAACACCGATGTAGTACTAATTTTTGTTTTTATAAGAGAGCAGAAAACCTTAGGAGACAGGAGACATAGTAAATATTTATTCCCTTTCTTGTTTATGTTTTGAAAAAATGTTTGCCGTTTTCCTAATTATGCCATGGTCTTGTTATCCCAACGTCTGCAGCAATGACACATATTTTCTCTCTGAAATCAGTTTGATTTATTGTCAAGAAAACAGCGCTTTTCTTAATCCGTTTTGAGAAGCTATTTTGCCGCACTTAATCGTTGCTCGTTCGTGCACATTCAGATTGATTATAATAACCTTTTAGCTTAATTATTCGCATAAGATGACGAAAGAACAAGATGCCTAGTCCTCCATCGATGGAATCGACCCGAAAAACTGTTGCCTTCTAGATTTAATAATTGCGGCAAATTTTCTTGTAAAGAGGTCAGGCCTAGTGAACGGAAATGATTATTTTGTGGATTATCACCGTTGTCTTTACCTTCGAGGAAAGCGAAAACACAAATTTACAGGATATTGGAAATTATTGTAAATGGTTTGCGAGGAAGCCGCGAAAAGTCGTTTGTAAAACGAGTTGTCAATCTTGATGAAACAGTCTGAAGTGTTAGTCGCTGAATGAAAAATGAAATGCTGATGTAGATGTCAACAGCTTGTGATGTTTTGTAATCTTTAATTAATGGCTCTTTCAGCATTTCTGATGTTACTAGACGCATCTGGTATCATACACACACAATCTTTCACAGTTTATGTGGTTAAATTATTTCAACTAACTCTTCCACGGATTAGCTCAAATTATTACCAACATTGGCATAATATGTTGCTTAAAGACCACGTATTTTGGGAGTGTAATTCTGAGTATTGTTCTAGTTTTATTAAATCATCTCATGCTTCTTATAGTGGTTAAAGGTCAGATTCAAAATTGCCGTATTATGAGATACATTTATTACATTAGTCGCATTTTTCTCAGTTGCTATTGCAACTAATGATAAGTCTGCATCGCTAAAAGAATTATACAAACTATTTTATTGCCCATGGATTTTGTTAACAGTTTAACTATCCACAAGATCAATCGTAAACCTACAAGGTTGTTTTAGAGAGTTATAGATGATCATATTTCTCTCGACTTGACAGGATTTTGATTCAGAAAATAATATCAACTCGTGTTCATTTGTATATTTCTGGCGAAGATCGTACATGGTGTGAATATATTTCACTAAAGTTCGATTTCGTGCGTATAAAAGTATTAAAAATTTTTTACTTTTTTGATAAATTGCTTTGATGTTTGGCAAATGAAGCCAAAAAAGAAGTTATCCCGACAGCGGTCGTGGCTAGAGACTGTGTCAAAGCTGGCACGTAGATTTTTTAACTGCTATACAAAATTCAGAACATCGGTATTATATTCATTTCTTTCGAGATTTATTGTTTCAATAGTCAGTGGGCACAAAAAAATCACCACAGTTGAACAGAACATTATAAGTGCATGGGCTGACTACTGTATATAGAATCTCTCGTTTACGAACAGTCATCATTACTAGGCCCCCCTAACACAAAATGGAGAAGCTAAGAAAGTTCACACAAACTTTCTAGAGCGCGGTATTCCTTTGGTATTTATTATCAAATTTGCGATTTTGATGATTGACGATTTCTCCTTGACAAGCTCAAAGGTGTTATTACATCAACATGCAAAAGCCGTTCTTTGTCAAAGAGTGCATACTTTAACAATGACTGTGTTAAAACGCAGAGTTCAAATGTTGAATCAACGGATGCCATTTTTCTTCAGGCCCGAAGAGATTAGGGCTGAAACTCTTATCTTTAGTTTCGGTGGTGGTGGAGAGAGAGAGGGTGTTGTATCGTATGAGCTTGGGTATTTTTAGATACTAATTTATTTCTCTTTGACCTATTCGTTTGTACAAGTGTAAGTTTTACATTGATGTGTCCTGTTCACAAAATCGACACCAAATCATAGTGATTTGCTCTAAGATACATTGAAGCATTTTACTTGAATATTTTGAAATTTCATAACCGTTTCCGTAGCTCTTTTCAATGCATGTTTAAATTGTGCCCATTTGTCTTTCACATACGGTGTTAAATTAAGTCTGTTTGCCACATAAATCGCGTCATTTGCCGCAATCTTTGCCTAAGGCTAGTTGCGGTGGTAACTGTAAAGTTCTCGCAATTTATAGTAAAACCTTGCGGCCGAAGGACATTCGACAGAACTTAGCTTATGAATATTTTATAGGAAAATTTAACCCTTTGCAATAACACAAGTACGCATCGACTACGAGCTAAATGTTGGTGCTAGTTCGTTTTGATCGTTGATACTTTATAATTTAACGTGAAGAAAAGATAGTTTGTACTGCACCTTTTCTTGCTGCGTCGATTGAATTTCGCTAAATTCTCTCGCTGTCCTATGTAATCCCTCACCCAAATCTTGAAATAAGTCGCGTTGGCAAGATGTAACAAATTGACCACTTTGTGACAGAGATCAGCTGAACCCGTTTACCACGAAAAGTAGAGGTCAATTAAAAACAACTGCAATTTAATTCGCCAGACTTTTTAGCCGTTCTCTAGTGTTATGTTATTTGCTATGGAGAATTATCTGTAGATTGCCTTGATGGTAGTGTTGAGCCTTGATTGCTTACGCTGTCTAACAAATCTTTTCATCAACGTACCGGTTTATATACTGCGCAATCTTTGAAGAGATAGAGTGTCGAATTAATGGCCATAAGTGCCCTTGTTTGTAGAGGTCACTCCCACACGCTGACATTGATCTGTACATCTCATTTCCTGATTTTAAACTTAGGTAAACTGCGCACAGCTTGCTTGACGTGCATTGCTGCAGTATAATTGTTGAATCCATCGTCAAAATGTTTTTGTTTATTTAAGTTTGTTTTTGTTGTGATGCGGGCAGCAGTTACAACTGTTGCTTTTAAAACAGTCTGCTAATTGGACATGTTGAAATATTATTTTTCCCGTGAAGAAAGGCCTCGTTATTTGTTCATTAACAATGAATGAGAAACAACTCATATACGTTAAGAGCACCCTGCGATGCATGTCCTTATCCTCATCAACATTTCGTCATAAATGAAATGATTTATCCATATTGGGAGTGTAAGGTGATTACTACAGCGCAGTGGCAACATACCATGTCTGACGTCTACTTATGATCTGAATACCAAATTCAAGCTCGAGTTTGTTATCAATCGAGCTAGGAAGTTAAGTATTCCTAATGTTAATTCCTATGGAAATTTTGAGCGCTGTCACCCTGTCATCACGAAAACAAGAGGAATAACTTAAACTCACATTCACTCACATAGAGGTTTGCTATATGGCACAATATGAATCATGCTCGCATCCCAACACTCTTCGCGCGACTACCGCGACAAGGCAATAGCTTATTAGCTCCAGCATTAATATTATGAGAACTCTATCGGACTCGATAAAAAAAAGGATCAATTGAATACCTGGGAAGTTTGAGTTCACGGACACCACCCTGCCAGCAAATATCATACTTGCTCTTTCCAATCTAACAGACGACGAATTTTCGCATCAAGATACAATTACAAACGGGTCATCATAACCGACAATGAATGCGCATATGGGTCAGATCATATTTTTTAACAATTTGGGGGTGGCCTAGCTTTGTGCTGCAATGGCACAGGATATCACAGTTTTCCGAAATAAAAATAACTTTCGTCTTACGTTGTTTGAGCGGTGCAGTGTATGGAAATTTAACACTTAAGGTATTTATGACTGCGAGCCAGTTTCACACAAGTTGGAGTTGCGTTAATGCGCTTAACTTTTATGTTAACACGATAAAAAGTATTGCATTGCGTTGATTTCGTACTTTATTTTTTGATGCTGTTTTAATGTGGTTCAAAAGTCGCTTCGTGTGGCTATCGTGGTCCCTTTTTCTGATTATTTTCTTTAAAATTAGGGAAAGTTTAAGTAATTCTCGTTGTCGAAAGACAGCTCAAGTCGAAGGTGAAAAGTTAACTCCATGTTTGATACGAATACGGTACGGTGTGGCTACTGGCAGAGAAAAGGAATTCACTTGTGTTGAGCTCTAATTTCAGCTGTTATGATTTTTTTAATAAAAACGGTGGCTAAATGAGTGGAGAAGTTCATTACACGGGATAGTATGATAAATTTTCCAGCCATGCTTTTGAACATGTTTTCCTGACCTTAAATTTGAAGCCGTTTTATGAGGGACTATAGTTCCATGCAATTGTTAAGATATGTTTTTACATCAAGAAAAAAATACGATTTAGTGCTATAGAAGAATATTAACGACAATTAGAAATTCAGAAAACTTTCCAGCCCCGAGCTTCTCTTTCAAACTAAATCGAGAGCTTAGTTTAAAAAAGAGTTAATTCAAATACTGTTGTGTATTTTTGATTCAAGTGTATCGTTGACCGCGAAAATGTCTAAAAGTACTTGTGGCCCTGGCTTAAGTCTTTCGTTTTCTCACTTCTCGTCGATTCTCGTGTTCTTCTCCGGATTATTGACGCGTGGGTTACTGTGTGAAAGCGTGTGCAAAATCTCATTTAAGGTCCAACACTTCACGGTCAGTGTTCCCATCCTAATTTGGTATACTTTCCCGTAGAAATCATAAGCTAATTTTTGAAGTGTCAAATATTTAAAGAAAGCTTTGGAGGTGTTTTGAGTTTTGTGCGTGTTTCTTGATAATAGCTTACAAGAATTTGCTTTGTATATATTTGTAAGCCTCAAGTATATTTATGCAATTGCAATGGATGATGGTATAGAGAGTCGATGGTCTTTTCATTTGGACTTCACTCGTTACGTAAACTTTTCACAAAGTTTAATGATCATGCATGAAAGTGGCTGCGACTAGGATATGTTGAGAATTCCCAAGGTATTTATCTTTGATTCTAATAAAGAGTTTTTCAAAAATTCGCTTTGACATTAATTCAAACGCGTGATTATGTACGTTGTTTTGTTCAAAATCATTCACAACTTCGGCAAAACGTCAGGGAATTCCTTAGGTAATTTTAATTGACATTCGAAGCTGGATTAGTGATGAAAGTTGGTAATCTATTTAATTTAATTGAATAAAATTCTCTAAAGCTTCGATTATTTGCGTATAGCGCAGTTCCAATACGCTCCATCACTATTTTGCCTATAATTATCGCCTTTACTAAATATAGCAGCTAAATTGTTTTGAAACGTAATCCACTTTGTCTTGCATGAGCAATGAGCATTCTGTTCAGTTTCGTGCTTTTACGCTGGATTTCATTTTATTGACTCCAGTTTTAACATTCGTTCGTCTGACTCTCTTTTTGCCAGATTTTTATCAAATGCATAGTGTAGATATGCAAAACAAATGTTGAGGTGTGTTCCTGTGCGTCAATTTCAACAACAACTTGTCATGCAGCTTTTTTAAACAATAGATAAGTGTGAACAATAGATAGGTTGGATTAATTCTATCAAAGATGTTAGGAATTCCTCGCTTTCTTCAGATTAGCTTTGTCTCAGAGATGCCAAATGGAAATGTTTTTCTCATATCGGTATCACCAACAATCAACATCGATAGCATTGTGGTGAACTACTTACCCTACGCTAAAACGCCTCCATTCTTGTCATCAAGGTATCAATTTCACCCGCTGTTATAGGTGATGATAAAATCTTTGTGCACGATTAAAGTCATCAAGTCATGGGAATCAATTCAAAGGAATTTCAGCATTTCAGACAACTGTCGGTAAATTTAATCGTACTCAAAAAATTTGCGCATAGACAGAAAGAAACGAACAAGCAAATAATAGGCTATAAAATGGTTGATTAAACGCTGACAAGAATTCTTACGGGAAATATCTTCGATGAAAAAGTCGTCGTTGCAAAGTTAATTCAATGCATCAAAATTTTCACACAATTTCAACATTTGGTTGGCATTTTTCATTGATTAATCCGCTCTGATGTTTGTTCATCGAATTTTTCAGACGGTCACGAGGCAAGTCCCAGGCTCACATAATGTGACAAGATAACGTGCGAATCTTGATTAGCAACGATCGAAAGAAAAATGAAGTATTTTCTTTATAGAGAATGCAGGCCAAAACGAATACAAAATATTTTTAACAATACAATTCGGTTATGAATTTAAAAGAATAAAATTTTACCAAGTGTATGTGATGTTTATTTACTTACTGCACTAACCGTGGCAAATAAGTTCACAACAATTTACTTCATTTCTCTTCAATGACAGACCGTCTTTCGGAATACTGCAGCCTTCCCCCCCCCCCCAAAAAAAAGAAAAATTACTAATTTCTCCAAGAGACAAATGTGTTTTTAATTCAGAGCATTTTTAATGCTACAGAAATTCAAATACGCAAAGTATCAGTGTTATGAAGAAAATCAAATTCTCGCATAAATACTATTTAGAAAGCTGTTTTTATTGACTTAATTGTATACAATTAATTGGCAATTAATTTTCATAAACCCAATGCCCAACAAATACTGAATCCACATATACAGAAATCAATGATATTGACAAAAGATTGCTACACTTTTTTCATGTATACCAACTGCTAAATGAATAGGACAAAAGAGAGAAAATAAGCAATAAAGCACGATATAATTTCTTTCGTCATTTTTGCGTGAAATACTTTGTTTCTACATGTGTTGAATTCCTTGGATTCCAACATAAATCGAAAGAGAGACATGCAGCACCGGGGGGGCAGCACTTTCCGTCACTGCAACATGTTCCACCAGGCCAGCGACAACAAAGATAAGTTGCAAGAACGCCAGCTTCGAATAGAGGACAGCATTTTTGTAAGCTTGGACAATAGTGTAGTACTCCGTGTATACGTCCACAGATTGTAGGATTTGAATTCTAGAAAAGATTTTGATCATTAAGAAATAAACCAGAAACCACATAATTTAAGTCACTTTAAATACAATTGTAATTCAGCTTTGAACTGAAAGGTACTTGAACCTGTGAAATACACAATAAAACATTTGAGAACTATGCACGAGTATCGCACGTGATAAACGCTCAATTTGCATAATTACCATAAGAATAGAAAAAGAGGAGACACAAGTACACACACAAATGCGCAGGTAGTTTAAACAGAGAGCAGGCGACAATGAGCTGGAGAATCGATTCATTATTGTTTTTAGAAAAAGTTATTATTTTTTGTTATTTTAACAATGTTAAAAGCATCCAAAGTGAGCTAATTCCCTCACGGCCCAACGAGCATGCTCAATTTACCATACGAAACTTGTTGTGTAACAAACTACTCACATTTTTACTTCAATTGACTCTCTAGTTTAAAAAAACTTTAGCTCCATATGAAAATCTTGCTTTTTAAAAATGATTAGAGACGTTTTAGAGAGAATTTTAGAGAGACGAGTGAAGACACAAATGCGCTGATAGTTTGGACAAAGAGCAGACGACGATTAGCCGGAGGATAGATTCATTATTATTTTATGTTATTGAGGCAATATTGAAAGAATCCATGTTGAGCAAGTCACCACTTGACCCAACAATCCAACTCAAATTTATCATACGCAGAAAAGGGTCAGGTAACAACAAACTATTCACATTTTTAATTGTATTGATGCTCTTATTTCAAAAATCGTTTTCCAGTAATTGAAAATCTTACTAAACATGTTTGTCCGTCAAAGTGTTTTGCCATCGCATAATTCCAACTCATAAGGTAATAATTTTGAGTATACAGTAGGGTTATCTTCTTTATAATTTCTTTCTGGAGAAAGGGCATTTTGTTTGTATCTAGATCAACAAACGTCCGTCTGATTTTCATTGGAATTCTTGTAACTTGTCTCTATGTTAGGATGTCAGAATAATTAAGTCATGTCAAAAGAAAACATAAGTTTCATAAACGTTTTTTTCTGATCGATTTATAATAAGATTTTTACTATCTTTATGATTTACGTTGTCTAAGGTTTTAGACTTTGGGCAAACCCCCCCCCCTCCCCTCTCTGACCTGCATCTCCGTTGTTCTGAGCTTTTATTACAAAGTTTATGTTAAAAAAACAGCAAGATGACTAACCTCTTTGTTTTCCTTTTCCAATAATGAATTTATCGTTCTTCGCTTCAACTGCTTATATTGTTCCATGTTGACCAATACAAAAAAAATCATTAGGTACAACACAAAATAGAAGGCTTTCATGGCTAAAACAAAGAAAGGAAATGTAGTTCTTACATTTCATGTAATTCAAATATTTGCTTTTATTTTACATTGAAAGCATTCTTATACGTCTGATTGGCTAAAAGTGATCGGATAGATTGTCATAAGCAATAGCGATGACGTAGCTAGTAGATATGACATCATCACACTCTCAAGAGGGTGAGGCAAACAGCGCGAGAATGCAAACAACATAAAAATTTGATCTAAAATCTACACATTTTTTACAGTCAACCAACGTTTATTTTTTTAGAATGAATAATGACCAGTTATTAAATTTAGCATTTACTAATATACAGAAGTATCGGTAGAAATGTTTTGTCCGCTTCAGCTGTTCGCTTTGGAAGCTAAAACAATCATTGGTCTAAGATAATGAACTTCGAGGCAACAGTTTAGTAATTACCTTTTCTTTTACTGGTTCCCTGCAACTAAAACAAAGATGCGACAGAATAAAGTCGTAAAATTCCCTTCCTTATTCTTACATTTTGTGTTGAGCTCTGATCACTTGCTATGGTGTGTTTACTGTGACATGGTATTTATGCACAGAATATGATATATACAGAAGGGTCGCTCCTGTCGGAACCTTTGATGTTTTTGTTTTTGCGCATGTTATGCCGCGCATATTAGCTGCCATTATTCCAGAAAGATATTTTGGGTTTTCATTTGTTTCCAACCACTAAAATGACACGACGTCCTTTCTTATATTGAAATATTTTCGTTTTCACTACGAAGAAATGACGTCATGTTATTGCAGTGGATGGAAACAAGTGAAAAAGAATAATGGCGGTCGTGATGACGCGGTGCACACTTGAGTGACCCTTCTGTATGGTTATTATATTCTGTGATTTAAGTAAGAATTGATCATGTGAGGCTCAAACGACATAGGTAAAAAACATGTTTTTGAGCTTTTTCTTATGATAAACTTTATACAATAATGACGTCCATAGCCTCATGACATAAACACTGTATGATTATATGAGAAAACCAAGATAGTAAAAATATCTGGTTCAGCTCTGTAACACGAACAAATTTGTATGTTAAGGTATGTAAGAGCACCCTTAGTTGTATGTCATTTCAAAAACAACCTTTCTGGTTATTTGAGGGATAAAGTACTTACTTAACCATGAACGCCCTTCATTAGCATGCTCAGATTGACATCTGTCACATGTAAAGAGTGTCGAATGAATATTAATTATATATATGTACTTTTTTATGTGCTTTATTCCTTAAAAAGCCTGCAAGTCGTTTACTGAATGTATATAGAATTAAGCGTGCTCTTATAATCCTGAAGTTTCAAGTTAATCAGAACCATAGAGCTAAGGAAGCTAATTTTTTTACCAGTTACACATTTATTTTTGTTATGCATTTACGCTATGTCATGTGACTACAACGTCATCATTAAGAAATCATTATAATGATTACACTGGTCAACAGCAAATTTGGTGTCTCAGTTTTGTAAACTGATTTTGGATAATTTTGATGTGCTGAGTCCAAAAATAACACTATTTTTGCTGGGTCAGGTCGAGATTTTAAACTATCGTTAATTTTCTATTTTTTAACTTTTAAATACCCGAGAAAGGTACAACAGAAGCACTAACCATTTACCTTTTAAAGTTCTATTATCTGAACAAATTTAAATTTTTTAGCACTAGCAATACAAAGAAGAAAGCATTTGAATAAGCAATTTTTGATTGAATTTCAATTAGGGAGTTTAGGTTTTGCGATTATTATGGGATATTTAAAGATAAAATAAGGCTTTATTTAGCCCATACTGAAATTCAATGGTAAAACTTGTTAAAACACACCAACATATTAATGTACGTAAAAATAATAAAAGTAGAAATAAGAAAAATAAGCCAGATGTTTTTTGCTATGTTTGTGGTGAATACACACTTGCACCAAATCGCAATACTGTCACCACCTTTATCAAGCGCGTTTACTATGCATATTTTGGCATGAAGCTCGGCGATCAAGACAAAAGTTGGGCACCTCACATGGTTTGCAAAGATGGCACGCAAAAGTCCATGAACTTTGGCATCCCCATGATTTGGCGAGAGCCTTAAATCATGCAACCGATTGCTACTTTGTGCTATCAATGTCATGGGAATTAACAGAAAAAATCGCACAACACTGGAGTATCCCAATCTACCGTCAGCTATGCGCCCTACTCCTTATAGTGAAGAAATTCCCGTACTTGTATTTGAAGATACAAGTATTGAAGAAAGCAGTAGTAGCCAGGATGAAACTCAAAGCATTGCCACTACCGTTGATGCATCCTTTCCACATGACTAAATTGTTTTCCCGATGGCAAAATTGTTTCCCAAAACGAACTAAACGATCTTGTTCGCGATTTAAATTTGCCAAAAGACTCTGCCGAACTTCTTGCATCTCGTTTAAAGGACAAGAACATGCTAAATGGTAAAGTTAAGGTAAGTTTCTTCCGTACCAGGCACCAGGAATTTTTAAGATATTTTGCTCAAGAAAAAGAATTAGTCTATCGCAATGACATAGTAGAGCTACTGAAACATCTCGGCGTACCTGAATACAAATCAGAGGACTGGCGACTTTTTATCGACAGCAGCAAAAGGTCCTTGAAATGTGTGTTGTTACACAATGGAAATCAATTTGCATCTGTGCCATTGGCACATTCGACAACATTAAAAGAACAGCATGAAGCAATTAAGTACGTCCTAGAAAAAATTTCTTATGACCAACATAAATGGCTGATTTGCGTTGACTTTAAAATGGTCAACTTCTTGCTTGGTCAACAGTCTGGATTTACCAAATACCCATACTTTTTATGCCTCTGGGATAGTAGGGATCGTACTCATCATTACGTGAAAAAAGAATGGCCAGTACGTGAAGAGCTTGCAAGTTGTAGAGCAAAAAAATGTGATAAACAAGCCTCTAGTTGACAGGGGACGTATTTTATTTCCTCCACTGCACATAAAGTTCGGTTTGATAAGGCAATTCACTAAAACTTTGGATAAAGATGGACGGTGTTTTCAGTTTCGTTGTAAAACCTTCCCCAATTTGTCAACTGAAAAATTAAAAGCTGGTATTGATCCCGAAAATCTTGGCTCTTTAAGCGATGAGCAAGGAGAACGCTTTCACCATGACTTAAGAGAAAGGTGGGACATGGTGATGATGGCAGACTACTGTTGGAATTTAAAAAGAGATGTGCAAGCACCAAAACATTCGCGACAATCAAAAACGAAAATTTAGACCGTAATAATGCAAACATTAAGTTTTCATTTTTAGTTACATGTACTGTACATGAAGTGTACATGATTCTTTCTTGGAATACTGCAATTTTATCATAAAAACTGACATTTTGTTTTGAAACATCTTGAAAACATGTACATCTTGAAAACATTGTTTTAAAAATATAACTAAAGTCGCATAATTTTAAATTCAAATTTGCAAAAAAATTTGACCTCCGAGAGCAAAATGAATGTTATTTCTAGATTTAGCATAGCAAAAATATAGTAAATCTGTCAAAAAATATCAGACACCTTTTAAAAAGTTTCTTTTTGTTGACCAGTGTTATAACCGTACCATGTTTACTTCATTTTATCTTTATACGCTTTCTGCAAATACCTAAGTGAACACCCCATTTTGGAATAAATATGTATATAAAATTATTATTTGCAATCATTTTGTCAAAAACTTTCCCTTAAGGTCCGTTCACACGATCCGATTTGTCGGATCCGATTGTTCGGTTCTGATTTTTTGGTGCTAGTTCAAACGGTCTGATGATTTTATTGATATTTATATTATTTTAGATATTTACAGTCTTGTGAACAGCCATTTGTTTTATCAAGTACTTTTATGGGTGTATTTTTCGTATTTTTGTTATTGTCTCCAAGTCTTTTTCAAATATATGTAATTTGACTATTCGGCTTCTTGTGATCTTTCTTGGGTGGAAATAGAGCAAGCTTTATATTTCCATCCGATCTTTTAGATTAACAGATCCTACTATCAGATGCTCACTTTATATGCGTTTACACACATGGGCGAATATAGGATTTTTCAAACATCAGTCATAAAACGTCGGAGGTGCTCAGCACCTGGGGGCGAGTCTTTCTCTCCTGGGAAATTTTGAATTTTAGAGTTTGAAATGCCATTTTCAGCGTTTTAGAGCAATACAAAATGCATTTTGTGGGCATCGTTTTTGCGTAAAAGCAACACATTTTGCTCACGTTTTTCTCAAAAAAATTGAAGTGAACAATACTTGACTGTTTTGCCAAATATTTAGGCTCATTATCATGCCAAATACATGGCTCATTAGAATGTCTAGGAACATAAAATTTATTTTACAACAATGCTATTCCAAAAAAGATATAGTCTTTAAAAATTTCTACCAAGTTGTCAGGCATAGACCCCCTAGAGAACCCCATTCAAACATTTATGTAATGAGTTAAGTTAGAAATTTGGTACTGCAAGGAACAGTTCATAGATGTAGAAAACCTCAGACCTCATACCATGCAAGTTTATTGTAGCCCTTTACCCATCTCCACATACAGTGCCAGCAAATTCACCTTTTGAGAAAAAACTCAAAATTTTTTTCTGCCAAAGATTAAGCAAAAAGTATCAGAGTGAAAATTTGCAATTGAGGACAGCTTAATGCCATTAATTTTTATTAGGCATTTCACTAGACTATTATCTTCTGTAATTATATGCAAGGTGTGCTATATAGCAATCACCAGTAGCATTGTATTTGCCAATACAAACAGAATGTAACCAACATGTCTTTAATCCTATAATTGATCTGGCTAGTCCCTAGAAACCCATCGTCAAATCTGCCCGCAATTAGTTTTGATTTCTCCACTGTTGAATCTTTATGCCCATGTTTGTGCTGTTCTTTTATATAGTTTTCTATGATTTCAGGCTCCATTTTTAGTCCGTTTTACATTTGGTGTGTAGATTTAACTTTCGAGCACAAAATATCATTAATGGCCTTAGTTGGTACTTTTTAGGACAGCTGCTCTATAACATTTGGATGCTGTTATCCGATACTTTCTATGGGTGTGCCAACTTTTTCTAGAAGACTGATTTCTGGTCTGGTCTTTAATCTGCTTGGCCTGTACATCATCAACAACTAACCTTGCTCTGATTTTTTTCACTCTTTCGTTGATTGTATTCAATGATGAAGGAATTTCGGTAACTTTTATTGGTGAGATCAGTTCTTCTTCAGATTCTCTCTCCTGTTCTGGTAAATCCTGATGCAAAATGTGGCACCGTCCAATTGACTTGTTAGTTTCTTTCTTTAAATTTTTTAGTTTTTTGAATAAAATCTTAAGCTTTTCATCATTAAAAGTACTTGAAATGCTTTCTGTGATTGAGATGTATCAATCTTTGGAGGTTTACTTCTTTTGCAGGCCTTGTTGTAATCATGCTTCTGGAACTTCATTGACGAGATTGGTTGGACTTCCCCTTTTCTATTCCGTAGAATGGTTCATTGACAAGGCTTTGATGTACAGGAAAGCTCACTTTTGCATTGCTTTAAGTTGTTTTTACATACAGAGTCAACGTAAAAGAGAGTTGCACATACATGATTGCATCTTCCATCAACTCCAGCTGAACAACCACATTTGGCATATAAAACATAGCCTAATAAGGAGAGCTGAATAAAGCAGGTATAAACTTTCTTCTTTTTCATGGATGGCAAAAATTGACTTTTGCTAAAGTGCTTGCCATCTTTCAGCTGGTTAAAACATACACAGTACATGCTTAGATATAGAAAAGTTGTCAGAGCGGTTTGGCAGTAAATAGTTGCTTTTTCCTCTCTATATTTTCAATCATAAATTTCCAAGCTGTTCCAAACGTAACTTTGGGTATTGTAGACAGAATTGAGGTATAACCATCTGTTGGGAACCTTCTCAAATCTGCAGGGGTAGTTTGATCAAGAACACCAGCCTCTGATTTTTTCTTTAAGATGTGTATACCATGCTGATCACGGAGATATTTCTAATCGAGTTTGCGGTCGATATAATGCTTCACTCTAAATTTCAAATGACATAAATTCGCATCACTTTAAATTGAATACTTGCATTCAAGTATCTTAAATAAGCTTTCAAATTTTCTGACAAAATAACCTTAACTTGTGCACTTTTGTAGCAAACTGTCCAGTCTGGCACATGTACATGCATCGACTAACCTAATTCGCAAGTCAGCCAGTTTTCCAGTTGTTATTGCACCCCCAAAAAATAGCCATCTTCACAAAATTGAACACGTACACTAGTTGATAGGTTTTTGTAATTTTGCATCAGGAATATCTTCCTCTTTGATAGTAACATCCATATTTTTACTACAATGTTTACTGTGCTTACTTACTAAACAATGCTTTAACAATGTTTACTACAATGTGTCACAAACTAAACAAGAGTAAAATGTCCCGAGTAACGATCCCAGAAGCTTTTGCGATACGAATTTGCGCCATTTTCCAGCTCGTTTTTTAAATGGGCAATTGAAATTGGAAGCTGGATTAGTAATAAAACTTGAATAAAATTTTCTAACGCCTCGATTATTTGCGTAGCGGCGCAGTTCCAATATGTTCCATCACTATTTTGCCTATAATTATCGCATTTACTAAATACAGCGGCTAAATTGTTTTGAAACGTAATCCACTTTGTCTGGCATGAGCTATGCATTGTGTACAGTTTCGTGCTTTTGAGCTGGATTTTATATTTTTGACTCTAGTTTAAACTTTCGTACGTTTGACTTTGTTTTTGACAGAGTTTTATCAACTGCATGGTGTAGATACGCCAAAGAATGTTGAGGTGTGCTGCTGTGCGTCAATTTTAACAACAGCTTGTTATGCAGCTTTTTTAACATCGATAGTGTAAACAATAAATAAATTGGTTTCATTCCATTAAAGATGTCGAGAATTTCTAGAATTTCCTCAGATTAGCTGTTTCTCAGAGCTGGCAAATAGAAATGTTTTTCACATATCAGACATCATCAACAAACAACATCAACAGCATTGTGGTGAACTACTTACCCTACGCTAAAACGCCTCCATTCTTGTCATCAAGGTATCAATTTCACCCGCTGTTAAAGGTGATGATGAAAACTTTGTGTGCGATGAAAGTCATTAAGTCATGGGACTCGATTCGAGGGAATTTCAAGCATTTCAGACGACTGTCAGTGCATTTATACTCACAACAATTTGCTCATCGACAAAAGGAAACGAACAAACAACTGATAAACTATAACAATGTTGAGCAGACGTCGTTTTACTGATTGATTGATTAAACTTTATTAAAAGAGGGTAACACGTGACACAACAAGTGTGAAAAACTTGTGGCCCTCAAACTAACAAACTACGAGATAAATTACAATTTAAAAACCAGAATTACACAAGACTAAAAATACTAAAAAACTAAATAATAAATTATTCTATGAGCATATCTGAATTAGCTTTATCATAAATGTTTGACAATTTGACAAAACATTCTTAGGGGAAATATCTTCAATGATTTAAGTCTCCGTTGCAAAATTCAATCGACGCATCAAAATATTCACTCAACTTTTGGCTAACTTTTGTCATTGATTTTTTCGCTCTGATGTTTATCCAACGAATTCTTAAGATAGAGGATTGATATCCAAAAACAGCATACCTTTAACAATACGATTCGGTTATGAATTTCAAAGAATAAAATTTTACCAAGTGTATGTGATGTTTATTTACTTACTGTATTATCCGTGGCAAATACGTTCACAACAATTTACTTCATTTCTCTTCAATGACAGACCATCTTTCGGAATACTGCAACCTTCCCCAAAAAATTACTAATTTGTCGAAGAGACAAATGTGTTTTTAATTCAGAGCGTTTTTAATGCCACAGAAATTCAAATACGCAAAGTGTTAGTTTTATAAAGACAATCAAATTCTCGCATAAATACTATTTAGAAAGCTATTTTTATTGACTTAATTGTATAAAATTAAATGGCAATTAAATTTCATATACCCAAAGCCCAACATATACCCCGTCCTGTTATACAGAAATCAGTGAACAAATATGGAAAATTAGACAACCAAAATCCTGGGGACAGCAACTTCCGCTACTGCAACATTTTCCATTTAGCCAAGGACAACAATAATAATTTACAAGAGCGCCAGCTTTGCGTACAGGACAGCATTTTTGTGAGCCTTTACAAAAGATCATATCTCCATGTATAACCCCACACAATTTACCATTTAAATTCTAGAAGAGTTAAGAAACAAATCTATATTATTAAAGTCACTTTAAATACGATTATATTTCTGCTTTAAAGTAAAGGTTATTTTTGAATTTCTTATAAACAATAAAACATTAGAGAGCTATGCACGAGTATTGCACGTGATAAACACCTAATTTGCACTAACTAGTATAAGAATTGAAAACAAGGAGAGACAAGTGAAGTCACACAGTTGCACATGAAGTTTGGAAAGAGAACAGAAGACGATGAACCGGAGGATTACGATTCACTATTTTATATAGAAAAAGTTATCGTTTTATGTTTTTGAGAATACAATATTGAAAGCATCTAAAATGAGCTAATTCCCTCAAGATCCAACGATTCTGCTCAATTTATCGTACGCAGAAAAGGGTCTGGTAACAAACTATTTACATTTTTACTTCTATTTCTGCTCTAATTTCAAAGATCATTAGCTTGATATTTGAGATAGTTTTGTCATCGCTTAGTTCCAACTCGTAAGGACAGGTTTATAACAAAATGTGACAATCAGTGAGGCTAACTTTGTCAGAATCTCTTTCAGGATAAAGGGCGTGCATGTTGTTTGGATTTAGATTCATGCAACAAACGTCCGTCTAATTTTCATTGAAATTCTCATAACTTGTCTCTCTATGTTAGAATGTCAGAATAATTAGTCATGTGAAAAAAGCAAAAAAGAAAAAAACATAAGTTTTATAAATGTTTTTTTGGATCGAATCATAAGGAGATTTTGACCATTTTCATGATATGTTTATGTTGGTCTACGCTTTTAGAATTGCCGACCCCCACCCCCCACCCCCCTCCCCCAGCATTCAACATAGTTGGTCCGAACTTTTATTACAAAGCTTATTTATGAAAAGCAAGAAGATGACAAACCTCTTTTTTTGTCTTTTCCAATAATGAATTTGTCGTTCTTCTCTTTAAGCGCTTGTTTCGTTCCATGTTGACAATTGCAAGAAAAATCATTAGATACAACCCAACGTGGAAGACTTTCATGGTCAAAGCTAAAACAAAAAGGGGAAGTGAATTTAATTACATTTCATGTTTTTGTTTTCCAATCACATTTCAAGCCTTTTTGTTTTCTTCACATCTGATTGGCTAAATTCGATCGGATAAATTGTCATATCCAATAGCGATGACGTAGTAGATGTGAAATCATTACACAATCACGAGGCGAGGCGAACAGCGCGAGAAAACAAACAACATTAAAAATTGATCTAAAATTCGTACATTTTCTACAGTCAACCAACGTTTAGTTTCTTAAAATAAACAATAAATCAGTTATTAAATTTGGCATTTGCGTAATATAAAGAAGTATCAAGCCATCGGTAGCTATGTTTTGTCCGCTTCAGACCTTTCGCTTCGGAATATAAAAGCAACAGTTTATTAATTACCTTTCCTCTTACTTGTCAGCTGCAACTGAAACAAAGATGAAACAGAATAAAGTCGTAAAATTCCCTTTTTTTTTTTACGTTTTGCGTTGAGCTCTGATCATTTGCAATGGTGTGTTTACTGTGACATCTCATTTAAGCACTGAATATGAAATGTACAGAAGGGTCGCTTTAGTCGGAACCTCTGATATTATTGTTTTTGCGCATGATATGCTGCGCATGATATTTAGAGCTTTGAAATATTTTCGTTTTTACTACGAAGAAATGACGTCATGTTATTGCAGTGGTTGAAAACAAATGAAAAATATTAATGGCGGTCGTGATGACGCGGTGCACACTTGAGTGACCCTTCTGTATGGTTATTATATTCTGTGATTTAAGTATGAATTGATCATGTGAGGCTCAAACGACATAGGTAAAAAACATGTTTTTGAGCTTTTTCTTATGATGAACTTTATACAATAATGACGTCGATAACCTCGTGACATATACACTGTATGATTGTATGAGAAAGCTAAGATAGTAAAAATAACTGGTTTAACTCAACAAATTTGTATGTTAAGGTATGTAAGAGCACCCTTAGTTGTATGTCATTTCAAAAACAACCTTTCTCGTTATTTGAGGGATAAAGTACTTACTTAATCATGAACGCCCTTCATTAGTATGCTCCGATTGACATCCGTCACATGTAAAGAGTGTCGAATGAATCTTAATTATATATATGTATTTTTTTATGTGCTTTATTCCTTAAAAAGCCTGCAAGTCGTTTACTGAATGTATATAGAATTAAGCGTGCTCTTACAAGCCTGAAATTTCAAGTTTGTCAGCACCATAGAGCTAAACAAGCTGATTTTTTTCCCAGTTACACATTTATTTTTGTTATGCATTTACGCTATGTCATGTGACTACAACGTCATCATTTAGAAATCATTATAATGATTATAACCGTACCATGTTTACTTCATTTTATCTTTATACGCTTTCTGCAAATACCTACGTGAACACCACACATTTTAAAATAAATATGTATGTAAAATTATTATTTGCAATCATTTTGTCAAAAACTTTCCTTAAGGCCCGTTCACACGATCCGATTTGTCGGATCCGATTGTTCGGTTCTGACTTTTTGGTGCTTGGTCAAACGGTGTGATGATTTTGTTGATATTTATATTTGTTTAGATATTTACAGTCGTGTGAACAGCCATTTTTGTTATTAAGTATATTTATGGGTATATTTTTCATATTTTTGTTATTGTCTCCAAGTCTCTTTCAAATATATGTAATTTGACTATTCGGCTTCTTGTGATCTTGTCGGATGAAAATCGAGCGAGTTCTATTTCCATCTTATTTTTTAGGTTGACGAATACGACTGTCGGATGCTCACTTTATGAGTGTTTACAAAATCCTTTTTCTTTGACCCGACAAATTCGATCGTGTGAACGGGCCTTTTTATATAAGTTAGTTACATTAACGGCTAAACATTTCATCATTGAATTTTAGATAAAAAAGCAAAAAAGGCCATAAATTTTCTGTTTGGTTAAGCTCAGTTTTAAGAATTGTAAATACGTTCTTGTGCTGTAAGTACAAACATGTAGTGAAACTGAACCAGTACTTAGCTACAGAGAAACACAAATCCACTTTTTCAAAAAGTAACTCCCTTTTGGGAATAAATAACAACAAAAATATAGCAAATCCTTACGCAATGATTTGATGCTTATTTTTTTAAGTTTCAGGGAAATTAGGTCCGCACAATAACGAAAAGTCTGTGCGATTTTTATGGCTTTTTCCTAGTTATTATTGGAAATTCTGTTTATGCTTACCTATTCAAAGCACCAAAATATCGTCGTTCTATGTTAAATATACAAATTGTCAAAGTTTCTAAAATATTTTCCCTTTCGTCAAAGATAAAATTGTGTTTTTATTTACACTATTTTTCATGCCACGGAAAACACACGCTGCGTCAGTGTTATAAAGAAAAGGTAGCTAAAAATTCTAACAAAAATACAATTTAGAGGCTATTTTATTGACGTAATTGTATAAAATTATATAACAAGTTTCGTTAACACAATGCCCAACATATTCCGATACAGAGATATGGCAGAAAGCCTTTTCTACATTTTTTAATTAACACTATATATAATTGCTATAGGAATACGGAAAAAGAGAGAAAAAAAGCAACAAGGACACATTATAACGTCTTTTATCAGCTTCTCGTGAAGTACTTTATCTATACATGTGTTGAATTCAATGGCATGATACATCTATCATGAAGACAAATAAAATGTGCAGGACAACAGCCTCCGTCAGGGCAACATACTCCATCCAACCAAGGACAACAACCGTAATCAATAAGGCGGCTGACTTCGTATTTAGGACAGCATTTTAAAGACAAAAGTGTACGTGGACAAAAGTATGGTACGTCATTTATGTATCCACATAGTATAGGATTTGCATTCTAGAAGAAATTTAAAAATTATAAAAAATAAAGGAGAATCCACGTTATTGAACAGTAGGACTAACTGAAATAAATTTTGATAGTTGTTGTTTATTAATCTTTATTAACCCTTGTTTGGTCAGTGTCGCTAAACGGCAACAAAATAGAACGATTTGAAACACTACCAGAAAAAAACTTGCCCTCTTAAGCGATAATAGAGATCTTTTATTATTTTGTAATGGAAGGTGTTTCAACAACGTACAGCACGCAGTAGTTAGTAAATGTTTGTTTAGACGTCAGGGTCAAGGTACAGTATAGGAATATACAGTTGGTCCACTTTGTGTGCAATTTAATGCTGTACATTTAATTAGATTACTGGCTGCCGTTTGCCATTTCATCATTCGTATTGGTCAGAAAAAGCAATTGACTAGCTGCCGCTATGGTAATGACATGCGTAATAAAATATGCGTAACACGAATAAATTGAATGGAGTGGCTCTACTGTATATTCACTATACTGTGGCAAAAATATAATGTTAGTTATACTAGTTTAGCAAAGTTATCATGCTGTGAGTTCAAGTTTTAAATCTATTTTTTATTTTTATGAAAACAAGTATCAGTGAACCTTAAATAATTTTCTGAAGATAAGTTTGTTAAGAAATCCATAATATTTATATTGGGTGAATTGATGCAAGCAAAACTTTATATAAACATTTTATTATAACATATGAGAATTTATAACCCAGGGAATGGCGACCACAATCGCGTCTATTCGTTTAGAATATCGTTTTATGGAGTAAATCTTTATGATAACAAGTGTACTACGAGCTCGCGATTTCTATGAGGCGGTACTTTATGAGGGTAAAGCCCGAATCAACTATTGCAACACTGAAATCGAGAGCGAGTTTTAAGTAATCTAATTGTTTAGTAGAATCATACTTGTATTCATAAAGAAAAGGGTTGCTTGAAAAGGGTCTCCAAACTTCGTCTCGGAAAACATTCTTTGAAAATAATACTCCTATTTCACTCGGGAGTATAAATTGAATGTGTATTAATTGGAAACAATGATATTAAGTGGGCAAAAACAGTCATTTACGCAAATGTTCGTGCAGCAATTTAGTTTTTTGTTTTATTGAAGTGAATCAATAAGGCTTGTTAACATTCAACATGGAAGTAATCTGCAGTTGCGATTTGATTTGCAATTCTGATTGAACCTTCACAAAAATACCTATACCTAATATACGAATGTGCTTTTCAATTGGATTAATGAAGCAACAGCAATAAATTATTTTTTCTCAAACGTGTTCTTCATTGTTATTTCAACCACTCGTAATTCGGATCATGTCTGTAGATAGCAATGAAATATTTTTGAAATATTCAATTTCGCGGAATATTGTTTATACGCCATTATAATTACTATTTATTTTTATTCGCAATCTTTCAGGAAAATCAGCAGATCTTTCTCTTCTATACTTAAATTACAACGGCAACTAAACTTTTCTACGCTAAATTTGAGATAAACAAAGGAATATAAACTATAATTTTTCAGTTGGTAAACACGTAGTTACACGTTCATGTGCTGTAAATGCCAAAAAGCACGAAGTACAAAGTACAAACATGTGGTGAAACTGAACAATTCCCTTCGAGGAAGCAAATACTCCCTTTTGCAACCAAATAACTCTCTTTTGGGTGAGCAAAAGCAACAGGGTGAAACTAGAACGTAAATTGGGGATGGTGGTGGGTAAATATTCATATATTTAGCTATGCCGTGCTGACTTCTTTGAAATTAACATCGCAAACAAAAGAAATCAGCAGAGCAGAGCTAAATATATGAATATTTACCTCTCAATCCCAATTCTAGTTGCGCCCTCGGTTCTGAGCTATCAATACTAAGTTTATGTTTGAAAAAACAAAGATGACCAACCACTTTGTATGTCTTTTCCAGTAATGATTTTATAATTATCGGTCTTCGCTTCAATCGCTTGTATCGTTCCATGTTGACCAATGCACAAAGAATCAATAGATACAACACAACCCAAAAGGACTTCATGGCTAAAACAAATTAAGAGATCGTGTATATGTAGGTCTTTCTTGTTATGTTAATCAACTTTATCTTCTTTTTATTCATTTAAAATAAATAAAGAGGCACGAGTATAGAGACACAAATGCGCAGATAGTTTGAACAGAGAGCAAACGACAATGAGCTGGTGGATTGATTCATTATTGTTTATAGGAAAAGTTTCTATTTTATGTTTTTTTAACAATGTTAAAAGCGTCCAAAGTGGGCTAATTCCCTGACGGCCAATCGATTTGCTCAATTTACTGCATGAAAAGTGTTGTGTAACAAATATCACATTTTTACAACTATTGACTCTCTAATTTCCAAATTTTTTTGCTCCATACGAACATCTTACTTTTTAAAAATGTTTATACGAGAAAGAGTTTTGCCATTGCTTAATTTCAACTCGTAAGGACAGGTTCATAAAAAAACATAACATTTTTTATTAATGTTTTTAACTAGACAGAGAGATTGACTTCATTAGAATCTCTTTCTGGAGAAATTACTTGTTCGCTTGACTTGTTCCTTTATTTACGTCGCACGGACTTGATCCAGTCCCTATGCGAATTATCAACTTTTACTGTCGGATTTCATATTTGATAAATAATAATTCGAAAACAACGCAGCGTATGAAGAAATTGTAATATAAGTTTAATATTACTTTTGAAGAAGCAAAACGAAAGTGCTATAAAAATTGTAAGATATGCATTTTAAAAAAAATCGTCGATTGGCTAAAAGTGATCGGATAATTCGTCTTATCGCATAGCGATGACGTAGTTGGTAGGACATCATCCGACAATCAAGAGACGAAGCTTGTAATAATTTTTCCTGTCAATGGCATGTTAATAATAAAAATAGCTGGTTCAGCTCTGCAACACTGACAAATTTGTTTGTTAAAGAATGTAGGAGCATCCTTGGTGTATGTCATTCCAAAAAAACTTGTTTGATTATCTGAGAGATAAACATTTGAAGAAAAACATAAAGCAGATTCGAAAAACGTAATATACGGTAGCAAACCCGGAATAATTTGTCAAATGCAAGCCTAAATGATAGAGGAAAAGTAATTTCTGCTATTGAATTAATATGAGTAATTTAATGTTATGAAAAATTTATTCAACTTTGTAAGCAAATAAAGATCAACATGTGATTCCTTTGTGCAATTAGTTCTTCACATGTAAAATTCAAATGTTTCATGAAGTTTAAAGAGCATAAAACGATATATATCATATGTTATGACTTGTCATGATAATAAACAAATATCAATTGATATTCTTAATTTTTTTTTTATTCATGAAAATCTTCTACCTTGTATTGACTTTGCATGCTTTTTTTTTCTAAAATCAATCAAGATGAAAGATTACCAAGCATTCAAAGTGTACGAATGACAGACAAACATGTTAGGTGCTCATGTTGTGTTAAACACATGAGAACAGTTTATATTTTAACGGGAGTAATTGAAACCTTTCTTGTTATCAATAAACTTCATAAACAAATACATTATTACTGCTTAAAACAAATGTGTTTTTCCAACAACTAGCGAGTATGTTGCTTATAAAGCAATGTTGCAATAGCAATGGCGTATAAATATAAAGTCATCACCAACTCGAAAGGAGAGGCAAACGAGAGGTTCGAGAAAAGAAACAACATTAAATTTGATCTAAATTCGCCCTTTTTCACAGTCATCTGAACTTTAGTTTTCTGGAATAAATCATAAGTCATTTATTAAATTTGGCATTTGCACATTTTAAAGAAATCTATCGCAAAGATTGCTTCGGAAGATAAAACTATCATTGGTCTAAGATTATAAACTTTAAGGAAGCAGCTTAAAAATTACCTGTAATTTTTCTCGTTCTTTGCAAATAAAGTAAAGATGCAACGGAATAAACTAGTAAAGCTCCTGTCTTTTTTCTTATATCTTCTGTTGAGCTTTGTTTACTTGAAATGATGCGTTTACTGTTAGATCTCATTTAAGTAAGAATGGATCTTATGAGACTCGAATGACGCTCATTTGTCTTTTATGATATCTTATAAATGACCTTGATAACCTCATGACGTACAGAGTGTTCAAAGGTCGCCGTGTTGGGGGAAATTTCATAAAGTGAAAAGAGTTTATGCTAATTTCATGGTTTTTTTGAGCATCGGCAATTTATGTACTCCTCAAACATGGCCGCTTTGACGTCCCATGCAAGCACTCCATACATTATATGATTATATGAGAAGGCCTAGACAGTAAAAATATCTAGTTCAGTTCTGTAACAATGAAAAATTTGTATGTTTAGGTATGTAGGTTTGTATGTTTAGGTATTGTATGTTTGGTTGTATTTTCATTTCAAAAAAACCTTTTTGATTATCTGAGGGATAAAACATTTGAAGAAAAACATAAAGCAGATTCGAAAAACGTAATTTATAATAATAATAATAATAATTGAACTTGTACAGCGCTCATATCAAAAATTCATGGCGCTTCACAATAAAAAGAAAATAAATATGAAACTTATATAAAAGCAGTAATAAAATGTCATTTTTCATTAAAGATCACGTAAAACCAAATGAAACAAAGTTTTTAAATAAATGGCTTTTCAGTTCTTTCTTGAAAGATTGAATTGAAGAACTTTTCTTAATTTGAAGTGGAAGATTATTCCACAGTTTGGGTCCAGCAACACTGAAAGATATACGGTAGCAAACCCGGAATAATTTGTCGAGTGTAAGCCTATATGATAGAGGAAAAGTAATTATTGCTAATGAATTAATATGAGTAATTTAATCTTATGAAAAAAATATTCAATTTTGTAAGCAAATAAAGATCAACATGTGATTCCTTTGTGCAATTAATTCTTCACATGTAAAATTCAAATGTTTCATGAAGTTTAAAGAATATAAAACGATATATATCATAAGTTATGACTTGTCATGATAATAAACAAATATCAATTGATATTATTAATTTTGTTTTATTCTTGAAAATCTTCTACCTTGTGTTGACTTTGCATGCTTTTTTTTCTAAAATCAATCAAGATGAAAGATTACCAAGCATTCAAAGTGTGCGAATGACAGACAAACATGTTGAGTCTTCATGATGTTGTTTAAACACTTGAGAATAGTTTATATTTTCACGAGGATAAGTAAACTTTTTCTTGTTATTAATAAAACTTCATAAACAATTCCATTGGAATTGCTTAAAACAAATGCGTTTTCCCAGAAATTAGCGAGTATATTGCTTATAAAACAATGTCGCAAAGACACGCACGATGAAAGCATCGTTTATTTTATTTAGTTTCCTTGTCTTAGCCATAAAGAGAGTGCTGTGCAACTGGTATGTCGACACATTTTCATAAAAGATTCTATAATAAACAAAAATTTGTCATAAGTACTCGACAGTGTATTCATTTGCAATCTCTTAATAAAGGTTTTCAAACTTTCAATATTCAAGAAAAATTGTCCTTGTTCTGCTTTGTGGCATATTTTACTACAGTATAAACAACCTTGCAAGTTGTTAAAACACTTTTTTATTTAAAAACCACGAAGGCTTTCATTAACATCAGGGGCCGCGGAAGTATCTTAAAAGTGGGGGGGCACTAACCGAAAAGGGCATGTGAGTTTGCAGCTTACTGTTTTAGTATATTACAGATATGCATTGTTTCATGAATCATGATTAAGTTTCAAAGTCTGCAAAAAATTGGTAGACATTCTTAGAATGCTATGCGTATTCTCTACTGCTCGGCGTGCGTGCTAACAAATTGAACTACATGGACAATTTTATTAAGTAATGCGATCTCATTAAAATTTCCCAAAAAATCCCACGTTCGTTTTTGAGAACAAAGTCCTTAGCTATTAAACGTTCTTAGCTATTAAACGTCGCTGAATTCTCCTAGGAGAAAAGCCTTTTCACCATTATGACTGAAAGTAACAAGGTCTTGACGCATCGCTCTTTTACACAAGTAACAGGCAATGGTGCCTTTTGTCATGTAGTATGTGAACTATGTATATTTCAAAAATATAGAAGACGGACAAGTTCGTACATTCGACGATCCTCCTGTACTGGTTTGCTTTCTAGACGTGTGCTTTATTTCTTCTAGGGTAGGATGGTAAGGCTGTCGGCCTGTACAGCACAAACGCTTACAATCAAGTCCTAGCAAACATTCCGTTGACTCAATTTTCATAGGTCCTACCAATAGGGCGGTAGTCGTGGAACTTGGCAAAGACGCATACGTTAGGTTTTGAGAAGGTGTGTGAACTGGTTCGGTCGGCGGCGCGACTAGTATCTCTGAAGACGATGTAGAGTCAGATTCGTGAGAATGAGGAGATAAACACGTTGATGGAGTTTCTGTAGCTGACGGCAATGTCAAATTAGACCTAGAGTCGATGTTTTGGTCAACAACGTTCTCTGCTGGAGCACTACTAAAAAAACTCGTCAGTTTTCGCATCCTTTTAGCTGTTTCTACAAGCTCTTTTTCCTTTTCTCGTTTTCGCCTAGCAGCTCTAGCATGATGATTTTGATTAGAAGTGATTCAAACCGCAAAATTTTCAATTATTATGATTATGAATTGTCAACAGTTTTGTAGGACCAATGGCCTGAAAGACAATACGACGGGAGCAATGCGTTGCCGTAGAATTTAAAGTCTCATGTGGATCATAAATTGCGACTTCTCATTGGTTAAGTTACTCGGCGGACGCCTGCGAAGACAACCCCAATCGGAAAACGCGATTTTTGATCCATCTGGGTAATCAAGATCAAAAACTAAGCTATAGCTGATTTTGCATGATGCCGGACAGACTTTGTTCTACTCTCGGGGCTACTTGTATTTAAGAAAAACTTCTTCAGTCCAATTTTACCTAAAACAAAGGCATTTCTATACAATGAAAAAGGGCACTTTCATTCCAGAAAAAAGGCACATTTTTCCCTGTTGCAAAAAGTGGGGGGGCACTTGCCCCCAATGCCCCCCCGGTTCCGCGGCCTCTGATTAACATGCTCAGATTGACATCAGTCACATGTAAAATGGCATGATGAATCTACTTAAAGAACTATATATGCGTATTTCTATATGTTTTTTATTCATGAAATAACCAAAAAGTCGTTTAAAGAATGTGTATAGATTTAACTGTAATTTTACATGGCTAAAATTTCAAGTTTGTCAGCGCCATAGAGCCAGAAAAGCTAATTTTTTCACCAGTTACACATTTATTTTTGTTATGCATTTACGCTATCTCATGTAACTACAACGTTATCGTTAAGAAATCATCATAATGAATATAACTTTACAATTTTCAGTTCTTTTCATCTTTAATTGCTTTCTGCAAAATACCTTCTTAATCACCCAGGGGCTAAACTAGAACGCTAATTGGGGGGGGAGTACATATTCATTTATACAGCTCTGCCCTGCTGATTTCTTTTGAAATTAAACTCCCTAACAAAAGAAATCGGCAGGAAAGATGAATATATGAATATTCACCCCCTCTCACTTAGCGTTCTTGTTTCCTTCTGTAAACACAACATTTTGGAAGAAATGTGAGTATAAGATTATATCACTCGTGATCATTTGGGCGAAAACCTTCTATTTTATACAATAATTAAAACAACGATAAAAATTTTAGAGAAAAAAAGGAACGAAATGCCGTAATTTTTTTTGCTGGGTTAGGCTCGTGGTTAAGCTCGGCGTTAATAATTGTAAACGCGTTTCTGTGCTGTTAGTGCCAGAAGTACAAACATGTAGTGAAACTGAACCAGCACAAATGTACAGTTTGCAAACAAATTACTCCCTTTTCGGAATAAATATTTTATATTAATTAGACAGTTTTATTTCGTTTGCTGATCTGCAAGTCAGCACAGTTACGAAAAGTCTGCGCGATTTTTGTTGCTTTTTCTAAGTTTTTGAAATTCTAGATATGCTTGTACCTTATCAAACCACCAATAATCGTCGTTCTATGTTAAATATACAAAGTTTTTAAGTTTCCAACACATTTACCTTAGTCAAAGAGAAAAATGTGTTTTAGATTAAGAGCATATTTCATGCCACGGAAAAACACAGTGTTATAAAGAAAAGGTAAAATTTCTCGCTAAAAAACTATTTAGAGGATTACAATGACATCAACCGGCTTGAAGGTTGGTGCCGTGCAACCACACGAGCGAACTAGATGTGGACAGAATTGTGATAGATTAACTCACGGAGAATCCATCAGCTGTAGTTTATTATTATGTATTATTAAACTGTCGACTGGCAATGGGTGATGGTATTAACGTATATTTATGATAAAATAGTGGTTTGATGTCTAACTGTTATTAGCCAAAATCTGGTCTTGCAATTAAACAGTTACATGAGCATAAATCCCGATAACACTTTCATACATTTTTATTTCTATAATTTACTGCAAATTTGTCATAGTCTTGTAGTCTGATAATGATAGTTTGATGATAGGTGACCAGACGGTGATTCAAGATAGTCGGATGACGAATTTTCAAGAAGTTTTAAATATAACTTACAGTGTCAGAAAAACAGCGACAGCCAGCTTGATTGTTGTTTGTTGAGTTGAAATACTTATATGTATGTATGTATGAAGAAGGAGAGGGTTTAGCGAAAGCAACGAGAGTGTATATTACTAAATAAAGACATAATAAATAACAAAAGTATTGTTATTCGTTACCGATCGTAACACTTTTCTGTGGAATTTATTTCTCATTATATTTTACAAAACTGTCGGCTGCGAATGGGTTTTGCATGGTAGCTATCAACGTATATTCACGTTTACGGTGAATAATTGTTTGATGTCAAATAGCAAGCCACCTAAATTAATGACCCTACAATTTTACAGTTTAAGTTACATTAGCACAAAGCAGGACAACACAACAAAACTCGCACAACATTACATGACTCTATAAACTATTACAGTTTACTGTAGTTATGATAATGTTCAGTTGACTATATTTTTTGCAGTTTACGTTAGTCACGTGATTGTATTGACCGTGTAAACTAATACCACAATACAGAGGCCGGTTGCACGAAGCTTGGATAACGTTATGCAATGGATAGCAAAAATCTTCAAACTTGTAAAAAAGGTGTTTATATTTTTCTTACGACAAAGATTTTACGTAATCTTCGAAACAATATTTTATTTCAGTGATTGTTCAGTTCGAATCTTAAATTTTTTGCTTTTTAAAAGGTTTTATAAAAGTGTAAAAAAATTGCTATGCAATGGATAACGCTACCCAGGTTTCGTGCAATCGGCCTCAGACCCAAAGAACCAGCCCATGCAAGTCACATGTGAGATTCATGTGATCAGTTCTTACTTAAATACGTCCATGCAGTGAACTTATCATGAGCAACGACGAGAGATTTTGTAAAGACAGCTGAAATATTAATTTAATCGAAGAACCAGAGTGCAATTTTCAAAGCAAAAATGAAAGGTAAGTTTGACTGTACTGAATGCTTAAATGTACTGAATGTATCGTCCGATTTGAGAGTTGTAACTAATAAGAATTTTTGCTATCAATCAGTAGCCGATGGTTTAGGCCTCGGGCGAGTTCGTCATGCAATCGAAAAGCAACAAACTTAATAACTGTTGCATGGAAATTATCAAACTTTGTCGATATAGAAAACTTTAAAACGAGTTTAATTGTCAGGAACTAATTATCAAAACGTCTCACAATATCTAAGTTCAACAAGCAATTGTTCTTTGATTTATTCATTTCGTTTTAATCGAGAAAATCTTTCACATTGTCTTCACTGTGCTGGTTTTTCAAAAAGCAGCAAAAATGGAAGATCAAGAATTCAAAATGGCGGGTATAGATTCAATATCTGAAAAGGCTGACAAAATGCGATTCTTCATGTGGTTTTCCATACATAAGAATAGTTAATATAATACAAAGATGGATTGTTTACAACTACTAGCCGTGGAGAAAGACTTTTGAATGATAAAAGCACTTCGTTCATTTTCAGTTAAATTAATTTGTTTTGTATATCGCATATCCAGTAACTATATTATGATGCATCTTTATAAAGATTCTAAGAACCACATATTATATATTTTGTCATAAATATTCAATATTGTAGCTGTTCGCTTGTACTTATCCATTTTGTTATACACATTCATCAAAACTTAGTAAAATTCGAGAGAAAATCTAAATGTTTTTCCATTTCTAACTCAAGAACTATTGTCCTTGGTTTGCTTTGTTAACATCAACTCTGACGTAAACAATGACAAATCTTTGACTTATTCATAATTACAAACTTTTTCTGTTTAAAACCGATGGAGATTATTTCAGGTGACGTAAATAAGTTATTGTGTGGCTTACCTATTACAAATATTTTTTGTTTTAAGCTGATGGAAATTGTTATTGTTTTAGGGAACATGTGATCGGAACATATGAGTATTATTGTCGAGATGGGCAAACATGCTGTCCTGAGTTTGTTGGCGTATTAGTAAATTACAATTGTTGTCCTGGGCTAAATGCTGTATGTTGTCTGGGGCATCCTATTAAATGCTGCCGTCCTGGTTATACATGCTTTTATCCTGATTTATGTTTTAAACCACCCAACATGAGCATCAGCATCATGTAAGAAAAATCATTCTTTGTATATTGATCTTTCTGTGAGTGAAAACAAAGATCAATGTATGACAAACTTATGGGAGATATTTAGCCATTTTTTTAAAAAATAGTGGTCAAAAACACGTATACCGAGAACTTATAAAATATTGAAAGTAACAGTTCACTATAATTCAATTAACAAATTTCTCAATAAAACTATCTTCAGAAAGTATGTTTAAGGATCACTGATCACTTGCTTCCAGAATATATGGAAATAAATTTGAAACTTTAATTTACAGCAAGATGACTTTGGACAGATTTAGATATCATGACGCGACGACCTGATGACGTGAGTTGGCTGAGGGGTTCTGAGTCGACGCCCCCCTTGTCTTTAATGTAAAATGCGATTTTCCTGATAATCAAGACGGCGTGTCTTTACATATACAAGCCATAAATCTTTTATGCTATCTTATATGGTTGCCGATTTTTAACGATGTCACTGAGTTTACAAGAAGCCCATTGAAACGTATTGGCGACGTTTTTTCAGCGTAAATGCTGGAATGTACGTTTGGGGAGTGTTTATTTATACATTCAGTTGCGTCCTACTAATTTTTTTGAAAGCTGATTCACATTGGAACGGAATCAGTCGGGCAATATCTGAAAAAATGCCTCTCCTAATAAAATTCCGTCTCCAGTCCTTTATAAAATCTGTAGATTTATTTTACTAACTACTGTGCAGAGTCTTACCCAATAAAGATAGCATCTTGTGCGATCTTACCCAATCTAAAGTGTAGACCCTGCCATTTCAAGATCTCGACAAGATATATGCATAGTTCCTTAATAGCACTATATATATCAATCATTTCAAGTGAACGACAAGTTTTTTAAAAAGAAGACATGTTTCAGCTTCCTTATGCCATCTTCAGTACAAAGAAAACTATGCTATCTATTTACAGTTATATTTATATAATTTAAGTGAGAGCGTATCGAATTACTATATAATTGATGGAATTATTCACAAGTTGAATATCGTGCTGATGTGATGTATTTGTCTATTGATGTTCGGTTTGAGTTTTTTTTATGTAGAGCGCTTCCTTTAGTTTCAAAGAGAAAGAAAAGTTAGCGGTGTCTAGGATGCGAAAACAAGAATGATTGTATTTGTTTTACATTGTGGGGAAGTGTTTGTAAATGTGTGAGTTTTTGTCAGAATGTTGTGTGCTCTTTGATGGGTGTGTGGAGAGATGGCGAGTTGTCTCACCAACATAACAGGAATTACATCCCGCACATGAGAATTCGTATACTACGCATGATTTGAATAAGGAGGGAATGGTATCTTTGAAACTAATAATTTTTTATATTTTAAAGGAGGAGTAAACAAGTTTAATGTCTATGTCAATACGAAAGCATTTTGTAAAGTTTCGTAGTTTTTGTTTGGTTGTGTGTGAGTGGGAGCCAATAGTAATTCTATACGCTCTCACTTAAATAATATAAATATAACTTCTACTTTATAAATATAGCGGTAAATAGATAGCATAGTCATTCCTTGTACTAAAGATGGCAAAGATGGCAAAGATACTCGTTGAAAACTCTCCTGACAAGTGACAACAGTGTAGCCCTTTCCAAGTTTCATTGTGTTTTTGCGTTTTTATTCTCAAAAATTTGAGCGAAAAACGTACTTTGTAAATCGTACTTTCACGTGATGACGAATGTGATTTTTTACTATCTACTCGTAGATGACTTATCTCTCACTCCCGCGCTATCTGCGAGAAAATAGCTTGAAATGCAAATTAAAATCACCAGTAGGAATCCATTTTTCTCAAATGTGCACCCTCGCTTCTAATGTTGTGGCAACGGTCTCGTACTTTTCAATTCTTTCATTGGCTAAACGACAAAAACATTGAGAAATTAGAATTATTTTTAATCTCTATGAATTGGCCAGTGAACTCGACATTTGAATAACTGGAATGATAACCGAAGCCAAAAATTGAAGCCAAAAAATGTTTGTCGTCATCATTCGTCATCACACGTCAGGCTCTAGTCTCTCGCGTGTTCATTTTAATTTTTTTAAATCATTTGTCGCTTGGTAATGGTAGAGTTCAGATCTTGATCAGAGCGTAAAAATAACGAAATTTTTGGAATGAAAAGGTTTACGGAAAGTGAATCAAAGTGATAAATCGAGAGAAGCAAGGTCAAGTGAACTTAGTCGACCTGCTCTTACGCTGCGGTTTTCCTTTAAAACATATCAAAGTCTTTAATGATATTCAATTTTGATATCGAGATGACAACCATTCGGTATTTGAAACACTATCAAAATCGATGAAAATGACAATCGCTTCGTAAAAAGTAAAAATGCGAGTTATAGACTCAACATTTTTTATGAAACTGGGTATTCAAGTTTCTTTTTTCTTCGGAAAAACAGATCTTTAAATCCACTTAAATAACAAAAAAGACAAACACTGTCTGACACCGTTTGAAAATTTACCTTCCGATGTAAGAAAAATTTTTGCTTGAATATTTTCTCGTCATATTTTCTTATTGTATTGTCTTTTTATCATACAGTGTAATTTTCAGTTGGCTTTTCCTCGTTACAAGTTGTAAGTTACAACGAACTCAGTCAACTCACTGTAATAAAGTTTCAGCTGTAAAAAATAACATTTTGCGAAGAGTTGGCCTCGTGTGTTGTTTGTCGTAATGTTGTTTATATGTTTATGCTTTTGCAATTTGTTTTCAAATTTATAATGGGCGTGTATGTTTGGCACTCAGGGGAATGAAATTGACGTACAAACCGCGCAAGAGACTAGGACTTTGGCTTCAATTTTATATCTATAAAATGTATTGTCGTTATCATTCCAGTTATTTAAATGTTGAGTTCACTGGAATTGGCTACTCTGCACGCATGCGCGAACTTGCACAATTAACTCGAACCAGTCTTCAAGAATTTGCACATGATTACTGGTTCTAGGCAAATTGACCAATCAGGATAGCAGAAATTGCGTTCGTAATTTTCAAATGGAGACAAAACACAAGTGCAAGGAAGGACCAAGAAATTCTATCAAAATATATAACTAGTATTTTTGGTAATTTTTGACTACATTTTATTGTAGTAATGACACATCTAGTGGATCACAGTGAGTGTGTTTTTAATAATGTTGAAGAAGACGACAATAACCTCTCCAAAATAAGAAAAAAACTCCTCGACGATTTCGAGACTGTGGAAACGATTAGCGATGTGTTGAAAACGGCAAAAGCCGCGGACTCAAGAGAACCGATCAAGGTATATCTACGAGTTAGACCTTTGACGGATCAAGAAGTCGAGGCTGGCGAATCGCAGGATTGCTTGCAAATTGAGAACGAGCGAACAGTGGGCTTACATCCACCGAAATCCTCGTTCAATTTCAAGCACCATCATAGGAATGCTGTGACTGGCGAAACCATACAACGTTTTACATTCTCGAGGGTATTTGGACCCCAAACAAATCAAAAGCGGTTTTTCGAAGAAACTTCACTCGATATAGTGAAGGATTTTATCAACGGGCAAAATTGTTTGGTTTTCAGTTATGGCATAACCAATGCTGGCAAGGTTAGTATATGCGTTAGTAATTATTAGTGCACATTACAAAGACTCAAATGTGAACTGTGTGAATAGGTCATCGAATCTTTAGTAGAAATGAAAATTGATTTTAATGCATGGTTACTTAGGAGATATTTCAGCCGGGGTGATCTTTAATTGCAGTAATTTTTTCTTCATTGCATTATAGACTAGTGGCTGAAATTTTTCCTTTACTGTCAAACTCGTTGTGTGTCCGAGGGCCTTCACAAACTAGGGATTTTGTTGTTGTCCACTTTTCAGAGTCAACACCCAACAAATGCATGTTGTGATTTAAGTTGTTCTCTACTAATAAATTAAACATTTAAAATCTTTGTTGTCAATGACTTGTGGTTTCCTTTGCAATAATGGAAAACAATTTTTGTCAACACCATTTTCTTTTGTCTGTGAAATGGACAAATAATTTGTGGACAAGTATATGTAACTACAATCTCCCCTGTATGTTTGTTTGCATCCTTGTTGAAGTAAAAGGATTGTTGACAACTGTCTACCAAATAGTGTGAAATATTTCATTAGATAATAAAAGGTGATGGACTGCATTTTTGACTTTTGAATGTATAAGAAGTTGTCGACAATAAAGCACCTTGGCTGTGGAGGCTCTGATATTGCATCGTAGAAACAGAAACACCTCATTTTATCAATTTTTTAAGGAGCAGTTTCTTGGACTGCAAGGATGACTCCAGTTCCATCCAGATTTTGTATAATTTTTCCAATATAAGAGTGTTAACATCTAGTTCACACTGGCAGCAACGTGGCCAATGTGATTTATACTCCCACTATGCGAATATTTTTGTATTTTATGACTGTATGTATAAAAACAATCAATGTCTAGAGTAAAAGGTTTGAACCCTGGAGTATCGTTACATGTTTGTAAATGCAGATCGTCCAGGTTGGTATAGTCCTGAGAAGGACTGTTTTTGTTGTTGTTTTGACTCTGAAGATGACTACCGCTAAGGTTGTCAAAACGTCAGTCAACAACAACAAAAACAGTCCTTCTCAGGACTATACCAACCTGGACGATCTACATTTTGCAACAATATAAAACAGGAGCGGGAATCTAAGCTCTTGTGGCCTATTCAGAACTAGAATTTCTAATAAAAATATGCATACATGGCCACACTATTACTATGTATGTATTTATTACATTGTTGCTAATAGGAGGGAGGGGGAGGGGTGTTTCTTGTGAACAATAGTATATGTATGTAAACCTTTAATTTGCTGTTTCTCTGCAATATTTCTGTGTTTATATCAATTCACTTGCTACAAAATGATGATTATGTTTTGAAATTTACTTAGCAAGATCTCATCCTGTATCCTGCAAAGTCAGGGTCAATGCGAGAATGTTCATTTTGGAGGGAGGGAGGGAGTGTTTATTTATTTATTCAGTTGTGCCCTACTAATTTCTTTTGGATGCTGATTTGCATTCAAAAGAAATCAGTTGGCCACTATATGTGAACAAAAACACCACCAAAGAAAATTCTGTCTCCAATCCTTTATATAATCTGCAAATTTATTTTTATTAACGATTATGCAGAATCTTACCCAATCTAGATAGTATCTTGTGCAATCTTAAAGAATCCAAAGTGTAGACCCTGCCATTTCATGATCTTGACAAGACATATGCATAGCTTAGGATACTTATTATACTCAATATCCCTCCGACCCATTAATGATGCCTTAGGGATCTTGAAGGTTCCCAAGAGCGATATAGGATGTGACAGGATCCTATTTGGGAATTCTACTTTGCTTGTTTTAGACCTACACTATTTTGGGGGATCGTCAAAATGCAGGCATCCTGCCAAGAACGTTCAAAATCTTGTTCAACACAATCAAGGAGCAAAACTATGAAAGTTCAAATATCAAGCCAAAGATGTACTGTGATGTGGTTAAACTGAGCAGCATTCAGGAAGAAAATGAGATCACAAAGAAGAAAAATCTTCTCTTATTAAACGATATGACAGTAAGTCAAATATAAATATTACACTAAGTCTATAATATCATTATGCTAGTAAGACGGTAGCATCAAAATATCTTATGAATGTCAATAAAAGTTTTCACACAATTGCTTGGTTGAAAACACTTAGAAATAACAGCACCTTGTTTTAATTATGTTATCAGAAACTCTTGAGTATTTTAATAAATTACATAACAATGGTAACTCCAAATAATGAAGGCATTTTGATTCAATGTTTCGACTTTATTTAGTCTTCATTGGAAATGATTATATAACAATTACATGCATGTGCAGCATATGTAGACTCCATGTAACTTGATCTTGTTAACAGAAGACAAATTACATGAATTACATAATTATATGCATGCGATTGTAATATTAATCATTCCTGATGATGACTAAATAAAGTTGAAACATTGAATAAGAATGCTTAAGTTATTTGGAGTTACAGCTGTCTTAATGAATAACTAGTTGAATTTGAAGTTTCAAAGACAAAGCTTTACTTTTTCAAAAAGATATTTACAGTCTACAAATGGAAATCAGGTTGGTGAAAGAACTTGCAGAGTTTAGGTCACTCGTTTTTGATTATTTTTAATCTTAATATTTAGCTAGGTAGTATACATTTTAATTCGACATGTTTCCTAAAGTATGATATTTTCCTAAAGTAAGTTTTAACAACTGTGTAATTCAGAGTTCTTTTAGTGAGAGGCAGTATTAAAGTAAGACTGAGTCATAGAAATATCCATTATTACTCTGAATTCTTTTCATTTTCAGCCTTTTGTACCATTTTCATTAAATTTTCTATTATTATGTAGACAATAGTAGGAGTTCAATTTGCAAGACATATCATAAAATGGGGGCATGAAGTGTTAATGTGGGTGGAGTGGGGAATGCTTGGAATTGGGAATATTAACCATATTTGATAATTTGAACCTGTATTGTCAACTTATACAACCAGCCACCATTAATTACTTGAGATTCTTAATCAGTGTATTATGGCAGTCCATGTAATATTAGATTGCACCTGTGGTATCTATTTGAGTCAGGGGGAACATAAATATATTCTGTTTTCTTGTACAATTATATGTTGTATTGTTTTCATAAAGCAACCTTCATACATACACATATTTCACAGAAGCTCAGGAGTGTCACTACAACCGCAGTGAAGTAATCAACATTACTAACAATCCCATTACCACCACCACCACTATTACCATCACCCCTATCTAAATGGTATCACCATCACCAAAACATCACCATCACCACCATTTCCACCATCACCATGTCATCACCACCACCACTGCATCATCACTACCACCAACAACTCAGCATCACCACCACCACCATTTCCACCGTCACTATGTCATCACCGCCACCAATGCATCACCACCACCCCCATCAACTCAATATCCTTACCACCATCATCCATACCACCATTACTACCACCCCTATCACCATGGCATTACCACCACCACCATACCATCACCAAAACATCACCCCCACCATTACCATCACCATCACACCATCACCATGTCATCACCACCACCCCTGCATCACCACCACCAACCACCATTTCCACCATCACTATGTCATCACCACCACTACCACTACCACTACAGCATCACCACCATCACCACCACATCCCTAATGTAAACTTCTCATGAAGTTCTCCGTATTGTTGTATAGCTACCATTAGAAAAGATTTAAACATAGTGAGATATTTAAGGACTGTTTAATTTACCACGAATTGTGGGTGAATTCATAATGATAACCCAGGCTTTTCGTATGTTTTAGACCTACCATCAAAGTATAAGTTCTAGCGATTTGTCGCTACAAGATTCCACTGTTCACGACCCGCGTCAACTGGACGGTTGGTATATTCATACGTTTATATATATGTTTATAAGTATAAGCATATAGAAAATTTAGAAGAGTTGAAGTATTTATTTATCTTTGGGTCGTCCCTTTTAGTGCGTGCTCAAAATTTTCCGTATTTAAACACCCCCCTCTCCCTTCCCATGGTATATAAACATGCAATATTTTGCTACTTCCCTCTTCTTTTCGTACACAAATGTGTTTTGCTACTTCGAATTTCCGTTTCTCGCAGTCTCTATCTTAGGGGCAAGTCAGCTTTTATATTTAAAACCAATGTGTTCAAATTCAATTGACGATAAGCTTACGGATTTCTGTTATTTTGGCTTCGAAAAACTATTGACGTATATGCACATAATGTGAATAAATTTTGACACCCACCCCCCTCAGCGACATTTTTTTGTTTGTATTGCGAAAATACGTGTTTGTTTTGTGCAAGACCGATTCAAAGCCTTTTAAGCATTCAAAACATTGGCGACTGGATATTGCTATTTTTGATTGCTTGACAAAAGAGCTATGAGCCTTTAAAAAATTAGTTCTTTCGCTCAAGAGAGTTAAACTCTCAAGCTAGCCTTTCTCGTACTACGGAAATCACTATATCGAAGCTTCGGAAATTGGACAATATTTTCTTAATATGAAATCATATGCAACATTTCTTTGTTTTAATATGTATCTTCGATGGACAATTTCTGAGGTAGTTGCATGCGCAATGCATACGAGTTGTGAATTGTTAAGCTTTCAACGATCTTCCTTGGCGATGTTGAACATTGTATTGATCATGCGTAGTTAAGGCAATCGTCTTGAGCAGAAATTTGTTAGCACATATGTTGATCTCCAACGTATCAGCGGAGAAAGTTTTTTAAGTTTGTCAAATCGTTCCATTTTTATGACTGTTTTAAGTTGGCAAAAATGCTTCTTTTAACGCCTTGTCTGTTGTTCGAAAAGTCCGGAATGACTTACTTTTATGACGTTATGCAGGGATTTCTCAATACAAGATATACGTATATACCAACGGACTTGTATGACGTCAGAATTTGACTAGACCCAGACTTCATGTCACGACGCACAACGTCCATTTGAAAGCAACTTTAAACCTCCATAACAAGAAGACAATATGACCAAATTGAAAAATTTTTCATTGATACGTTAGACGTTAGACCTAGAATTAATATCGCAAATAAAAGTTTTTGCTGATAGAGGCACTTTAAAGTGGATAACGGTTATAAATGGTTATAATTTCTCACATTTCAGAAATTATTGACTTATCCACACTCCTCGACGCGACCAGTGTAGACGTCGATGACCAAGGTCCCATACAATTTTCCTTATGGATATCGTTTGCCGAGATCTATAACGAGCTTGTGTACGATTTGCTGGAACCCATTTCAATGACCAAAGAGGGGAAAAGGAGAATATTGAGAGTTGGTGATGACAGAAATGGCAATCCTTACATTAAAGGTATCTTTACTTGTTCTCACCATCAACTGTTAAAAACTGAGTATCTCGATAATGCCTTGCGCGCTTGTGTTTACTTCTTGTATCGTATCTCCGCTATATGTTGTACTTAGTTTATATGGGATTTATTCCTGCCAACCAAATTGTAAATAACGTCTTTCTTTACCTTTATCTCTCGTTGTTTCTTCTTCAATTTTTGACCAACCGTGTTTTGATGTTAATGGCCAGACATGGTAGTATAAGCAGACATATTGCTGCAATAAAAACCTATTTTGACGTCATTTTCATGGCTATCTATTGCTTGCTAAGCGCGCAAAGCATTACAGTGAAACTCATTGTTTAAGACGTTCGGGTCACTGTTTCACCTGGTTCATAAGATTTTCAACGTACTTTTCTTTAAATTCTTGTTTACGGGGATGGATCCACAATAATTTTTTTGGGAAGGTTGTATTCTAGTTTGGACTATATTACGGTGGCTACAAATGGCCATCGCATGTAAGACCTTTTTGTTAAATCCTGCTATTTTTTTCTAATGATTGGGAGATTTTCGAAAGTTTGCTCCATCAAACGCTTATCACAGCTCCTTTTGCTTATATGTTTGGTTTATTAGTAATTTTTAGGAAAATTGATACCCCCTCCTGGAACCTTTAGCCTAGAAGGGGCGCGCACTCCTTCCTTAGATTCAATCCTGCTTAATTTCAAATAGTTTCAGCAACGAACGTGGCTCTAAATATTATCTCCTTGATTCGTAAACATTGCCCGGATGATCCATTACATAATCCTCATAATATGTAATATAATTCTGATTATCAATTGCTTACTTAACTCCAATGAACCGATTCGTTCGTAATGACAGAAATGATTCTCTAGAGCAAAAAGCTTTCTATCGACAAAATCTCAATTACTATGATAATGAAATATTCTGGTGGTTTGAGGTTAGATCCCCCTTTCTCTCTGTCACCCCACATCACGCGTTTACTTTTATTGAATAAACGTTTCTATAACTTTTAAAAGTCTAATGAAAACCGTTTTATCCGTTTTTATTTGCTTAGGATTAACTGAAATCCATATCAATAACATAGAAGAAGCATGTAAGGTACGTATGACTGTTAATGTCAAACCGGATGTTGTATTTTCTTGAACATTGCAACATACCTGTCAATTTAGCAATATTCATTGGTTGATTCAAAACGCAATTAGTTCAAGCAAGTTGCAGCTTTCTTGCGCTGAAGCAGCAAATGCTTTCCTATAGAAGTAATGGCAAACAGGTTTCAGATTGTGTTGTCGTATGTAGACGGTCGTTATGCACTTTTTTTATCACTGGGAAACCTTTTGAGTTATTTTATGACTTAGTCTACAAGATAAAAGAAGCTGTTCCGTACATACGGAGTCTTCCGAATGAAAAATTAAGAGTTGCGTATAAAGATGTAAATCGCGGTGTGTTCATCGTCATTTTATTGTACAATGCGTGTGATTGTATGGCGGGAATATTTAAACGAATTGGGCTTAAAGTAAAAGAGATTGATTCACCTTTTGTGGCAAAAAAACAAGCGGTAAAAGCGGACAATTGCAGAGAAAGAAAGACTACAATACTGAGAACTCAAACGTTTACTTGTGAAAAAAGATTTTATTTTGCCGCAAACACTTATCACTAGCCTTACAATTTTCGAGCGATTGATTTGCCAATTCCCTTTGATTGATTGATTTGGTAGAACTTAGATTGATTTGCACCGATCAAGTGCAAACACAGCTAAAGACCAATCAGCGCACGCGTTTTGTTGTTTTTATTTTATCATTGCTGTTGTTTTGTTATTATTGTTATCATAACTACATTCATTTAATATATATTTTCTGCAGCTGCTGAAAATTGGTAGAAAGAACCAGAAGATTGCTTGTACAAAACTTAACACGCATTCAAGCAGGAGGTTGGCGTACACCAAATGTTTCAATTCAGTAGCGGATCTAGTGGTAGTTACAGCGAGCAGCAGCGAGCAAAATATATCAAAACTGCTTAATTTTAAATTCAAAATACTTTCAGAAAAGCACTATTGGTTTTGCATTTCTAAAGAATATAATTTCACCAATGGACTTGTCCTGAGGGGGGCTTAGAAATGTAAATATATATTCAAAAATGTGCAGCAGTAATTTATTTTGACTAACTCTAGATCCGCCACTGTATCAATTTTCATATGGGATGTCTTTATATACGCCAACAGTGTGATAGGATTTCTGTTCTATATATTTCGTATTAATGCATTTTTTCACGTTTTTGTCTCTTGACATTTTACTCTTTTACATTAAGAACTGTGCCGGCACTTACGTAGCACGGTTCTTTATATAGTTCCTATTCGTAGCTTGTTTTTAGGGTCCAATTTTCACTGGCGGCTCAACAGGAATTTTTAAGGGTTGTGCTTGGCTTTGCGAGAAGCTAAAGCTCAACGGCAAACACCAATTAATGATTGTGTGTCAACCAAGATGCACTTCGCGCTTTTGCTTATGTTTATATCTCAACTTTGTGAGCCTGCAAAACAATGAATGCACGCTACGTCGTGTAGTTTTCCTGAAAATTCACTTAGCACTATTGAACTATATGTGAAAATACATGGAACGCTACCAACGCAAATAATTGAAGGCAAGTCTTACACCCAGACACGCGAGATTACACCCAGACATGCGTTTTTAGTGTTTCGAGATTCTCTCGTGGAGTGGAGATTGATTAAACTACACACGCGTGTCTGATTGTAAGATTTGGCTTCAAGAAATTATCAGGCTTTTCTATTACAGGTAGCGTTCCGTTTATTTTCGTTCAATGCTTTGCACTAGTTATTGTATTTGTATAACATAAAGTACATGACCTTTTCTAGTCACTGCATATTCACATTGAAAATTCTTCGTGTAGTGAATACTGGTGAACCTCACGTGGCTCGAGTGAGCAGGTAATTCAAAACAATTTACAATTGTGTAGAAACAAAAATTGTTATACTGATTGAAGAATTTTCTTGTTTCTACATTAGATTGTCGTTTGTTGATCTTGCGGGATCTGAGCGCTATTCGAAGACAAAAAATACTGGAGTACGAATTAAAGAGGCGGGAAGCATCAACACGTCAATCATGACTTTGGGAAAATGTGTTGAGCTTCTCCGTTTTAATCAGCATCATACGTAAGTATGGGTATCGTTTGACTTTTGTCTTTTTTTATTTCGCTTCGACGTGCTTTTTTAACTTGTCGACGTTGCCATGGAAGAAAAATAATGAGAATTTTAATCACCGTGATAGATTTTGATATTTTTGTTGCTTATTGGATGAAAGTTCAACTGATTGGTGTAAAGTATGAACTCCTTTTGTTGGTCGAGTGGACTGCGCTTGTTTTTAGTCATAGATGATTGTTATATAATCTGTCTACAGATCTTTATCTGTAATTTACCGGCCAGGTGTGCCCCAACCATGTGTAAAATCAAAGTAGCCAAAGCAATCATAGACCGTTACACCGTTAACAAAAAGAAGATGATTTTCTTTATTTAGACTATGGCTTGTATTGAGTTTCATTTAAAATGTTTTTATTTGCCGTGAAATCAATGGATGTTTGCCTTCATGATACAATAATTAAAATTAAATGCGAGTTAATGGGAGTTTTGTGAATTGCGAGTTAAAAGGCAGTGTTTGGTTGAAATTTTGTACGATTCTTGCAACCGTAGTTGTATCATAGAACGTGTGAATAGCTTATTTTTCCACGCAAATTTTTGTGTTCATTTCAGGAACAATCAAAAGAACATTCCGTTCCGCGAGAGCAAGCTTACTCGCCTCTTTCAGGGATTTTTCTCCGGCAAAGGAAAAGCGTCGATGATCGTGAATGTAAATCCTTGTGCTTCCGCTTTTGACGAGACTTTGCATGCGCTGAAATTTTCTGCCATTGCCAAAAAGGTGCGTTCAGTAACCATTTTGAAAATATTTAATTCACCTCGTGAAATTCAACCGTATTTTTTATTTTCGTAGGTGACTACGATCGCTCATGGTACTCATCCAACCGCTCCGATCCCCAATAATCGTGCTCCACGACTTCCCAAAAGAGTTCTTCGTTCGTCAGTTGCCTGGGCCGACGGATCTACGGCCACTCCAGTTGGGAATAAGATCGGAGAAACGTTGGATTCGACGTGCGGTGTCATAGATGAAAGTTTGAGAACGCCTTCGCCTGTTAACCAGGTAAATAGTTTTTTGGGTCGATGTCTCTGTCGGCCGATATGGTCAGGTTTATGATTGGTTTAAAGTACAATACGCTTTAGAAATGATAAAAGAAAATTTCATTAACACGAAGGAACAATCAAGTGCCCTTGTTGACAATCAATAGCATTTATTTATGCCGCATAACAATCGGGAACATTCAAGTAGCACTAACGTCCATTTAATGAAATCAAAGGAACGATCATTAAGATAAAACAGACATTCAAATAAAAACATGAATGCATTTTATTTCTACGAAAGCTGTCGGTCCCAACAGAAGTAGTCTGTCGTATATGATCTGTTGCAACTGTAACACCGAATTTCTCTGTCATACAAAGTATGTGTAAGTTTAATTGAATGTCTGCTTTTTTAAATTATCCTTTTTTTTATTTTATTGAATGCACGTCAATGCTACTTGAATAGACCCGATTATTATGCAACATAATTAAGAGCTATTGATTGTTGACAAGTGCTCTTGATTGCTCCTTCGTGTTAATGAATATTCTACTGCGCTTTTGATAAGTAAAAGCGTATAATGGAATGTCCAATGTGAAGCACATTGAAGAAAACGGTGTTGTATCCAAGCTTATGATCGCGAGAGTCGTCCTTTGATGAGAGAGGAAGTAAGAGCTTTTACAACGACTCATAGTAGCCGTCGTTGTTGTGTATTTTCTAGGTAGACTACGAAAAAGTTGTAGCAGAACTTCAAACTGAGATAATAAATGCGAAGAAAGAATTGGCGTATATGGAAGTCAAAATTCGTCAAGAGGTTTCCCAGGAAATGGCCGAACAACTTGTTGAGATAGAGAAAGTGTACAAGTAAGTTCGGAGGTGGGATTTAGGATTTTGAATGGGAAATGTCATCGGAACTTAGTTGAAAAAGCGACTCAGTAATCTTGGGCTCGTCTGATTCCTGACAATGGTTTTGACCTGTCTTAGCACGCGCTGTATCTTGACTAGCTAGTAATTTTTGAATTGATCAGTGCCTCGACTAATCAGTGTACACTGTGTATCTAGAATTGTTTTTAATAAAGTAAATGGTTTGAACTCGGCAGTTTCGTTACATGTTTGTAGATGTAGATCGTCCAGGGTGGTATAGTCCTGAAAAAGGACTGTTTTTGTTGTTGTTGACTGACGTTTCGACAACCTTAGCGGTAGTCCCCTTCTGAGTTAAATGAGGAGTAAACGTCAAGTCAACACCCACCCACCCTGAACATATCACAGCAGTTACAGGCACCTTACAAACGACTTATTCACAATTCAAACAAACGAGCAACTAAAAACATTACACTTCACACTAATCCACAATGACAATATATTGTCCTACACAATTGACACCCACACATTTCCTGTACGCACAATACAATGACGTAAGAACCAAATAACAAATACGGCTAGCCTGACCACAGAATAGACATCTAACAGAAGGCCACTCGGCTAAAATCGTGGCGTATTTTTTCACTACGCATGCGTAACTTCACAGCAAGATACTTCCACAAAATCAATATGGAAAGGTATTGCACGAGAATGCTATTTTAATTACTAATAATTCACGTTTAAAGCAAAAGTTTGCCGAAATTTTTACAAAGAGGCATCATCTGGCGAAGGAGATAAGGCTCCAAGCTTTTGTAGTGCAAAATGATATATTTGTAAAACCTCTATATTTTCTATTGCGGTCTAGCGGAAGTATCTTACTGGAAGGCGTGTCTGCTTTAGAAATTGCTTCAGAAAAGTTGGGGGGGGTACGGACATCAAAGGTTCCGACACGAGTGGACCTTCTGTTAAAATATCTATTCTGTGACCTGACGTTTACTCTTCATTTGACTCTGAAGATGACTACCGTTAAGGTTGTCGAAACGTCAGTCACCAACAACAAAAACAGTCCTTCTCAGGACTATACTAACCTCGACGTTCTTCATCTACAAACCTGTAATTGTTTTTAACTTTCAAATTTATCAGTGACCGTGCGATAGAAGAACAGCGTGCCACAGAAGAGCTTTACGAAAAGCGAATTGACATTCTTACCAAATCAGTGAAGAAAGCCAGGAAACGTCCGCGTGTGGAGGAGCGCGTGGAAGATGATAACGAGGAGGATGTTTCTGGTATTTTGTTGCGCCAGGAACAAGTGAAGAACGCAGTAAGTCGTTTTGATGGATGGTTTCAAGCAATATTGTTGTCAGTGTTTTATGCACGTTGAACTGAACGGCTATTTCCCGCCAAAATTTGAAGCAAACAGTTCAACTAGCTCCAATCTTTCCACGCACGATCCAAATAAAGTTCATTTGCGAACTTTGGCTAAAATACGTGTCTGACAGTAAAATGTAATGTGACTTAGTGCAAGTACACGCATGTTTCTGTCTGTGTAGCGCTCCAGTTATATAGTTCAACGGTCATTCGCTGCTTTTCTCCATATCATTCGTTTTTTTAAGGAATTGACGGAATTAGTTGCCGAATTGAATGAAAAGCTTTCTGTTGAACAAGTGCGGATAGCGGATTTGGAAAAAGAGCGAATTTCGGTTCAGCATTTGGAGGAGAAGATGAAGGAACTGGAGGAACGCGGAGTATCGGAACGGGAAGCTGCTAAGAAACGGTTCAACGAAATGCGGCATGAGTTGGAGGCAGAAAATTGTGCTGCAAGTGAAAAAATCAACGAACTTCGTGAGAAAGTTGTTACGGAACAGCAGACTGCGGATCTTAGGGTTGCAGATTTGAAAGCGGAACATGACGATGACGGGAAGCTAGTTATACAATATGACGAGGAAATAAAACGATTGAAGGAGACGAAATACATTGAACTTTGCGAACTTCGAAAAGTTATTGAAGATCAAGAGAAGAAAATAGTATCGCTCGAGGATGAAATGGCGAAAAAGGAAATAATGTCGTCGGATTGTGACCGGGAGGCGCATGAAAAATGTCTTAGTTTAGAGAATGAGTTAAAATCTCGAGGAAAACGAATTGAAATGCTTGAGAAAGAATTGAAAGACACAAAAATTGATTTGGCTGGAAAAAATACTCAATTGATGACGATGAAGACTGTACGTGCCGGTCAGCCGCCTTCCACCCCTACACAGTTGATTACGGCGAAGACTGTACGTGCTGGTCAGCCGCCTTCCACCCCTACACAGTTGATTACGGCGAAGACTGTACGTGCTGGTCAGCGGCCCTCCACCCCTACCAATAACGTCGTGAAGCAACTGGAGAAACGACTTCAAGATTCGACTGCAGCTTTAGATCAAAAGAATTCTCAGCTTATTGAGAAAAATAAGACGATTGCTAAGTTGGACAAGAACGTGAATGAATTGAGAGACGATTTGAAAAATAAAGAAGATGAATTATTTGAACTTCGAGAAAGAGTATCGCGTTTCGATGATTCCGAAGTTATTGTCAGAGAAAAAGATAACACGATTGTTCAGTTGAGCGCCCAACTAAAGGAAAAGCAGTCAATGCTGTTGAACAAAACGAAAGAAACAGAAGAAGTTATTGAGAATTTACGATTCGTCGAAGGGGAGTTGCAAATCCTTAGCTCGAAGGAGGAGGAGACACAGAAGGATATTTCGATTCTTTCTAACGAAAGGAACAGTCTGAAATGTGAAATGGAAAAGTGTGAATCGAAGTTGGAAGAGTCTGGTCGAAATGAGGAAATGTTAAGACAAAAAATGGAAGAGTTTAGGAAAAACGAGGAAAAAATCCAAGAGCAAACGTTGAAGTTTAACAGCGAAATCGAGGTTTTAATTTTTTGTTAAAGTTTTCTGCATCTTTGTTTGACTTTTGGACTTGCACACAATATGCATTGCTGGACAATTTTTGTCTTCAGCGATTCCCCGTCTGGGCTCCTCCTTGACCAATCAATTATGTCTTTACTCATCCCTCCTCGTCCTGTATTTTACTTAATTTATGGTGTACATAAAGAATTGCACCACTATAATTATAAAGTTGAGTACATCACAATAATAACAAATTACGTAATGTTGCACATTGAGAATTACATCACAATAACTGGATATCATTTTAGATGATTTCGACGGAGGAAACAGTTCATTGTTTGCTGTTGTTCTTAAATTGTCGTCGTTTTTTTCTTCCTCCAGGAGCTGAAACAGTCAATTCGATTGAAAGAAATCGAAATAAAGAAAATCGAAGATGACAAAACGGAACGAGTTGCTGAGTTGCTTAAAAACATAAAAAGCTTGGAGGAAACACAGAAAAAAGTAAGATGTCGCAGTCAGCACAAAGTTTTATGTAATTTAGTAATTTATCTACAAAATTTATTTGTAAAACACTTTATAAAACTTGAAGATTGACTGTGTTTGCCTCAAGGGCTCAAAACAACGGCCGATCAACGGACAATGAATGCGAAAAGATGCCCATGAACCGGCCAATTTTTTTATTGTACATGTCATTTTGACGGGGCACGTTTTCAGATCTTCCATGCATACATAGTACGTATTTTGTTCTTGAACTTGGATCGATTGCTTGGGTTGTATGTTTATGTAGTGTTCAGATCAAATCGTTTGCCTCATCCATCAACACCTAAATTTTTATTATAAGTGTTGGCCAATTTCGCCACATGAACATCATTGCCCAAAAGCACTGTAATGATGCAATGTGATGTCATAAGCACTTAGAACGTCAAACACGAGAAATGATGTGAATCATGTGTAGTGACGACATGAGAATCATGTGTAGTGACGACATGTGAATCATGTGTAGTGACGACAGGTCAAAAACAGACTTTGACCGAGCTAAAATGAAATTAAACTGTCAACTTGACCCAACACATTTAGGGCGTTATTTTGAGCCTTGCTCGAATTTGGGCGGGGAGGATCTTTGAAAACTTTCAATTAACTTCCTGTTGTACTCATAAACTGCTTAGTATTCAAACTCTTTTGGTTTTTGTGAAATGTGCATCTCCTCCTCACCTGTACAACTAATTGTTCACGAAGGGTGTTTTATTTATTTCAAGACGGATGAACGTTTACAGAAAAGTGTTGCAGAATTTAATCTTTGTCAGAAATCCAATGAGAAACAATTGAAGGAACTTCTCATCGGAAAGCAAGAGATACAGGCTAAATTTGATCAGGTTAACAATGCTAACTTCCCCTCCCCCCACTCCCCAATGAGAAAATTATTTGTGTCGCTTGCTTTGATGCTTGTTTCGAAAGCAAAACGTGGAGGAAAAGTTTTTTCTTTCACATGTGTTTTTTTTGGCGACGTGCGTGTGCTTTCCTATCACGTGTGCGTGCTTTCCAATCACGTGTGTGTTTTTTGGTCATGTTATTCTGCATTTAGCCACGCGCGAGATGTGGGCTTGGATATTGTAAAAGCAACTTTAAATTGTTAATGTTTAAACTTATGTCGAACTTTTCAAACCAGTATTTCTATGTTTGTTATAACAGTAGAGCATTTGAATGGGGGGAATGAACCGAAAACTTTGCTAGAAATGCATCTTAGCCGGCTTTGAAATCGCTGATAACAATAGAGTGTTTTCATCGATCGCCATGTTGGGTGAAAATCCCATGTACTGAAAGGATTTATGTTCTTTTCATGCTCCTTTGACCGAATTCTCACGCGGAATAGCTGATTCGGCGCTTGATTGGTACATAATGTCGTCATAATTTTGTGAGAGCCAATCATGTGGCAATGAATTTTGCATTCGAAAAATTCCGCCAAGTGGAAAACAAACTTATCATTTGCCACATTTTTGTTTTCTTTTTTACTCTTTACTATTTATTTTCAGGCTCTTTGCGATCTTTCATTTGTCCAAGCGTCTGTCAGCGAGCGCAATCGAGAATTGGACTCGTTGAATGACACAGTCCGCTGCAAGGAAGATGAAGTACGAACGCTGCAAGCGGAGTGTGGTAAACTTCGCAATGAACTGAAGACAATTTCCGAACGCAAAAACGATCGCACTCCCGAACTCGACGATGAAAAAGAAAAAATACAAAAACTTTATGCTGAACTTTCGAAAGGTCGGTTTTTGTGTACATGGATTTTGTTTGTTTTTTTTTTTTACTAAAAAGGACTTAAATGACTTGAACCAGTGGCGTGGCCAGCCCGCGAATTTGGTCGTGCTATGTTAATTTTTCTGTCTTCACTCACTGTAAAAAAAAAGATCTCTAAAGAAATGAATAATGTTAATGATCTAAACTTTACATAGCACGACCTAAACTTTCGGGCTTGATACTCGACTGACTAGAACACAGTAACGTGGTCAACCTATGATGTTGGCTCTGCAAAAACAATATTTTTTTCCTGTAAAGAACTTGAATGACTTGAACACAGTGCCTTGGTCAGCCTCTTATGTTGGTCATGCAAAACAAGAAATTTCTAAGTAAATGAATGATGATGTTTTGAAATTTACAAAGCAGGACCTAAAAGTTTGGGGCTGACTTCGCCATAGACTTGCACCAAGTCTGTGTAGAGCAGGGGGAGGGGACTTGATCGCTGATTGGGATGTGTGTGTGAATATAAATATATTAATGCTCTTCTGATTTCTTCTGAAAACAATTTTGATTTCCCCAATTACGAAATATGTTATGTTGAAATTTTTTATTTGAGGATTCATTTTCCTGATTCTTGAATTGATAGATTATTTGCGAGTCGAAAAGTATTTGCACACGGAAGTGGAATTTTAAGCTCTTGAACCTGCAAATACTGCTGAATTTGCAAATAATATATCAATTTAAGAATGAAGAATGTATATCGTCAACTGGCGAATATTAATCTTTAAACATGATAAAATTTTTCCAGAAGACTTGGTGCAAGTATGTCCACGGCAATGCTTAAATCAACTTCACATTGTTCGTACAAAACTTGAATGTCCTTGAATTTAGGTAGAAAAACTCGAGACCTTTAAAAAGTGCTTGATTTTATGAACATGTGCTTGAAAATGCTCGAATTTAATATAATTTTATAAAATTTTCGTAAACTTGTCATCTTGCTACTTTCTTTTGAAAGTTGAAATTGTATCTTTACTGCACAAAAAGTAACTCGAGTGCTAAATGTCAGAACTCTGAAGTAACCTACCAACATGGCGGCTTTCAAGTCATACGAAAACACGCCATTTGCTGTCGATCCATTGAAAAAGTTCTTTTGTTTTTAGTTTGATAATGTTTTTAATGACTTTATATTAGTTGTGCTTTGTGTGCAATTCAAGGTCGTCTTCATCTTTAAATTTTTCAAAATATGTCCTTGAAAGTTTTTTGGAAAGAGATCGAATTTCATCACGTAACATTTACGAAACCAGATTTAAATCCAACTAACAAAGACAGTGCACTGGTTTCACGATCGTGCGCGGTGAACGAAGGATTAAGGATAACAATTATTTTTATTTTTCAAACTGACTTCATCTAATTAACTCTTTAGCTGATGAAAAAAGGGCAAGAGAAAATGTCATACTGAAGAAAGGTCTTGCAGAACAAGAAAACCTCGTGGCAAAAATGGATGTGGACCTTGCCTCAAAAGTTCAAGAAATAGCTGATCTGTCGTCGCAAATCGAGCGGTTACATAAGGATAATGACGTCATGAAAGAATTGAGGAAAACCAATGGCGACTTGGAAGAACAGAGTGAACTGCATAAAATCAAGGTGCGTGAATTTAAAGAATCATTGTCAACCACAATGCAACGCGTGCTCAAATAATCTTCGCGGCCATTTTCTTGGTTGAATAAATAGACAAACGATGTATCAGTTTGTAATCCGTGGATGCTCTATGCATCTTTTGTGGATGTATAAAAATTTGTGTCGTTTTTGGATCACAAAAGTATTTTCAGTGGCTTGCTAGTGATATTTTTCATAAACGTATCTGTTGCGGTAGGCAAATAACTATTCAAAACTATGGCAAGCTTAACGGTTGAAAACATGCCTAAAAGAGGAACACCAAAACTTGGTAATCAAATAAATACTTGGTATTTGGAAACACACATTTTTAACTATTCTCGAAGTTGTGCGAAGAGTACAAGAACATCGTGTGATGGAATAAATTATCATATTTATCGTATTTGGTAACCATTGAACTCAAATACATGGAACGCTGCCTGAAGCAAATAATTGAAGCCAATCTTACATCCAGAAACGCGAAATTACACCCAGACACGCCTGTGTAGTGTTTCGAGATTCTGAAAATTGATTGATTACACACGCGTGTCTGGGTGTAAGATTTGGCTTCAAAAAATTATTAGGGTTTTCTATTACAGGTAGCGTTCCATGTAATATAGTTCAATGTTGGAAACACACACTTTTAATTATTGTCGAAGTTGTACGAAGAATACAGGAACATAATGTGATGGAATAAATTATCATGTTTAGCTCGAATATATACAAACAAGCGGGGCGCGCTGCATTGTGGTTAACAATGATTGATCTACAACGTGTTTTTGACACGAAATTTTACCACAAATTTTTTTGATTGTATTGTAAGGAGCATATAAGGTGACTTTATAACCTCTTCAGTAGAATTGACTTATTTTACTTTTTTACCAGATACATTTAACTTTATTCATTATGCAAGTGAATCGTTATAACATCACAGAGCATAATAACATTTTAAAGGTCGTCAATTTTAATGTGACGTCATACCATGTCATTTGCATATTTAACAAAAGTTGCATATTGAGCAAAAAAAAATAGAAAATAGAACAGCACAATTCTATTAAAGAAGTTATTTAATCATTTTAAATTGCCTTAACATTTCAATCAAAACCACTATGATAAAATTTGTAGTCAAAAACTCTTCATTGTCGGTTGTCACTTAATGTAGTAACGTGTGGACCAAATAGATGGAACTAAATAGATGGAAGGCTACGTCAGTCGATATTTTGATGCCAGTAGCGCCCAGTCTTTCCACGATTGTGTAAACACACGGCCGATAGACAGAAGCGTAAAATACTTTGTACAAACTACGAAGCTCCAGAACAAAATTTGGCAAAACCTAACTTCACAAATAAGACGTAACACCAAGTATACACAACTTTTTGACAATTACATTTTTGAAAAGGAAGCCATAGCCAAGCATAACTCGAAGGCATTTTGCTGTTGTTTGTTTTGGTACGTATGTCTTTAAATGTGCCAAAAACTAAAGAGTTTTTGTCTCAAAGTAGCATAGCTAAGCACATAAAATTCTAAGCAAACATCAGTTTTGTAAATGTATTTTCACCCCAAACAATTATTTTTAGCGTTTTTCCGTTGACGTACAAATTTAAAGAAAAACGCAATTTTTAGTTCAAACTTACACGAGATTTGGTTTTAAAAGATAAATTAGATAATATATGATAATACTCGTCACATCCTCCACAACTAAGGGCTTCTGTAAATATGTGTACGTCAGACGATTCATGGAGAAGCATGTATATTATTGAATACATCCAGTTGAATCCTTTCAAAATAAACAAGTAATTGCTGAAATTTTTCCGATTTGTATAAATTGAACGATCAACGATGTCATTGTCTTTCACAGTTTCTACACTTTGATATTTTCCATATCGAAATAGGTATTCAATAGCAAACATCATAATTCACGGTAAAAAGATCAAGTCCCGTCACATTTAATGCCACAATACTTTCTACAAATATTCTTTCTTTGAACAGAATCAGAGATAGACTTCGGGAAAAACATCTTTATTCAACAGGTCTCGCATAACGTGTAGCTTCGCGCGTGCAATACACGTAAATTGACCTCCAGACACGCGTCGCTTCAAAAAATTATTAGGATTTTCTATTACATGTAGCCTTCCATCTGTTACAGTTCAATGGTGTGGACGGAAAGGAGCAGACGGGGGGATACTGGTTCGTATTTGACTAACTTAGCGTTAAAGATTGTAAGTGAACCCATTAAGAGCCTGACTCTTCTTTCTATACTTTGTCGCATCGCAACCTATCGATGACAGCCTGATACTGTGCTCGGGCTTATAGCATGCGATAAAAGATTCTCGTTCCCAGTCCTTGCGTGTCTTTTCTATGATATTAACCTTGGTTACTTTGTTATCTCATTTAAAGCAGTGTACTGTGCTATTGTTTGCTTTTACATCAAGACTCTACATGTTTCAGATATTCGAACTAGAGACTGAGGTGGAAAAACTTCATCAAAATCTAGAGAAAGAGACGACAAAGAAAGACACCGCGACACAAGCATTGAGAGATGGCTTGGCTATCGCAAAGACAAAGAAGAAAGAGTACGAAGTGAAGTTAAAAAAAATCGAAGAAGAAAATGCTCTTGCGTTGAAGGCATATGAGGAAAAAGTTGCCGATTTAAAGCAAGAGATGGAGACGTTGAAATCCGAGAAAAAAATTAATGGCGGCAAGACACTGGTAACCGCTGTACATTGTTTTTTGTTGTTTGCGTTTGCAGATTTCTCACAATTTATCTTCCCGCCTCTTTAGGACAATGTGGAACACAAAGTATTTCAATTTGAAAGTGGAAGTAGCAGTAGCAACGAGTAAGTATGTTTGTAAAAATACAGAGCGATTTTGCTCAGTATTGTCCATTGAAGTGATTGAACTAAAATATATGGAACGCTACCTGTAATAGAAAAGTCTAATAATTTTTTGTAGCCAAATCTTTCACCCAGACACGCGAAATTAAACCCAGACACGCGTGTGTAGGTCAATCAATTTTCACTCCGCGAGAGAATCTTGAAACACTACACCTGGGTGTAAGGTTTGGCTTCAGTTAGTTGCCTTAGATAGCGTTCCATGTATTTTAGTTCTATGATGTTGTCATGTTCGTAGCGCGTATGGATCAGTATTCACTTATCTGAACGTGATTGACACTGGCAGGGGGGTTTATATCACGATGTTTTGAGGGGTACTCTAAAACACTAAAATGTAAACACAGGAGAAGTCGTTTTTATAGAATACTCAGAAATACTGCAGTGTGTCTTGTTGACATTACACTGTCAGAGGGTGTATCACGAGTCTTTTAGGGGTGCCCTAAAACCCTAAAAAGTAAACACAGGAGAAGTCGTTTTAAAGAATAGTCAGAAAAATGCAGTGTGTCTTGTTGACATTACCCTGGCAGGGGTGTATCACGAGTCTTTAAGGGTGCCCTAAAACCCTAAAAAGTAAACACAGGAGAAGCCGTTTTTGAAGAATACTCAGAAATACTGCAGTGTGTCTTGTTGACATTACCATATTGCAGTGTGTATAAAGTAAAAATGTATAGAGGTTTAAGATGCTATCGTGCATTTCATATTGTGTTTTACGCTTATATTTTCATACAACAAAAGAGAGGAGCTCTTTAACATTGCAATTTATAAAATAAACACAATGAAACGCGTGCGCTTATTGGTCTAGAGCTGTGTTTGCATTAGCCTATGAAAAACGATCAAAGAGAATTTGCAAATCAATCATGAATACACGTTAGAAGAATATTAAAGGAGAGGTTTGTGAGAACTCTCGAGCAGGTGCAACTCTCGACCTTCAGTCGCAGGCATGCACTGATCTGCTCTCGAGTTCTCCCAAAGGTCTCCTCGGTTTGCATAAGCCTGTGCAAACACGAAAAACATCTTTTATTTCATAAATGTTTTTCTTTTCATAACACTCTGAAATGATGGCGTACTTCTCAAAGAAAAATTGCATTTTTTCACCTTTGAGAGTTGAATAGAATTATTGAAGATTCTCCTCCGTTTGATACAGCACAAGGAAAAACCCGCTGTTTCATTCCCTTTTGACATCTTATTAATTAACTGCATTTAGTTTGGAAAAATGCCATTTGCACTTACGATTTTTTGTTTGAAGAGTATTCGATTATGTCTGATTGTTATGAAATTTGACAATTTTGACATCAAGAGACATTATGTGTAAACATCCGCAAAACTGCAACAGAACTCAAAAAGAGAACAGTGGAAACGCAGTCAAATTTTGTCGTCACTTTTTCGCTCCGGCGCAGTGTAAACGTAGTCAGCTTAGTCGAGTACACGGACTGACCTCGTAACTGGATGTAGATATAAAGTACCCTTCCACAGAAAGCTGTTCAGTTTTAGTGGATATATGCTGGATTTGGTAGCCCAATATGAATATCGTTGTATTTTTATTTTCCACAGAAACGGCGACTTTGAATACAAGCCAATCGATGTTGAGGTGAGGCAATACACATATCAAGTCAATGTTTCTGTTCTCTTCAATTTCAATCGCAAGTTAACATTTCTGAATTTGTGGTGTTATGACAAATGACGACCGATGCAAAACAGGGGTTTTAAAGCGATTTCTGTGTCCTCAAAGCAAATCGACCATTCACAAAACTTGCTCTAAGCAAATCGACCAATCACAAAACTTGCTCAAAGCAAATCGACCAATCACAAAACTTGCTCAAAGCAAATCGACCAATCACAAAACTTGCTCAAAGGACATCGACCAATCACGAAACTTGCTTCATATTGTTGATTTCAAGTACGATTTTTCCAGAGTTTCCGATGAATCTGTAAAAAGTTCGTCAACAAAACATTTTATTAGATTTTTTTATACAACCTTATTTGCAACTCTGATTATACGAGGTCTCTCAAAGAAAAGAAGACCTTTAGAAATCACCCTAGGATGAAATTTTAATGCCTTATATCACAATGCCAATCCGACTGGTGCATTACTGTGCATGTTTTGATGTTAAGATACGTGCAAACGCTGTCAACATGTCCACTCAACATTGTCTGGCGTTCGTTGAATGATGTTAAGTTACGTGCAAACACTCTCAACATGTTCACTCAACATACGCTCAACATTGTGTGACGTTTGTTGAGTGATTTTAAGTTACGTGCAAACGCTGTCAACATGTTCACTCAACATGCGCTCAACATTGTCTGACGTTTGTTGAGTGATGTTAAGCGATGTGTGCAAACGCTCTCAACATGTTGAGCTTAAAATGAGAACAAGTGGGATCATGGGATAAAATATTCCACGACGCCTAGCAACTGCGTGTATACAGCTACATATACGTTTTAGTGACCAGCTAAATTGCAACAATGTAACCTGCACAGTGCGCATGATTTAGCTCAACACTGCGGAGTGTACTGCTCGAACGCATTAAACAATGTTGAGTTTCACTTTGATGATCAGAGAACAAAGAAAATGTAGAGCGCTGTCGAGTGGAAAGTTTGACCAAGTTCAAACTTCTCTTAACAACGCTCAAAGCCAACGCTCAACAGGTTGTGAAAATGCTCTCAATATGTTGAGTCAACATGTTGAGAGCGTTTTTGTTAGCTCTGATGATAGAATAATGGTTCAGAACAAAGTTCAGGATATATTCCAGTGCTTGAAATGAAGAATAACATGTACGACTCAGGATTTTCTTCTTTTTTAGAGCTTTAATTCATCACCGCGAAGTGATCGTGTGGAGATTGATGTAACTCCCATCACAGGAAGGGGTTTAGTGAATTCTGGGAAGAAAACTGGCGGTAAAAGTCGTGCGTTGAAACGGACGAGCAGTAGCCTCACGCTTAAAGAGGTAAATGAAACTATTTAGAACTATCGGAACCAAAGCTTGGTTGTGATGTTATTGCAAATATGGTTTTGCGGGAATTTTTCTGCTTTTTTTTCATATTCAATTCAAAGTATTCTCTGAAAAAAACCGTTGGTTTGGTTATGAATTTGTTTTGATCTCTAAGGGGCTTAGAAATGTAATTTTTTTCCAAAATGTGCTGCAGTAATTCATTTTGACGTTAGAAATTGGACGAGCATTATGTGTTACGCTTGACATCGCATTTCAAATTTTGAAATCTATTCAGTTTACTTCAACTTGAACCAAAGACTTTTGGTTACTTAATGCACTTCCACTTCCACTTTTACTTAAAGTGCTTATGCATTGAAATTTTCATGCATTGTTTTATTTGCTTATTCAAAAATACTTGCTCTCGACATCATTTTTATGGAAACAGAGTTAAATTTTCTCTTTTCAGAATGATTTTATAGACTTCAAAAGTGGCGATTTTTGGTTCTTTTTGTGCGAACTTTTTTGGTTGTCATGTTTGCTAAATTGACCTCATAAGTAGTACACATTTTCAGCAAGGCAAAAGAAATTACTATTAGTTTGGCGACTTCCGTACTACTTATGACATCAAATGAGCAAACATGGCGGTCAAAAAAAATTCGCACAAGAGAACTTTTGGTGTTGAAATTAGTCCACTTCCACTCAACGTAAAATGGACATAAATATATTACATTGCTTGAAAACATCTGAATTTTTCATTAAGGCTATAAAAAGTACATGAAAATTTAACTGCATGAACACTTTGATCAGGCACTTACGCTTTTACTTAATAATGGCTCTTCGCCCAGTTTGATTTCACGGCTTTTAAGTGGAAGGATCAGTGTTGGTTGGACTTTAGAAGGTCTTTATTACGTTTGTGACGTTAACTTACTTTAATGGAAATTTCTGTTCTTTCAACAACTGAGCTTTTGATTGTATGTATAAGCACAAAAAATTATGGCGGTTTTGTGTTTTTGAATTTTGTTATTGAAATTTTTTGAAAAAAATGTTCTTTTTCAAATATGCTTTGAGGAATTTGTCAACTTTTATTAGATTCAGCGCATCTGTTCCGACAAGAAGATAAAACATGACAGTGAAGATGATTTTACTCCTGCGTCTAAAAAGTAAGAATTTTTCTCATACTTTAGAACGTTTAACTCCATTTCCATTGGCCACAACTTATGATATAGTTCTAAACTAGAATTTACTTGCATTTTACAACACCAATGTAGTTTAGTCGATTGAAAGATTGAAAATTGTTTTAAAGAGCAAATACCATGGTGAATGGTTAAAATAATAACGTAATAGTTCTTAAAAGAATTGTTTGGAACCAGAACACTAACCCAACAATTTTAAAAGAACTGTTTTTAAAGCTGAAAGACACTATGTGAAGGACGCTTTAAAAGCAGTTCTTTGTAGGTTATAGTATTATGATTTTTAACAGCTCTTTTAAGAATCACCATTCACCATGTAGTATTTGCTCTTTTTAAAACAATTTTAAATTTTTACAACGACAAAGTCTCTGTTTTACTATTTAAGAAAGCGAAAGATTAGTTCATCCAAAGTAATGAATGAAGCACGTGATCTATATTTATGTAGGAAAACTCGCAGCTCAACATTGCAACATTTGAAACAAAAGGCATTTACTGGTTCGACTGGGTCATTGCCTGGTTTGAAGGTATGTTAAAATGATTTCTGAACAGTAGCAAAAGTCAGTTTTGGCATGTTGTACTAAATATGCTCTTCATATGTTCCATAAATTTGCTCGATAATCAATAATCGATAAAATAAGTTTCGTAGAACATCCGATGACTGATAAAATGTTAAATATCACAATTTGAATTGTTCAGTGAAAAGGATTCTCAAATGTTCGACGCTTTCGTAAAACTATATGATAGAATAAAATTAATGATAAAAATGATGGTCAGTGTATGGAAAAACATCCGCCAGAATGATCCACATATTGAAAGACTTTAAAAAATATACAGAAGAACTTTAAATTCGTGAGCTTAGCCACCCAAAGATAGCTAGTTTGCTTGCACCTAGTAATCGCGACATATTGGTTTCTAGTGAAGCAGTATTTCTACTCCTACGGAGTAGAAATACCTCCGTAGAAATGATACGGAGAGTCGTGTTAAAGGACACGTTATTTCGCATTTGATTTGCCAGTAAACAATCCCTAAACTCCGTATCAGTTGTCGAAGTTTCACGTCAGAAGTCAACAAAACCCTCAAAATATTATCTGGAAATTCATTCTATGTCCGAACCAACATTTAAAAACACTTTTTGGCTTTATTAGTTCAACATCATTTCGCTTTTTTTCTCATTCGTTCGATGGACTGTCTGGTCTCACGCTATCGTATATTGCTTGATGACGTCATGTTGTCATGTAGATGATATTACATCTAATCGTATTCTAGGAAAACTCTGAAAACGCTGACCCGCGTAAAACACGAGCTTCTACGAAACTCTTCAGTAAATTTCCTTTTTCATCTGACGACAAAGACAAACCAAAGACAGGTACAGTTGTGATTTGAGATCAGTTGGATATTTTGATCCTTTTTGCTGCTGGGAGATCGGGGGTACTCGAGGTTTTGTAGACGGACACGTGACTGTAGCTTGTAGTCTTGATGATAATTTTCTTTATACAATCGATATATTTTTGGTATTTTAGTATTTACTGACTAGCACGGAGGTAGTGTCCCCCCAACACACGTTCACACACGCTTTGTTGCCCCTTTCCCGTGACTACGTCCCTCGTTTAGAAGTTGAACAATGATAAAATCTTCAGTCGCTTCTTTGTTTACGAGTATTTAGCCCTTTTTGTTTAAAGTTGACTTTTTCTTCTTTTTTTTCAAGGAAAGGGTAAGCGACGAAAACTGCTGAAAAAGATCGATATTTCTTCCCCAATTGATTCGCCTCTTGCCGTCAAGGTAAGTGATTTTATGATTATCTCGTGTGTGCGAAAGACGCTCTTGGTCTAAAAGTCGGTAAAGTTTTGCTGGCATACCTATGTTGGTGCGGTTCCTGTGTTTATGCAGGAATAAATTTCCTTTGATGTATTGTATCTGCTGGCTTTAAACGTATTTTGATTGATCACTTCATTGGTTGATAAGTTGGTCGGTTTATCGTGATCGATTGGTTTTCTACTATTATGAACAACTTAATTCCAAAGGTAGCGATCGCTGTCTGTTCTTGAATAAGAAAACACAACAGAAAATTTGTCTTTCCCCATTTAATACTCCATATTTGCGGGCTTTTGGAGGAAAATGGCGGGCGCTATGTAATTTTACTTCCGGTGTCCCAGCTCTTTCATATGTAGGGCTCTGAGCTAGTCTAATTACCCGACTTGATTTATGCTCGGCAAATGAAAGTTCTTGTTTGTTTTTCCAGATGGAAACTGTAAACATTTCTCCTGCATCATCGAGGGCGCAAGATGTCATAATGAGACGCTTACGTTCGCGTAACGTAAAAGTGAAACATTAAATGTGAAGAAAGATGAGAGTTTAAGTAAACAATGACAAACATCTGGTAAAGATTGTTTGCCTCAAAGATGAATTTTAGAGCCATGAAATTGATCTATGTTTCCAGCTTATGTTTACGAATGTAATTATGTTACTTTCTTTTAGTAATTTAAACTCCGAATTCTAATCTAAATTGTAAATAGTTCAATTTGACCGAGATTCGACGTATGTTCGAAAAGGAATTTGATCTTTGGATTTCAATAGTAGCGGAGCCAGCCTCCTGGTTGTTTTAGTCCTATTTAAACATTTTATTCTTGTTTAAATTGAGAATATTGGCTTATACAAGGACTAAGTGATTGGGTCAGCTACACGATTATTACATTAAAATAACATCTAAATTAGCCAATGAGGAAAACCGTTTTTATTGTGTCTTATTAAGACCCGTTTCCACTTAAGAATATTTTTGTCGGAACGTATAATTTTCCAGGTTGTGCATGCTGTCATAGGACTAAATACACAAAGTTGAAAGATTTCTACTTGAATAAACATGGCCTCTCTTGCCTTACTTAGCGCCTGCGCAATCTAGAAAATTATACGTGGAAATATTCTTAAGAAGAAACGGACCTTTACAGCGACCAGTTTTTTCGCTAGGCAGTCTTGAAAATTGTGCGCCGTTCAATGACCTTAGAACCCAATCTACTAAATATTTGGCTAAACGGACGTTATTACGCCCTTAATAACCGAGCTCGAGGTCTTTACGGAGAAATATCGGACCGAGGACTTTTTGTACAGACCGAGCCCTTAGTCGAAATAACCGTAAATTTTCGTGCAAAACATTCTTCTTATCTTTCTATAGTTGTGTTAAGAAAATTGACCCGATCAGAAACGCTTAAAAGGCAAAATATTGCAAAAGATGCGATTCTGTAATACAAATCTATAGAAAAGTGGGTTCCCAACTTCGATTCGGGCAGATTTACTTCCGGCTTTAATTTTTACTAAAAATTTTATATTAGTTGCGTTATCAGTCTATTTCAGATCAGTGGCCTCACCTTAACACAAAAGAATATGTCTGATACAAAAGAATATGTTATCAGTGTTTTTGTGGGCACCAGCCGAGGTGGGCGTGCAACATTGTTTGCTAAATCTCTAGAGAATGGTTGCAAGTCAGGAAATGGCAACTTTTATAGTACCGTATTTTTTATAATTTTGTCGTCTGAGCAGCGCCCCCGAATGAGCGGCGTACTAATTATTTTTAAATGTGCGATTAATCGACGCACCATCAAAATTGTTGGAGAGGCCAACACAAAACAACTACAAATCTAAAATCAATCTCAGAAATTTATAGAAATTTCGCCTATTATTCATCGCAAATTTCAAGCATGGAATTCATTTCAATTGCACAATGCTAAGGCTTAGCATAGAATAATGTCGACTATACGTGCCCACCATACATGTCCCAAAACAAAACGAAACCCTCACAAATAATTATGCATGCATTAAAATAAAATCTGCATAAGAAATTTGACCGCTATTTATTTGCTCCGCCGTTTTCATTTAGTTTAAAGCTCGGCTGTCGCATTATGGAAAATATGATTACGTTTTCGAGCTCTTTTATAAACTCAGTTAATGCCGCTTTTTATTTTATATAAAGCTTTTGCGTAATGAATTTGAGATGAAAGTCATTACTTATAAGTTTTAACCAGTAGTTTTGCTCACCAATACATTACAAATCCTATGAAATCCCAGAGGCGCTGTACAGTCAAGTGTAAAGCTCATTCAAATGTTGTGCAATGCTAATTTCATTATTGTGCACAATATAATTTCAGCGAAAACATGTTTAATTTATGCCGTCCGTTTTTCTTTGGACACCCCGTGTTACATATCTTTGTTACAAGCACACAAGCTTTCTGCTCCTGGGAATTTAACAGAACTTCTATTCGCGAAATTTGTAAAAAAAGGTAACCCATGGGCTTAATCATTGAACTTTTAATAATTGGCTCATTTCTAAAACTTTCTCTTTCATAAACCCTGTATAATTTTTGTTTGTCCACATGATTTTTTGATTTTTCCATTGAGAATTTATGAAATTAGCATATTTCAAATTTTCAGCGGCGTGTTAGACAGGAGTTGCTTCACACAGCTAGTTCAACGTGAAGACGAACTTAGAACCTTTTTCCTTGAATAAACTCTTGAAATAACTCTGAAATGGATAACGATTTTGTTGATAAAGTGTTCGCGACGCCACAAAGCAGCAAGAGTCTTAGGAAAAAAGTCGTAAGAACGCTAAAGGGTAAATCGTCAGTAAAGAAGACGTACGCCGAACCAATGAAAGTTTATCTACGCGTGCGGCCATTGTTTGATTCGGAACTTGCTGCAGGCGAGTCGCAAGGATGTTTAAAGCTCGAAAACGATTCTTCGATACTTGCCGAAGCGCCAAAAGATTCAGCAACGTACAAAAATCAATCAAAAAGTGGAACGCATTCAGTCCACCGCTTCGACTTTTCCTACGTGTTTCGCCCGGACACGAGTCAAATGAAATTTTTTAAAGAAACCACTTTGAAAATGTTGAAAGATTTCATGTCCGGACAGAACTGTCTAATATTTAGCTATGGTGTAACTAACTCTGGAAAGGTATGCTAACATGAGATTTTACCATGGATTTTGCTTAACAGAATGAGTCCGTGTACGTGGTGTGCGGTTAAATTGTTTTAGTACAGGTCGTATAACTACGGCAGAATTTAGAAAGAATTTTGTTCAATCATTTTGTAGTAACTTAAACAGCAGTTTGCCTAGCATCATAGGAAAATGAAATTTCATTCAAACTTACATGAAGCGTCGACCTGTTAAGCCTCCTTCAGCGGCCAAGTAGATCAAGTTCTGACTTTGAAATCCGTGTGGCTACTGGTCCGGAAAATGATCTTCGCTCCAACCAAAGGCGGGCCCAAAAAATTACTTAAATAGTTTAAACAAACGATAACTCTCCCCATTCCATCGTAACGGACCGTGCGCCGCAAACTTTGTATTAATTGATTGTATCTATATTATATATTTACCAAAGGTAGGCAACTATCATCACAGTTAGGAACACATGCCTTTATATAAAGTAATAATACGTAAAAAGCAAACTAGTATTCAAAATAATAATTATATCACTAAAAATAAGATAATTTTTCTACATGAATCGTTTGATATCAAGAATTATTCAAACCTCGGTCATTGTCATGCGCCTCAGCTTCGCTTGGTTTACGTCGGTCTGAATATTTCTGATATCATGCTCAATCTCATCCAATAATTGTGTGATATGACTATTGTCTGGTGGAGTTAACCCAGCTGTTTTAACAAGGTTGTCTTCAAATATTTTTAGACACATACTATATACGGCTCAAGCGAAGATGTTGGAATTCTCCCGCGAACGCTGAACGTCATTTTTCAGAGCTTAAAAGATAGGATTCACACAAGAACAAATCTTAAGCCCAAACTTTTTAATGATGTTATCAACTTAACGAACGTTCAGGAAAGTAAAGAAGAAAGTAAAAAGAATGATGTTCTTCTTATGAGTGAACGATCGGTAAGTACTCATAGACGGAGCTTAAAACTTCAGTCTTTACGCCAGTCTAGGGTCTTCATCAAAAGTTACCTGATGTTAAAACCTGTGTCATTTTGTACTGCAGTCTGGTGTTTTCATCAGGAGTGATCTGATGTTGAAACTTGAGTCCTTATATACTCCAGTCCAGTGTCTTCATCAGGAGTGATCTAATGTTGAAACTTGAGTTCTTATATACTCCAGTCTAGTGTCTTCATCAGGAGTGATATGATTTTGAAACTTGAGGTCATATATACTCCAGTGTAGCGTCTTCATCAGGAGTGATCTGATGTTGTAACTTGAGTCATTATATACTCCAGTGTAGCGTCTTCATCAGGAGCGATCTGATGTTGAAACTCGAGTTCTTATATACTCCAGTCTAGTGTCTTTATCAGGAGTGATCTGATGTTGAAACTTGAGTTCTTGTATACTCCAGTCTAGTGTCTTTATCAGGAGTGATTTCATGATAAAATTTGAGTTCTTATATACTCCAGTCTAATGTCTTCATCAGGAGTGATCTGATGTTGAAACTTGAGTCTAATACTCCAGTCTGGTGTTTTCATCAGGAGTGATCTTATGCTGAAACTTTAGTCATTATATACTCCAGTCTAGTGTCTTCATCAGGAACGAAATAATGTTTAAATATGCAGCTTTATATTCTAGACTATTCACCATGACAAATCGTTTTTCAGGGTTTTCCCAATGAGATCAAACGAATCGCAAGCTTTTTGAGTAGCCCTCATTTGAAATATCCCACTCATGAAGGTATTAAACTGAGATTGAAATCTGAAAACGCCTTAATTAAAGAAGTGTATCGCAGCGAATTACTTGACAAAATTTCATTTTTTTAAATTGATATTATATTTAATGGTAGATACCTTCATTGATGTCAACTCTGATCTGGAAATCGGTGAAAGAGATCAGTTTGCGTTATGGATTTCGTTCGCTGAGATCTACAATGAGCAAATATTGGATTTATTGGAGCTGTCCAACATTAAAGAAAAGAAACGAACCGTTCTGAAACTGAGCGATGATAAGAATGGACAACCCTATATCAAGGGTGCGTTTTTAGAATACCAACTTTGTTATCGTTCAGATATACAATTCTGACGGGGTTATACAAAAATGAAAAATATGTGGCTTAGACAAGAGTTGAACTCGCACCTTTGGGGGGTTGTAGTCCACAAGTTTGAAGAATGTGTGTAAACCAAGATGCATTGCGCGCTTTTGTTTATGTTTACATCGTTAGTTTTCGAGCCTGCGCGGCACGCCAAATTGAATTTCATCACTGCGTCGTTTTATTTATCTAAAAAGTTAGGAAAAACATTGATTAAAAACTCTATTTTACATTAACTTTCATAGTTTGTCAAATGTGCATGGACTAAACTAACAAAATCGGCCATTTTCTCGACTCACAAGATGGCCGCCACGCTGTGATTAACGCATAATGCAACTTGGTTGACACACATTCGTTAATAAGTTAATCTAACAAGCCTACGGGAATTTAAAACAAGTGAAATCGCTTAGAAACTGCAACTCGGAGTGAATGAAATAATCATGACGCACAAATAGAGCCATTTAATGATGCTGTATTTTCGACTTTATTCTAAAACCAACGTCTGTCTTTCCAGGCAAAAAAATTTATTAACCAAGCAAGGTTTTTTATACGGCATTATTTGACTTAAAACGAAGCTTAATTTTCTCGTCCTAACTGTTTTCGCTTTCACTCCTTTAGCTTTCGTCCGTGAAAAATAAATCGCCTAAAAATGTGTCGTCTGGAAAAAAGTGCTTACTTTTTGAGTGTTTCCGACTACCCTTTCTGCCTTTTCACATTGAATCATTGTTCTTTTTGTCTATAGGCCTTAAGCATATTCTTGTTTGCACTCCAGAAGAAGCGTGCAAGGTAGAGATACTAGTTTATATTTGCTAAGGTTAATATTAAGTATACTTAATATTAGATTGGCCACGGCAAAAAGTGTTCGTTTGACAATAAACAGCTGTCAACTTTATCGCCAGTAACGCTTATATTTGAGTGAAGGTTCGTAGTGGCGTTGCTATCCCGCAGAATTTAGTAATGCTGTTTATATTTCGGTTCATTAGCATCATTCTTTTCTTTAGAAATCTATTGTCATTACAGTGAGAGAACACAGTAAAATTAACATAGCACGACCAAACTTGAGGGCGCTGGTTACCCCACTGCGTCCTTAAATGAATTTAGAAACGGCTCAAGAACTTTTGAAACTTTCTTTCTCGAGGTGGCCTGGGGGGTTGTCCATTTAATATGTACTTGAAATTTTCCGACTTTTAAACATTCCCTTCCCCTTTGTACTCAAACTTACGACGCTATACTTCATATTGTCGTGCAGTATTTAAGCCAAGAGAAGTTCAGCTTTTATTTTAACAGCCTATATTCTGTTCATGTTAGACTTACTGATTTTTCATCTTGACTATTTTACGTAAACTATTCAAATACATTATGTCGACAAATTCTATGCGTTCTCTAGGAACCAAAATTAGGTCCCATAATGTCATTTTTACAAAATAGCTAAACCACCCCTCTCAACTGTACCCAAATCTATGCATTGATCATATACACTCTCCTATCTCTATATTTTGGCATACGTACTAAGTGGACAACACCTAATACAGGTTAATTAAATTCAACAATAAAAATTAACTTAACATGGGAAAAATGGTTGACGAAACTCTTGTTTTTTTACAGAATTGAACTGATGTTGATACTTTGCTATGTCATTCATGTTTACAGGTTCTTAAAATTGGTCAAAAAAATCAAATGAATGCTTCAACTAAGATGAACGCCAACTCTAGTCGAAGGTAAAAATTTGGTCGTCTCTTCTGGTCTGATTATTGATGTAGTTTCTGACATTATCTTGTTCTTTTTCCTGCAGTCACTGCATTTTTAACATGAAGCTGGCGCGGTTGAATGTAGACGAGAACGGAGAAACAAACATTTTAAGAGTTAGCCAGTAAGTGGAAAAATTGCAAGATATATATACGTTATTTCCCGGCTTGGAGGTCCGGTTGGAAAAACGTTTTCCAGAAATCTCAAAAAGAGCCCGAAGTGGCAGGCCGAGGGACGTTTTTTAGACTGAGGGGAAATATTTCTCCATCTGGGCCGATCTAAACGCAAACAACGTATTTATTTTTTTCTAAACGCAGCAATCTTGTTAGAATGCTTAGTGATATTCAATAATGGCGGCCAAGTAAACAATCAAAACTTTGCTCTTCGTTTTACTTGAAAACTCAAAATTTACTTGAAATGCTATTTGTTATTACATTATGAAATGTTATTACAATCAAAAGTTGACTGATAATTTCCTTTCTAAAACAAAACGAAACAAAACAAAAAAAAAAACTTTTTGCTCTAGTATTTAGCTATAGGATTCTAGACTGCGGTCAAGATGTCGTAACAAACTGCCCGCTGGTAAAGCCAATCAGATTGCAGGAAACGCTAGGATCTTGCCCCCTGCTGATTTGTAAAAAAATAAAATATCTTCTTCTATCGTTAATAGATAATTAAGGAATCACTTCTAGTAGATTTTCGGCCTTATGTTTCGCTTACATAGCTACATGCATACACAAATGCCATATATTTAGTGGCGTTAACTTGCTGTAAGAACAATGTAATGCTAATGTTCAAAATTTAACATAGCACGGCATAAGTAGCTATGCCACAGCGTTTATGCAAGTTTGATCCTTTTTCCCAGATCATAACGGGGGTTTCATAGACCCATTCTTTCAATCCCCAAGTCTTTATACTATATCGTAACGGTTTTAAGAGCAACTTTAAAAGTTTAAACAAATCTTTTGATTTTCTTCCGAAGATTGTCGTTTGTGGATCTTGCTGGTTCTGAACGCTATACAAAGACGGAAAATTCTGGAGTGAGGTTAAAAGAAGCTGCAAACATCAACACATCTCTGATGACGCTAGGGAAATGTGTGGAAATGTTAAAATACAACCAAAGTCATAGGTATGAGTGAAAAAATCATCCATTTTCAACCATGTTATTATTAAGTACTATATATTTATCACTGTGACATTTTCTGGAAGAATCTTTTTAATAAACTACAACTTCTACAACCATTTAAATGAACTTGACTGAATTGAATTCGACTAAACTATTATCTACCTGAACTAACTGAGCTCAACTCAACTTCTATTTCACTGAATTTAACTGAACTATAGTTCAACAGAACGGACTAATCTTAACTTAACTATTTAACTGAGTTAACTCAACTTCACTGAAATACTATTTAATTGAACTAATTCAACTTGTCTCAACTATTCAACTGTACTTTTTGAACTTAAATGAATCAAAATTTATCTAAACTCAACTAAATCCACTCAAATACTTCTAGACTGAACTTATGTAATTTGACTGCGCTACTAAATCAATTTAAAGTGCCGACAAAAATAATAATGGTAAAAATAAGGCTTTTCAACTGACGTTTGCTCTTGTAGGAGTAATCCAAAGAACATCCCTTTCCGAGAAAGTAAACTCACTCGTTTGTTTCAAGTATTTTTTAATGGCGAAGGCAAAGTGTCGATGATTGTGAATGTCAGCCAGTGTGCGTCCTCCTTCGATGAGACATTTCATTCGTTGAAATTCTCTGCCATTGCCAGAAAGGTAAAGTTTTTTAAATCCAAAGCCCTTTTGTCTCTGTGCGTACGCATGTTCTCAAAAGGTTAAAGTTGGCGATGTACAATAAATTTCATCTTTTCCAGCGCATGACAGTCCTTTGATAGTTCGGTTTATTATGTTACCATTATAAAATAAACACAATGAAACGCGTGCGCTGATTAGTCTTAGCGTGTACAAAACACATCTGAGCTCAAACAATCAAATCAATCAAGGCAGTCGATCAATCAAAGAGGATTTGCAAATCGATCATGAATAAATTTTAGAGGAAAAATTAAAATGCTTGTCTTTTTCGCATTATTTTTATTTTACAAAAGAGATAAAAGATGTTTTTCGTGTTTGTACTGGCTTATGCAAACTTCGGAGATGTTTGTAAGAACTCTCGAGCAGGTGCAACCCTCGACCTTCCGTCTCGAGCTTGCACTGATCTACTCTCGAGTTCTCCCGAAGGTCTCCTTGGTTTGCATAAGCCCGTGCAAACACAGTTAACATCTTTTATTTCTTAATTAAATAGCATATACTCATTTAAAATGTGTATTATAAGATTTGAAAGTTACCTAAACACTATACAAGACTATATTTACGTAATATATATCAACTATAAAATTAAACATTATATAAACTATAACACAAATCAAAAGGACATTAAACTCTGTTGGCTTTTGAGGAAGTCAATTGATATATCTATTGATTGTATACACAATACAACAACTTTAAAAACGGTCAGTTTGACATCTAAAGTCATATAATTTAACTCCAGACATTGGTCTAAGAAGATTATTGTCAATGTTATTGGGTAAGGAATATTGCCATTCCACAGTATAGGGAATATATTGTGGGGCCACTTCGCTGTGCAACTGGCTGCTGTGTAATTAATAAGAATAATGGCTGCCGTAGATCATTTCATCATTCCTACTGGTAGAAATTGCCATTGGCCAGCTGCCACTCTGGTAATCACACGCGCAATGAGATACGCGTGGCACGAAAAAATTCAATGGAGTTGCTCTACTGTATGTTCTCTATACTGTGACATTCGTCAGCATTAGATCCATTACAAATGACCACAACAAACCATGGTTGAAATATCGGCATTTACATTGTACCAGAATGCATTTGGATCTCTAGGCATAGCTCATATTCCGACATTTTGAACTTACTGTGCGATACCTTTCTGTGCATTCCCTGGAAAAACAACAAATGAAATGAAATTTCAGAATAAAAAACTGATACCATCTTTGCTGGAATAGAATCATAGCATGGGTAATAGTTTGGGCTGGTATTTCCAATGTGTGCGTTTCCGGGGTAAGTGTCTGATGTTGTGATCCATGGCAGGTGCTCTGCCTGCAAGTGTTTAAAGCTTACTACAAACTGCTGTGTAAATCATAAAGTTTAGATTCCTCCCATTCCATTTTCAAAATTTACCAACCAGAACCTTCAGTTGAGTAATTCGGTTCATATTGATGAAAATAAGTAGTAAATTTGAGTCCCCACTACGAGTGTTCACTTCAAAGGGCTGACTGCAAATATTTTCAGGCTACTTAGCTACAAAAAACCCCCGAATGTACAGGCATGGTTTCCGGTTCAAGTTTTACGTTCATGTTCGGCTACTCAAAATGTGTCGAAGGTTTGGAACTATTTCCAACCACAATGCATTTCGGTAAAATCCACCACATTTACTGTTGCTTGGTAAGGCTGCTTACCATAAAAATCCACTGCTCGCAGTACAGATGTAAATTTAGATAATTTAAATGATAAATTATCAATACTAAACCTGCTTTTGTGATTTGAAAGTAATGATAACGAGGGTGTGAGATTTATCTCAATGGCTTTGTTCGAGTTATTTCAATGGCTTCGTTCAAGTTATCAACAAGTCACGCAGTTACAATTTTTCTTTTAGGTGTCAACAATTTGTCTTGAATCATCGTGTATAGATGAAACATCCAGTCATGATACTCAGGTATGGCATTCTGTGCGGAATTTTGTTCTCATGCATAAGTTCTTAACTAAACAACGCGCAAACTTAGTCTTTCACTCAGAATCCGGGCACTTAAAAGCACCAGAAATGAAAAGAATATGATGAATTGCGCATTTTTGCACACTTAACTTCAATCCACGCAGAATTGCGCAATGTCGCACACTTAACTTCAATCCACGCACCTCTCCTCACCACCCGCCAAATTTGCAGCATACATGTGTAGTTTGAGATTTCATTTGGTGTTGATGTCGAATTTTATACGTGAAACGGTTTAATTCAGCGGTAAGCATTTATCTTCAATCGCGTCGCGGTATTTTTATGCTAAAAGCTTTCACAAAAGTGGGGCTATAGTTAGATATTGCTCCTCTTAGTTTGGATGACTGTACTTGCTGTATTTTCTAACACCTAAAAAATGACTAAAAACGAAATTCCTGCATGCATAGCGCATACGGAGTAGCTTGAATGATGTTACTTCTCGGCTGCCACACGTGACTTGCACTGATTCGGAAAGGATTCATAGGCAACTACCCAACAGAGCCAAGATAAGTGGAGGTTTCCTTAGGGATTAATAATTAACCTCCAAATTATGTAATATGGAAGTCGAGCAAAAAACCTTCGACAAAAAATCATAGGGATCGGTGACTATCAACTTTCGATACAATATCGACACCCTAAAATTTGGTCGATACCGATACCAAAATCGTTGCCAATTCGTGCAATTGTTAATTCATTAGCAATTTTAAAATCTGAGCAATGTCAACATATGGTGTCACAAAGTATTTCACTACTGGTAAAAACACTATTGCAGGCTCAATACCAACACAACGATACTAGTGGTCGGTATCGAAAGTAAAGATTATTGGTGAATTTCGATGATTTTTTATCGTATCCCCAATCCCACTTTAAGAAGTGCAACGGCAAAAACGTTTTTGTTTCTTTGGAAGATCATGCACCATTCCTTCGTATATTTTTTTCTCTCAGCAACTTTTGTCGAGTATCAAAGCTCTTCAAGCGAGACTTGTAAAGGAGGCAATGGAAAAGGCAATGCTTGAACTAAGCATAAGAAAAGAGGTTTCGGAAGAAATGTCTGAACAGATGGCTGAGCTTGAGAACATGTACAGGTATGTGCGCATTGTGTTCAGTGGTATGTTACGCTCAATCTTTCTTTTTATTTGTAAGTTGTTCCCAGAGCCCCGGGACAGCCGGAAGGAATATAAAAGTAATGGGGCATTTTGGATATTATGTTGCTAAGTAAAAACTATTTTGAATTTTAGCAAAGGTCGTCCCCTTAGTCATGCATGTAATAAACTAATGAAATAAAAGAACAGCAAAAGGTTCCTGTGTGACTCAAGTCTACTGCATTTTAGATACGTATGTTTTATAGATAAAACACTCTATTAGTAAACATTCTCTTTCTCAGTAATTTGCTATTTTAATGCAAAGTGAGGGGTACTGCCCCCTTCTAAGAAGTGTGAGGGATCCCAGTCTTCTCTGTCCCTCTGCTTCTGACGCCCCTGGCGGTGCACATTCTCGCCTCTTTCAAGTAGCAATGCTGTGCATAGTCCTGTGTCGTTCCTTTAGCAAGGTATGCCGAATTCCTCGTCCATCCTTTAGTATGCTGTGCTCAGTCCTCCATCCTTCAGTAGCATGCTGTACTTCATCCTCCATCCTTCAGTAGTATGTTGTTTTCAGTCCTCCATCCTTCAGTATTCTGTTTTTATCAGTCCTCTATTCTTCAGTAGCATGCTGTACTCAGTCCTCATCCTTTCAGAAGTATCTTGTTCTCAGTCTTCCATCTTTCAGTAGTATGTTCTTCTCGGTCCTATATTCTTTCACTAGTATGTTGTTCTCAGTCGTCCATCATGCCAGAACTACGTTGGGCTCAGTCTTTTCTCGTTTTAGTACTAAGTTGTGGTAAATCCTCCTTCCTCTCCCATGCGATGTTAGGCTGTAAGATTTCGATATTCTCTGATTCCACGTTGTAGCTACAGAGCTCATGTTATGCTTAATTAAAACTCAGGGATCTCAACAAGGCTGAAGTCGAATCTCGAGAAGAAGTACTAAAAAAACGAATTGAGATTCTCACAAATTCTGTGCGAAAATCTCGATTGAAGCAACAACGAGCCTCTGCTGTTGAGTTATTCAGGGATTCAAGAGAAGAAGTGGTTCCCAGTGTTCTTTATCATCGCGAACAGATGAAGGTCAAGGTAAAAAAGATTTATTGTTCTGTAGAGAATAGCAATAAGGTTTTTGATGAGGGTTTGGATGATCTGAATGGGAATAAAAACCTGGATTATCAAAACAGATTAATGATGATATATTTGTTGTACTGCAGAGTAGATGATCCTCGCTAGCATAAATAAGTTTCAAAGCAAGTGGTGTTATTTCTATCGATAAAGCTTGCACCTTAACAAACAGTTTGTATATTTGTGATTGATTTGAGCTGGCAAACTTTTTGACGAGCTCGTACCAAGCAAACAGTCGAAATTATCATGTATATTATTAAGCCCTTAATAACCGAGCTCGAGGTCTTTATGGAGAAATATCGGACCGAGGTGTTTTTGTACAGACCGAGACCGTAGGGCGAGGTTTGCACAAAAAGACAGAGGTCCGATATTTCTCAGTAAAGATCGAAAAGCGAGGTTATTAAAAGGATTATTATATGGCATTATTTTATGCAAGCGCACTTCCGGCAAAATGGCGCGCTTTGATTGGCTCAGAAACATTTTTGCCGGTCCATTATTTTCCCGTAATCGACCACGGTCCAAAAACGCGTAGTTTATTGACAAATGAAAACAAACTTCGTAATGCAAACAGAAAAAACGCATAATAAACGAAACAAAAAACCATTTATGAATGTGATTCGAAGGAAAAACACTTGGAAAACAGTTAAAGTATCTAGACGATACAATTTGAAACGATTTATTTTTTATGGACGAAGCTAGAAAAGTGAAAACGAACCCGTAAAAACAGCAAGAACGAGAAAGAAAGGAGGCTTCGTTTCAGGCAAGGTTTGTACAAAAAGACAGAGGTCCGATATTTCTCCGTAAAGACCTCGCGCTCAGTTATTAAGGGCTTATTATTTGACCTGAAACGAAGCTTGCTTTCTTTCTCGTCCTTGCTGGTTTTTACCGGTTGGCTTTCACTTTTCTAGTTTTCGTCCATAAAAAAATAAATCGTTTCAAATTGCATCGTCTGGATAGTTAAACTGTTTTCCAAGTGTTTTCCTTCAAATTACATTTGTAAATGTTTTTTTGTTTCGTTTATTTTTCCTTTTGCAGTTACGAAGTTTGTTTACATTTGACTGTGAAATTACGCGTTTTTGACCGTGGTCGATTATGGGAAAATAATGGACCGGCAAAAATGTTTCTGAGCCAATCCAAGCGGCCATTTTGCCGGAAGTGACGCTTGCCATATAATAATAATAAGTAATAGCATGGTTTCTCGTGCAAATTGGAAAACAAGCACTCGTGAGTTTTTCAAAGACTTCAATCGAAACCATGTTATTACCTGTACAAACTTATCGCGATTTATTTTTTCAAAGGAACAAGACAAGATCATCATTTGTTTAAAGGAGACCATTGAAAAACAGGAAAAAATCATCAATGACTTAAGAGAGGTACGAAAACGTGTTCACCAAATCTCTAATATATTCTTCGAGTCTGGCAAATAGTTAAATAGTTATCATAATTATTATTTGTCTGCTTTCACTTTGACTACATGACGTATTTCTTTATTTAGCAAATGTGTTCAAGTACGTTTATTCCCTACGAAAGGTTGGTCTCAAATTCAGAGCATGTATAACTTTACCTCCCCCGTCCCCTTAAGAGAGATAGAATGCTAAATAAGTTGTGTTTTCTTACGGGGAACCTTTGGGTAAAATTCGGTGCACTTGGGTACACAAAAAAGTCCGAGTACCTATCGCAATGAATGATTATTGCAGCAAGAGAGTGTGTATCATTTCGATGGCATGTTTCGTAAGCTTCTCAATAGGATAGGTCAGCTTTCACTTTAATTGGGAACTTTTTAAGTGAAATGACCACAATTTTCAACGTGAACAAGTCATCAATATCTTTGACGACCAACCAATGGTAAAACAAAAGTTTACAGAACTACATTTGATATGTTTTATAGCGAAGGTTCGTTTGAAGATTTTACTGAAATGGAATTCAATTCTCCACCCTCTCTGGTGAGTTTTTTTTTTCAATTTGTAGAGAAAAGTTGAGCAAAATAAGATAATTGAAATATTCAAGAAACTTTTTTAGGGAAAAATATGATACAAAACCGACTTATTCAGTGCAAAGCTCGCAAATAACGACGAAATTAAGAGTAAAAATTGATCAACTTCTACTCAACACATAAAAGTCATATATACATCAAATTACTTCTAAAAAATAACCATTTGATAAATTAATAAAATTGAAGTGAATAATATATTTCATATGTACTTTATTTGGGCCATTTGTTGAGAATTTCCGTTCGATAAATTCATACAGTTTGACAAATCCATCTTGAAACTAGTGAAATTTCCTTGAGATGCGAAGTTCTGCGCTTAAAAAGTGCAAAATGTTTAAAAAGAAGAAACTTGTGATCTTACGTGGCCGCGCTACCAGCCAGTGCCTGAAGCATTGCAACTTTGCTCAAAATAACTTAAGCACACTTTACAAAATTTCAAATTTCTTCCCTAAAAATTTCTGCAACATTTACAGACCAGAATTTTTGAGTAATAGTTTAGTCTAGTACAGTCCTGAAAAGGACTGTTGGTGTTTGTGTTGACTGATGTTTCGACAACCTTAGAATAAAGAAGATTTACATCTACAACCATGCAACTATACTCTCGGGTTCAAGCCATTTTAATGGAATATTTATCACCTTTGCGATTAATTACACTCGTGAAATTTCAACCATAGGATTTTGTATCTTTAGCGTGGATCTTACAGCGCGCTGCCTGTTACGAGTGATGTTGAGTCAACAAAGAAAGGGATTTTCAAAAGAATTGATGGCTTGAAGGAAAATGGAAGCTCCGTTTCACGATCAGGTACACATTAATGATTTATTGTACGGAGTATTGTAGGGTATCAAAATTATTCAGACTGTAGTCAATGCAGATAACGCATTTCAAGGTCTGCATAATTCTAGGAGAAAGAGCCATGTAAATTAGTTTACATTAAAAAACGAGCTCGTCTGATTGTCACTTGCCAGTTCAAGTACAAACTTAAATATTAGCGGTACAAAATAAAATATTAGCGGTACAAAAGAGTGCATTTTAAAGTTCATTGAATTAGTCTTACTGATGTTGCATAAAAAAGATTTGGTATCTATTAGGCACGAACACAAGTGTAATTTATCTCTATTCTTGTACGCAGCAAAGAAACTGAAAAAAAGAATATTCCATAATTTACCGAAAACACCGAATGATCATTCTGATGAGCAATCACGTCCATCTTTTTCTTTGGTAGAAGTAAGTTCGTTTTTAATAGTATTCAAGTTTTTCCGCAAAGTTATAATTACTGGTAAAACATATCTGCAGTTTCTTGAGAATCGAATGCAAGATAACTAAGAAATTAAATTGATTTGTTGATGGTCTGTTGCAATACCTTAAGGCCGATTCCATTACGGTCGTTTTGCCTGCGCGCACGAAGCGGACACTTTTGAGCATTCGTTCGCGCGTTCAAAAACAATCTTCATTAATCTTTTGTGTGTGCGCTAATTGAAAAACTAGTCATTGCTGGTAGCTTGAAATAGAAAATTAGTAAAACAGCGATTACAAAGAAGGACATACAGAAAACGACTTTGGGTATGGCAAATCTATTTATAGTAGAAAAAGTAAAGGGATATCTCACTTTCGTTCGTGAGACAATGTTTTTCCATCATGAACTTTTTTTCAAATGTGTCGAATGACACCAAGTACATTTGAAGAGTTACTCGGTTTAGTTGTCCAAAGCAGCACACGCTGTAAAACACGATGAGAGGCGATTGGGCCAGACAAAAGGCCGACAAAGACACGGAGGTACCTGGTCACTGGTGCATGGTAATGCTTTTACAACTATAGCAGCAACCTTTCGCTTAAGTGCCACAACTGTTGGTGATTGGTTGATATTTATCACGTGCTTTCGAAGCGTGTGTGCTAGTGTCCACAGCTTTCGAGAGAAGCCAATAACGTAGTTTATAGCGCATGATCAAACGTGTACGCTCCGCTCGCTCAGGCAAGGCAATCGTAATGGAAAGTGGCTTTTATGTGAGCAGCCGGCGCATATTATGAAGAATAGGGGTCGCAATGCCAGTCTTTCGTTAAGAAAAGATTATGGAAAGCCAGTAAGGTTAAAATTGTGGGCTTTTTATCGAATAAATACTTTACAAAAGTCGGTTCCAGAATATAGATGTCACTCCAGTTTTTTGAGGTGTCTGTCTTTGATTGTAATATCTGAGATGGATCTTCTAGTGCTGAACTTACTTTTGCGTGCATTCAGATAAATAAAAATTACAAGTGTGGAAGATGAAGACTACGATGTTTAAAGTGACTTTATCAGTGTCAGGAAAATAACTTCTTTACACAGTTAAATTCAATTTAGGAACAAATGCAATATATTTGATACGCCGAAAATTTTATCTTAATGGGCATGTGGCACATTGATTTGTACAAGCTAATTTGCAATATATGCTAGAGCACGAAATAATATGCTGAACATTAAGTCGTGGAATAAAACCTGTTTTCCACTAGCCATGCATCGTAACGTATCGTAGCTAAACGTAACATGGCGCATGCGTGCATGTGCCTATTAACCATCAAAATCAGAAGCACGCATGCGCCATGTTACGTTTTGCTACCATACGTTACGATACGTGGCTAGTGGAAAACAAGCTTAATTATATCCGACTGCACCGAGCAATATTTGTTCAAAAAGGGGGAGCACTTTACCTTGCGATAGTAACTTCTAGTGTTATAAAAATTTAATGGGAAACATGGCGTCTGAGCGGATCTCCTTTTCGACGTTTGTTGTTTTTTATTAACCTGTCTCATCTTCAATGTATGCGTTCTCGATTATAGCTATGTCACACAATTTTTTAAAATACATTGCAAATGCTCTTAAAATTGATTTAACTATTTAAATAAGTCATTTTCCTGATCCTGATATGGGCACTTTAATTGTATTTGACTTAGAGTGAAAACAAGGAAAGGTTATTATCAAACACTTCAACATCAGACACTCCGAAAGTACAAAGAAAACTCCGTTCGAGGAAAGTCTTGATTTGATGTTTGTCCATATAAAAACAGCTCGCTTAAGACACGCATGAAGCAGTTTTTCACCACTACTATAAACACTAGTTTTGATGTGCAACCACTACTATAAACACTAGTTTTGATGTGCTATGCTTGAAAGAACTGGTTGACTTCGATATGCGCAATGATTTAAAGTTTTTATTCAGATTAAATGTTTTTGTTGTAATATATTATATATATACATATATGTAAATAAATTTGACCTTTTCTTTCCTTTTCTTGACATTTTAAACTGAGTTATAAAATCACAACTACGATCTAAAACTTGTCTCAACATCATAATCATTTATGTGGATACAATTTATATCCCAGTCATAATCATTCAAAATGATCACACGTCTATACAAGTTATCATCTCTGTCATAATCCTCTAAAATGATCATTCATAAACACAAGTTATCATTGGTATGTATTGACATTAAAATTTTGTATCGAAACCACTGGAAAAGACTTGTTTTGATTCGAAAAGAACCCCATTTTTGGCTACTGTTAACGTGCCTTCAGACCAGCTGCTTTTTTTTGCAGGCTGTTCAGTTGTCAAAAAGGTAAATGACTATACTATTAGATTAAGAAACGATTCGCAGTTGCTAGCAGCGTTTTCTCAAGTTCAAACTGTGTGAAGCTGGATTTGATTTAAAATTCACAATGAATAAATAAGGAGTAGCTCAGGCTCAACATCAAAACAAGACGATACTTGATGTTAGTATCGATATTTTAAACAAATTGTAAAAATCAAGTAACGTATTTGTCATCGCGCACCGACCCATCCCTGCCATAAGGCAAAATACGCAAAAAAACATGCAAAAAATTTGATGAAAAGGCAACGTTGATCGTAATAAGGTAAAGCCAATGATTTAGAACCCAATCTTCTAAAATGTCTAACTGCCAAGTCAAGGTGAGGCAAAGACGCCATCTTGAAAGGTGGCAAAATTAAAAGCAAAACTCAAAATGAAAAATTAGTTGAAACAAAGTTAAAAAGCCCATCCTGTCAAATATTTTAATAAATAAACCTAGACTATCAAATTTGCAACAGTGTATAAACTCAGGAAAAGCAGATATGAATGGTAAATGTCTTCAGTTTTGCCACCTTAAAGGGCTTGCCTCACTCGTAACCACAGACTTTTGACGGTGGAGTCAGATATCTAGTAGATTGATTTCTAGATCATTGGGTAAAGCCGTGTCTTATCCGTAGATCTATTTTTATAGATTTACATCGTACTAGCTAAATACGTTTATAAGCTTAAGCTAAAATAGAAATGATTCTTTCAGTAAAGGAGTGCGCTAACAAACAATTAGTTTTGTTGTAATCCAATGTATAAATAATGCCATCTTACTTCACATTAGTGTAATCTGGTTAATGAACTAATTTTAGAACACGTACTTACTTAATCCAGTTTACACTGCATCGGATATGAGTTATTTGAATTGAAACTCCACTGGAAGTAATCTTGATGCTTCCCACGAGTCTTCGCACTTTATCCAGTTTGCTTGCGTCAGCGTTAATGAAAACGTTATTTGCTAGAATGGCAATTTTTAGTAAAGATTATCTCAACATCATTTTATTTTAAAAGGATCATAACATATTAAGAATAAAATAATTGTTATTCGTTGATAAGATTTGCTTTGTTTTAGTGGAAAGTGAAGGAAAGGTCCAACTTGAACTCAAATGCTCAATAGACAGTTCAGACTCATGAAAAATTTTATATGAGTTCAAAATGTCACTGTTTTTACTCTCTTGCCTCTCACAAATATCGATTTCAAGAATGGTATTTATTTCGAGTGATTAAAAACTGGAGGGTTACCTTCAAAAAAATCAAAGCCAGAAGTAGTGACGATCTTTCCATAAGAAACTTCATGACGACAGATAATCTAAAATGTGGGAACTAACACGCGTGTACCTCACAGTTCACTTTTTTCATGCAAGTACTAGCCAGTGGTAGTAAATTAGCATTCCAGTTACATATTTAGTGGAATTTTTTTGGAGCATGTAATATATATCCCAACAAAGAATACTTGTGGTCAGAGCCTCTCAAACAAATTTCTACACCAGAAAAAGTCCTTATTGCCAGGCTTAATCTTCTATAAATCAGAGTCTCAATGGTTAAGGGATAAGACATATCATCCTTCTCTCCCCACCCCTCCTTTGCTGCCTCCTCAGTCTGAGTGGCCCTGTTTTGTGTGGACGTCTATAAACAGCCTTGAGGCTCAAAAAGTTTTGATAAAAGTATTTCATTTTGATCGGCTATAGTTTTTAAGAATAAGCTACTGCTTTTAAAGTTGAAAACAAGCAACAGCAAACGTCGATACTGGATTCATCCAATTAATAAACGACGTGATCGTCTTGGACTATTTAACAACTTGATTAAAGAATTACGAGAGCCGAACAATGAAAATAGACACATAAAATACTTGAGAATGACGACGACAAATTTTGACTACATTTTGGATTTAATTAGACCTCACATCACTAAAGTTGGCACACATCTTAGAAAGTCTATTAGCCCTGATTTATCAAAACCTCCTGCCACTCCGCCATGTTTGAGTACAAAGTCTGATAGTATAAGCCAATAGTATGCGTTTTGGTCAACGAAAAAGGTCTAAAGTTCAACTCTTCTAATATACACGAAAACGAAATTTTCGTCGAGTTTTCGTTCAAAATTTTCGTTGCGGCAGTTTTCGTTCTGATTTTCCTCGATATGGACGATAGTGTGACCTAGGCTTAAGTGTGAGCTCGCACATTCAATTACGTTCATAAATATATTTTATATTACAACTTTTATTTGATTATAGTTTTTTGAAACTATACCTCATAGCTTACTTAAGGATATCTGGTTTGTGATCCGCACGATTTTTTTGGAAAGATAACTTAACTTGTTTACATCGACTGCGCTAAATTCTGTTCAATTTATAAATAAATACTGCGTACGATCAAGGGAAAAGTATCAGAAAACAACAGCAATTGATCCTCTTATATTTCCCATATATTTTACATTTATTTTTAACAACAACGAAAACAACGATGATTATGCATTAAGCTGTCCAATTATCCAAAATATAATTAATAAAAACAATGACTTAGAAAATCTGTTGCAGCTGAAATTAGGTATCGAAGCCACTGGAAAAGACTTATCGAAGTATTATCGTATGATTGCATCAATTCGACTGTACTAATTTTCATTGACGTTTTTCGGCACCTCATTACTGTGATGCGTCATAAGTTGTAAGGTCTGGCATCGCAGATTCATCCATTAACTTCTACCTTTTTTATCCCAATCTTTTTCGCTAAGTATAATGGTTTATCCATCTCGAAGTGTGGACAACTTTCTCTGATCTTTGCAAATTGAGCAATTATTCTCGAAAGACGTCCATTAATTTATTTGCTAAAACAAAAAGCGTAACAAATCGTGTTACAAAAACGCCTCATGTTTGGCTTTCACAATAATATTCACATTCTACTGATCAATCTTTGTAACAAAGTACATATGCGAATGATTATAATTATGAAGAATGTTTAAGTTTTGTTTGAGATGATCTTCATGAAATCCAATTCTACTCATTTCTTTTTATTTTCAAACTGCAATAAATTAAGTACTCTGAATGGTTAGTCATTTTCCTATGTAAAATATCGATTTCCGCAGACACGTACAATGTACGAAATGTACAATGTACAATGTTCGAACTTATTCGAACTTTCCACTCAACTGCAGTGCTCAATTTAATTTTTTTCTGTGATTTGAACAGCCTACTGTGCAGCGTATATTGTTATAGAAATGGCGTCGGAAGAGATAGAAGTTTTTAGCTGGTCACTGAACCGTATATATTGCTGAACCGTATAGACGCAATATGGACGCAGTTGCTAGTCGTTGAATATTTTTTCCCATGATCCTTTGTGTTATTATTTTAAGGGTGAACATGTTGAGAGTGCTTAACATCGCTTAACAAACGCAAAATAATGTTGAGCGCATTTGGACATAAGTTAAGAATGAATAGCTATTGATGTGTTGGCCCGCATCGTGTGGGTAAACGACTAATCTTATAGAATTTATGTAACAGTATAACTTAGGTTCAATCCTTCAAAATTTCTTCTACTGTCCAAGTGGCGTAATCGACCTTCAAGTTCGTCGTACAAAAGTTTCTGAGCATTATGATTACTCATTACTTTAGAAATTTACTGGTTTTACTATACAGTGAATGCACGGAAATATTTGCATAGCTTAACATTTCGGTAGGGGGGGTGTTATAAAGGACGAATAGGTCAAAGAAAGTTTGTCCTGCAAAAATTTAGGCTTCTTTATAAAATAAAAACACCACAAATATTATAGTCCCAGAACATAGAGCCCCCCGTTTTTTTCAGGAATGTGCGCTCCTGCTGGCATGTAGCTATTTGTGAGATCAAAGATCGATGTTTTATAGTTTAGCTGAACATCAATCCCATTACCGTTCGATATTTTAAGCAAATATTATATTGACGTTATTTGGATAAAAATCCCATTTTGACACTACAATTCAAACCTGCATTTTTCATAGAAATTGATACATATTTGGGGTTACATTTAACGAGAATACGACTAAAAATAATAGATCTAGTCAGTGTCTGTAGTCATTGGACTTGGCAAAATTTTCAACGCCCTTTGAAAATAATGAGATTGTTTTTGCCAAAAGAGCAGGCAATCTGTAAGTTAATGCATGAACTTCGTATTCAAAATGATTGCGCGATTGCCGATTAAAAAACATCGACCCTATTGGATATTTTTAGAGGTTGTTTACGCAGATCTGTCGCAGCTAGCCGTGTTAAAAAAATGAATGTAATGAAAAAAATAATGAGTCGAATACTTTGATCTTGTGCGATTTTCAACCGGCTCTACGGGATGACTTTGTCATTGTAATCATCTCGGCTCCTAGATTCTGAAGCTATTTTTAACAGTATACCTCATGTGAAAATTGCTTTTTCTTGATCATTTTTTAATGAGTATAAACTGTGAATAAAGTTTTTAAATGGATGGTAGTCTCCTCAGACATTTCAAATAATTATAACCTTGCTCATTTCGCCAAAAACAGGACGTTCTTGCGCGCATTCATAACTCAGCAAGATTTGGCAAGACTTGAATTAGGTGCTGTGGCTGTTTATTGAAAAATAATTTGCCCAGGATATTAGTGTATTTTCGTTACAATACGTGGGAATGTTTGGTTTCTTTTCTTAATTTAAATCCCATTGATGAGAAAAAGAATAACAGCGACAGTTACCTGGGTCGAACTATTTCCGCCTGAAACGTTTGTTACAAACAAGTTGACAGCGGCAAGTTATACTTACAATGGTTGATATATTGTCATTGTCAAAAAAATTGTGACGCCCTAATTAGTGACATATTGTGTTTCCCAACTTGTCACGAATATTTTATGTGTTTGTATAAAAGTGAATCGAACTTTCAGGCAATCGTGCATTTAGCATTGCGTTTCGCGTTTGCTTTTTACATAGCCGAAAGACAAGTTTTTTAGCTTGCCATTGATATGTTTACTATTTCATAACAAGCAGAAATGATCAATCAGTCTTGAAATAAAAATTAAAAATCGACGTTAGACTTTTTTCGCCGTTGGGAATCGAATACAATTATCGGAGATTCTTTAAGATATGCTAATACACAGGAAAAACCTGCTGGTTCATGTGCTTTTGTTTCAAACGGCAGCGAAACCTCGTTAGCTGCACACGATCCCCAAGTGTGAATAAATACAATTATGATTAGTAATTCTTATTTGAAAAGTACTCGACCATTCCAGATTGTTACGAAATGAAGAACATTTCATTGGAAAGCTAAGGCCTGTTTCAAACGTCGCATTTTACATGAGTCAAAAGCATAAAAACAAAAGAAAATGAGATAAAATGCCTCATTATCTTTTGCTTTCAATGCATTCGGCTAGTGTAAAATGCCACGTATGAAACAGCCCTAAAGAGCTGCTCTGTTTGCTGTGCAAAAAATATAAGCGTAAGCCACAATATCAAATGCACGGATAGTATGTTAAAGTTTGAGTCACTTTTTATATACACTTAAATTAACTATATGAACACATATGCATGAGCAGAGACATTACCAGTCCAGAAATTTAGTCGTGCAATGTAAATATTTTGGTGTTCACACATATGGTGTTAAAACAAAAGGTTTCTTAATGGATGAATAATATTGAAATTTACATGTAGAGCGACGGAACTTGCTTGTGGGCTAAGTCACTGACTCTGAGGTAACAGCTCTCTTTCTCATTGTTAAAACAAAATAAGACAAAGGACAGCAAATGTTTATTTGCACAGCAGCAGGAACTTTCTCGCAGATCACCTCACATCTCAGATCACATGACCCAAGAAAAGAATGTGGTCGGAGCGATGAGAGCGTAGCCTGGGTACAAAACATTAAAGTTCTGTTAAGCAATAACTAAGAATAAGAATCAAATCCTTTACATGTGTAAGTCTAACCACTGTGCAAAGGTGAGGCAAGGACGCCAATCATCGTCTCCATCCAATAAGCGCCAAGTTTCTAATAGACGCTTAAACCTAACACATTATCATTATGGATTTATGATATCATAATTAAAGTGGCTTATCGACTAGGCTCAGAAATTGTATCACTGTCTTTCGTTTTATTTTTCTGTACTCACACTTGAATGAGTGAAATAATCAAATAATAGAAGAGTTTTTCTCTATTTAACACCTCATTTCTACCCCCCACTTTTCGAATTGCTAAAATGTATGCAGTGTTTGTAATACAGTGCTATAGCGTTTTATTTGTAATGCCCCTTTCGGCAAAAAGTGCTCCTTTTAATGGATCTTGTCCGTCGTTTGAAAAGTCTGGAACGATTCACTTTTGAGACATCATGCATGGTACACCTCAATACAAGATATATATACTAACTACTTTAAACTACGCCAGAATTTGGCTGGGCCCAGACTTCATGCCACGACCTACAAGGTCCATTGAAAAGAAACTTTGAACTGCTATAACAAGAAAAGGATTTGGTCAAATAGAAACATTTTTTCACCCATACGATGGAGATTACATCTACTTTCAATGCTGCAAACAAACAATTTTGCTGACAATGGCATTTTAAGTGTCAAACGTCGTGAAGAAAACTGTGGATGATTTTAGAGCTTTCCATTCACACACAGATATACAAAAATTCTTTATCCAAGCAAATAGTATTTTACTAAAATTTCAAAATCATTTCACTCAATTGATCTTTGCACTGTACACGTTAATTGTACACAAACTTCTGCAGATAAAAATTCCTGCAAGTCTCCAAAAAATTACATGTCACTGCAATTTGAGGGTTTTATAAAGTCGACTTAGAGTGTATAAACGCTGAACATGGCATTGCACTTGTGACGTCATATTATAGCTTTTGCTTTCCCTCTTGCAGTGATGTCTTTGTTTCACGTTGGTAATCGTGCGTGTTTATCATTCGTGACAAGTTCGATCAATGAAATTTGTAGTGTGAGTGGAGTATTTGAGTAACATTTACCAAACGTGATTTTAAAGAGTTTATGACCAGTTGCGTAGCCAAGATTATCTATCAGGGGGGCAGTCAAAGAGGAAGAGGAGCCTTAACCACTGTATAGAAACATACAGTATAGTTTCACTCCACTGTGCAACTTGGTGCTGCATATTTAATTAGAGTACTGGCTGCGGCTAGCCATCTCTGCCCTCCTATTGGCCAAAAAAAGCAATTGACTGGCTTTCACTATGCTAATCACATACTTAATAAGATATGCGCTACACAAAAAATTTCTATAGAGTGGAGCTACTGTTTGTGCCTATACTGTGCCATAACTGTCGCTGAAACTGTCATATAATATATGCAAAATATAATATTTTAGCGGGGCCGAGAATTTTCTGACGTGGGGCCTAGCCCATGGGCTCCCCTCTTGCTTACGTCACTATTTCTGACACCAAAATATAAAATGACATGATAACTTCTTTAAAAGAACTGTGCTATTTCATTTCTGTTTTTAGTTATGTAATCTGTTTTTTAGAAGAAAAAAGAAACTTGAATATCCAGTTTCATAAAAAGTATTGAGTCTATAACTCGCATTTTTACTTTTAACAGAGCGAAAATTTTTTGTCATTTTCATCGATTTTGATAGTGCTTGAAATACTAAATGGTTGTCATCTCGATATCAAAAATTGAATATCCTTAAAGACTATAATATGTTTAACTTTTAAAGGAAAACCGCAGTTTAAGAGCAGATCAAATGTGTATGACAAAAATATATGGTAAGCTATAAGACGTTTTTATTCTATATATAAATTTTGTCGAATAAAAATTCATACCGAGAAATCCTTTTAGTTTATTTGAAAAACGTAATAATACTTTCGCTCTGTGGATAACTTAGATTTGAAATAAATATCTTTAAAATATTTTCTTGATCAAGATAAAACTGACTGGTAAAATGAAATCAACTGAGGTTAAATTAAAGATCTAAGATCCGAAATAATACAAATTATTTATGAACGCGCGAGAAACACGAGTTATTACGAATGACGACGACAAATATTTTTGGCTTCAGTTATCATTCCAGTTATTTAAATATTGAGTTCAATGGTCAACATCAACAACAACAGTCCTTCTCAGGGCTCTACTAACTTGAACGATCTACATGTCCAAAGAACATGTAACGATACTCCCGGGTTCAAACCATTAACTCTATCATGATGCGTCGTTTCTCTCTTAAGCCTTGTCCCCATAGAAACGATCGTGTTGATACAGCCTTACATCAACTTGACGACATGAAAGAATTTGTCATTATGTTAGTTTAAATGTCGCAAGTACTCCAGTAAATCAATGTAGCTGACAGTTAGCTACATAGCTAGTAATCTCTAATGGAAAGGCAACTGCTTCTAGGGATCAGTTGACTACAGATTGAATATAAACCCTTTAAATATTACAAGTACACGCAGTTACAAGAACTGCAGATCACATTTTTCAGTAGTAGGGAGTGAGGTATATTAACTAGAAAACTTGGGGGCAAGTCGATAGTCTTGCACGACTAATTTGAAAAGTTCAAAATGGCATTAAAATTACTGGCAAAATATATTTATTAACGACCAGCAATGCTGAGGAGCAAAGACGTGTACTTCTGCACGGCATGGAGTGAAATATTAGCGCACGTTCAAAGGAAATTGCGGGCTCAGAACTGAAGTAAAAGATAAATCTAGCATGTTCCACACATTTCTTACTGTTGTTATATAATTGAGCTAATTAGGGTGTGAAGTTGACAGTTTTATAGTAAAACAAGAACATTTCCTCACTGATTATAAATTTAGCTTGATACTGTTATGTTCGTGCCTTTTTGTTCTGATGTTCTTTGAGCGCAATTTAGTCCAGTAAATTAATGTAGATTGTACTTTTTTGTCGTTATCTGGAAGATGTCATGACGTTACGTCGCTAATGAAAACCATGCACTGTCTGCGTTATGTGGGATCGTTTGAATTTAACATTCCTTGGCCAAATACTGTTTCCTTAAATAATACTCTAAAATTTTTCACTATCAGTTCAAAAAGCATAAAACCCCGTTTATACCCGACCTAAGACGAGCACCTGAAAGACTTGTTTCAATATGTTGCTATATTTTATAGTGAGGTTGCTACAATGGCCAAAACTCTTATATGGTATTGTTGAAGCAAGGATGTTGCTTCCAATGAATTTTGTCGCTAAATGTGACAATAGCTATTTTCAGATTGGATTGCTATGTGAACAATTTCACACTTTTGCAATGGTTCTTTAAGGATCGCTTCACCAAACGGCTAATGGCAGTTTTTTTTGAGCGTATAATGTGATATTCGCAAGATAGGGGTGTTGAATTCTTATGTTTTACCGTAATACAACGAGCGGTTCTGCCTTTCATGTCTGATAAGTGAAGAGTGAAGGATCAAAGCTCAGTTTGCAAAGATCTATTTTGAACTAGATTAGGATAAATATTTAAGTTTCCACGTTTAGTCAATGCACTTCATAGTTCTTTAAACACATAACTTCGTTCAAACTACCGCTTTTCCTAGTCTCTACCTGGCTTTTACTCTTATTTTGCAGCAATTATTCTCGACAGGCAATATATAACTTCCAAGTGTATTTCCATGCAATCAGTAGTTCACACTTGACTCTGGCTAACCTATAACTGCAATCGTTACATCTTGACCTTGAAATATATCAGTGAAACATTTCCAACTGTGCCAGACACCGAAGAAACAATCAGCTATTAAAACAGATTTTTCTTCATTTCTTTAACATGTTCACAGTGGGAGGTCATTGTGGAGTCTAGACATCGCTATGTTTGTATAATGTAGGTAGTTCAAACAATCTTTTGCTTTTTCATTTATCACCTCTGCTCGTTTGTCTTCAATTTAACTGTTCAATTGAGCAATCCACTGACCTATAAATTTCATCTTTAAGTCATAGGTGTCTCTGTATTGGTTCCTAAAACTTCTACCTTCATTTCATAAACACTGTTGCTAATAACACATTGAAATTTTAAGGGATATGCTGGTCAGACATAGAGCGTGAAATTTTTGATGCTCGTCAAGATTTTTTCACGACCCCAGACAAAACATATATTTCAAATTCATCAAGTAAAGGTTTTTTAATTATATTTCAATTATAAAATTGAGCGCGGCGTCTTAAATCCCTTCCCCCCTTCCCAATAATTTTGCTGCCATTTTGAATTTTTTCCCCAGTTTCCAGGTTCGAATTCACCCATCATTTTTTGCTTTCAATAATGACTGGCACTTCATTGACGCTCAGTTTTGCAGTGCTGCAAACCAATACTCGGCCACCTGTAAAAGTTGTCCAAAAATTGTCCAGTTGTATTTTGCATAAAACAGTCCAAATTTACGCCAATTCAGTTAGAAACCAGCTTAAGCCAGCTGATAATACTTATATAATAGAAAGCAAACTACACACCGATGTATATTTTTAGTTCGTGCTTTTTAGTATTTTCCCACTTTGCATAGATGTGATATATTTTCACAAATTAACCCATACAATAACAAGCCAAGACTGTTGTTCTTTTCACTTTGAAAAAAAAATTACATTTTCACATGAACTAAACTACCCTCAGCCAAGTTGACGACTGTTTCTTACAATACTCTAGCTAATTGTAATGTTCCTAAAGATAGACTACACTGCCTACAAATAAAGTTACTAAAAATGTATAAGTTATAATTCAGTAAAATTTCACAGCCAGTATTAAAGAAGGCTCTTTAAGACAATACAAATGCATAAAAATCTAGAACAACAAAAAATTCTCAAACAAACAATCCGGGGAAAAAAAGAATTCCATCCAGCCATCCGCAATC